GACCTGCATATTCAGGGGGTCTTGGCGGCATATCGGATGGCACCCCATGCAGCTACGGGGTTTTCCCCCTTTTACCTTATGTACGGTCGCGAACCCGACCCGCCTGTTCGCGCCCAGCTGCAGATCCCCGACCAGCAAGGAAAAACAAAATTGGCTGACCACGTCAAATTTAATTTGGCTAAGTTAACAGAGGCGCGGGATGCTGCGAGGTTAAACTCGGACCTCCGTCAAAAGGCGAACGAGCGCCTCAGGTTGGGTCGAGCGCATGTCATACAGTGGAAACCGGGGGACAGGGCATGGTTGCACTGTCCCCAAGTACCCCTGGCTACCTCCCCAAAGCTGGCGCGGCCGTGGCGGGGGCCGGTGGAAGTGGTCGAGGTCCTGCGACCACAGTGCGTGCGCATTCGTTGGGGGAAGCGGCGATGGTTCGTGCACCCCTCTCGGTTGAAACCTTTCGTCGCGGCACACAAACCCACTTCACACATGCGTGGCCAGACGTGTGGGGGGTCGACCGACTCACTAGGTCCGTCCCCACCGCGCTCACCTAATGCCTTGCCGGCCGTGCCACCTCCAGGTGCATCGAGACTGACGGGCTCACGCCCGACCACCCCTTCTGGGGATACCAACAGTCACGAGGCATCAGAGGAGGCCCCGCTCCCGGACGGGCGATTGCCACCTGACGGTCCGCCACCCGGGGTTTCCCCGTGTGAGGGGCCCGCCGCAAGGACACGCGCAAAAATGCGCAAACTGTTGTGAAACCGCAAGGACACGCGCAAAAATGCGCAGACTGTTGAGGAACCGCAAGATTTGTATATATATGTTGTGTTCATTGTGTGTTGTGTGGGGGGGGGGGTGTTCCCTGCCCATTGCATTCACGTACGTTGGGCTCACCTGCTGTTGTGTGCATTGTGGCTTCGCTACAAATTGTATATAGCTCGTTCTTACGGTATCCGTATTTATTCGGGGGGGGGGGGGTGCGTCGGATTATTCCCTTTCAGGGTTGAGGGTTTTGTTGTTGTCATTGTCGTTGTTGTTGTTGTTGTTACTGTTGGTTCCTTCAAGTTAGCGTTAAAAACGTTTTTTTAAGGCACACGCGGGGATCCAGGGGTTAAATAACCTTTATTGAAAGTTGTTGCAGCCGGGACGGCTGCGAGCTGTACAGGGGGGGGTGATGTAGGGCTGTTACAGAGGGTCTGTTTGTGTAGGGCTGTTTACATAGGGGCTAATGGAAAACAGACACAGTGGGCGGGGTCTCCGTGAGCACACGGGGTGGTGCCCGCAACGACGTCCGTACTGGACGGCGTGAGGGGGGTTTCGATCCTCTAACGGGGTATAAAAAGGGTTGAGCCAGAGAGCTCGGGGCTCAGTCTTAGAGTAGTTAAGAGAAGAGAGAAGACCAGCCAGATAGGCCCTGGACTCCCCCTGGGACGCCGCCCTTGTAAGGGCAGTGCAGGCTGGAGCCAGTGGCGTGGTCCCGGAACCAGAGTCAGACCTCTGGGATTCCGGGTACCGTAGCCCGACTAACCAGTGTCGGGCCAGACAGCCTCCCCTAGCCCGTTAGCGGAGGACTCAGCTAGGAAGGCTAGCTAGGGGTGAATTCCCAGTTGTACGGGTGAGGGGGCCGATACATCCCTCTAGTACTGTAAGCCCTTTGTGTAAATAAATACGTGTGCCTTACCCCGTTGTCCACGCGTCTTCAACAACACTTCATATGTAATGGCAGAGATTAGGGATTTAATAAAGTACAACCATAACCACAATCATATAAACAGAAATCTATTTTATAGCAATATATTGGGGGGGACATTTTGAGCACATTTGAATATTGGGGAAGATGTGTCCCCCCCAATAGATATTATAATTACGGCCTTGCACGAGAGCGACTTGAAATCATTCCAGTGACGACACTTCACCGGATCTTGCAGTTCAGCGCGGTAATGAAATAATGTTTGGTGAAATGCGCTTGTTAACACATTCTATGTTGTAATTCAAACGAGGACGAGGATTCGTGTTTAATGAAGTGCTCTACATGGAGCTGCATCTCAAATCGCTTTACAAAACACGAGCCAGGAAATTGCAACCCACACCACCCCCACCTGATGCCAGCACCCATCCCCATCAAGCCACACCATGTCCATAGATTAACCGTTGTCTCAATCACAACAACCACCAATACACCACACCCCATCCAAACACCACCAACCTACCACACCCAATTACCACCACCCATGCACACCAATAAATCACCTCCACTCACACCACCTCACCTCCACCCACACCACCTCACCTCCACCCACACCACCTCACCTCCACGCACACCACCTCTACCCACACAACCTCACCTCCACCCACACCACCTCACCTCCACCCACACCACCTCTACCCACACCACCTCACCACCACCCACGCCACCTCACCTCCACCCACACCACCTCACCTTCACTCATACCACCTCACCTCCACCCACACCACCTCTACCCACACCACCTCACCTCCACCCACACCACCTCACCTCCACCCACACCACCTCTACCCACACCACCTCACCTCCACACACACCACCTCTATTCATACCACCTCACCTCCACCCACACCACCTCACCTCCACACACACCACCTCTATTCATACCACCTCACCTCCACCCACACCACCTCACCTCCACACACACCACCTCTATTCATACCACCTCACCTCCACCCACACCACCTCACCTCCACACACACCACCTCACCTCCACCCACACCACCTCACCTCCACCCACACCACCTCACCTCCACCCACATAACCTCACCTCCGCCCACACCACCTCCACCCACTCCACCTCACCTCCACCCACACCACCTCACCTCCACCCACACCACCTCACCGCCACCCACACCACCTCACCTCCACACACACCACCTCACTTCCACCACACCACCTCACCTCCACCCACACCACCTCCACCCACACCACCTCACCTCCACACACACACCACCTCACCTCCACCCACAACCATCTCACCTCCACCCACACCACCTCACCTCCACCCACACCACCTCACCTCCACCCACAACCATCTCACCTCCACCCACACCACCTCACCTCCACCCACACCACCTCACCTCCACCCACACCACCTCCACACACACCACCTCACCTCCACCCACACCACCTCACCTCCACCCACTCCACCTCACCTCCACCCACAACCATCTCACCTCCACCCACCCACCTCACCTCCACCCACACCACCTCACCTCCACCCACACCACCTCACTCCCTACCCAATCACCGTCATGCCTCCTCCAACCACGGCGCTGCTGAGTTGCTGGAGCAGCCAAGGCCCATGAGAGGCGCGGTGTCAAGAGGCAAGACCCAACCTTTTGGATAAAGCTGCTTAAACAAACACTAATATGTCTATATTCGCTTCATGAAAGGGTCGCCTTAATTAAAGATTGAAATGTAAATTTTCATTTTATTACTTAACCTCATGAGTCATTTGCATTATTTTGCAACCAAGGTGCCTATTTACAATGCAAATTAGCGGAAGGATCAGCGTTGAGACAACGTTACTTCAATAAGGACAAGCTGCGTGTTTGCAGTTCAAAGTGTCCAGCGACCCAAGCTCAACTCCTGGATACGGCTAAACATCAGTAGCGAGTTGTATTTGGACCCTCTCCTTCGCCAAACCGCACTGACCAGCGTGGTGAAGTATGGTCTAACATACCCCATGAACAACGCGGTGTGGGATTGCCTTGGTCCAGCAGTGGATTGTAAACCACGACATGCTTACCGTCGTTGCTGCTCATGGGGACGATTTGGACGTCCAGCCACACGGTGACCCGGCGATGACTTGCAGGAGTTAAGAGATCCCTGGCACAGCACTTGTGATGAGGATTAAACCATCCAATCACGCTGGGCACTTTTCTCTCCCGAGTAGTTGCAGCGAGGCTTTCTACACCGCCACTCGCTTCCACTGCACCCACTGCAGGTGGTGCAGGTTTAATGGCGCTGCACCACGACCCCGAATGGAGTTCGATCCCTGGCACTGGCCAACGTCGGCGACGAATATCTGCACCGGTCCAGGGCCTCCCTTAGGTCGAACCAGAATTACATGAGTGCCTGGTGCGTTGCGCGTGTGTGTCTGGGTGTGTGCGCGGGGGGGAGCGGTGGTCTAGCGGTTAGCGCACTGCGCTATGAACCTAGCGACCCGGGTTCGATTCCCGCTCACGGCCAACACCAGTGACGATTATCTGAACCGGTCCTGAGACTCCCCTAGGTCGACTCCGCCTGAAATAAGTATCTGTGGTGGTGTGTAAATATCGCCACCGGGGAAACAAAGACGGCCGGGCGTGGTGCTTGCCACCCACCCCCTCGTGTTGCCGTGCCGGCCTTGACGGGCGCTCGCTGACAGCACTTGCCCCAACGGTTTGTTGAGGCTATACGGAGGGGGGGGGGGGCTTTGTCTGTGTGCGCGTGCACAGAAATACGTGGGCCGCTGCTTCTGCTGCATGCCACCTGCTGGTATTGCCTTGTTAACGTTGCCGCTTGGATCTCGCCGAACGGCGGTGGCCGCAGTAACCATAAAAGCTCAATTTGCCCTCCCCGGTGTGACCGTGGCGGCGTGCGTGTGGTTTCTCCGGCAGCAGGAAGGCCATTCGTTATTTTTTTTTGTAAAATTTTAACGATCTTAAGCTGCTCCGTTTGTATTGGTGCAGAAGCACCACGCAACAGCAGCAAACAATCAACACGTTCGTCGTCAATAACACGTACGGAACTACCTTCAAAGGGCAAATATATTTACGAAGAGTTAACGCTTCGGGAAATGGACCTTGATGTATATGCTATGAAGGACCGTTGTCTGCAACGACATCTGTCACTGATTGTTCCTCTTTGCTTTTATTGTTCGTTCTGCAAAACAATTGAGTGCGGTTTGTGGCCAATGAAGCTGAAGATGACCGTTCAAAGTTAGGCCAATTCAAGGCAGCTTGCTGTGTAACCCCAGCCTGGCCACAGCCGCTCGTGAAGTAACGTCCACGCGGCTCCGCTTCTGCTTTTGCCGGTCTGCCCCAAATACATTTATTTACGCAGTGCGAGCCGTTACGCGAGCGTGAGAATTTACTCCGCGCAGACGCACAAAGGGCCGTTCCCCGGCTCTGTTTGTACTCGGCTGAGCAATAAAGCACGCTCGCCTTGTGTTGTTTTGATCGTTCCCCATGCAACGCGCGGAGAGCCGCCGAACGTGCCGCTCAGCGCGTGCCGTGAGATCTCGATTTTCCACCGCTGGCCACGACGGGCAACGGATGTTTTCGAACGTGACGACGGAGCGACCCAGCGGTGAACCTACGTGGGTGAGCGTGCGCGGCCACCACCCGTGTCCTGCCCGCGCGTTAAAGCAGCGACGGCACCCTCCGCCAGCGACTGTGAGAGACGTGGCCACCTTAGGGCTCCACCTTACCGCCAAAGTACGGTTCACATCGGCAGGCGACTTTTTACAAAACGTAAACTGCCGTTATATTTTAAATCGCTTTGTAATATTTTTTTACACATTCATTCATTCGCATTTTTATTCAAGAACAAGAGAGATTGTACATCCTCAATACGTGCAATTTTTCGGAAATCGGGCTTCATCTGCAATCGCCATCTGTGCTAATTCAAAATCTGAGCGTGCATCCATCAGAACTTAAACCCAACGTCGCGAGAGCCAGCATTCGCCGCAATTATTTATCAGCAAGCCAGGGCTGGCAGCCCCACCAGCACCGCCCCCGTGGAGTTTCTCCGGAACGCCCCGGCGATCGCGCGGCGGTGCCTCTGGTGGCCGTGGGCGGCCCGGCGCGACTCCAATCGGCGCGAGCGTCCCCGCCGCACTCCATCGTAGCGGAGGGCCCGGCGGTCGCGTGCCCTCGTTGCGGGGGGCGGCTCATCTCAGGAGGAATCCCGCTCCGAGCCGGTCGCCCTCCTCCAGGGAGAAGCGCGCCGTGCCGACGTAGTGCGCCTCTCCGCCGACCTCCACGATCACGGCTGGGAACCGGCCACAGCGTAGCTCCTGCGGCACACGGTGCGGCGGGCACGAGTCGTTACGGGCGAGGACCCGCCGATGACCCCCCCCCCCCCCCCGCCGGCGCCTTAAATCATTATTCACCGTTCGATTTACGCTCGCCGACGAGCGGCCAAACGGGGACGGCTGAGGGCCCCCGGAGGGCCCGCGTCAGGTGCGCCAGACGGATTTAAGGTGAACTGTGAGGAAGGCCATCAATCACTCAGCCAACGATATTGGGCACACGCCACGAGGGAATTGTGGGGAACCCGCGCCGACTCATTTTGCTCCACTGTCAGGGGGGCAGCAAGAAAATACAAAATGAACCCTGCTAATTTTAAAATCTCAACTCCTCGGTGCCTTGCGGACACAGCGGATTAATCATCTCCGATGTAACAAACCTTCGGTCCTAAGGTTAAAGGGGCGAGCCTCGCCGGGAGTTGAATGCTTGCATGGAAGGCAGGAGCATGCGAGTAATTTTTCGTGCGTGCGCGACTACTGACACGTGCGTGATGCTGCGCCGCTTGGAGCGAAGCCAGTTTGCTCGAGACTCCGCGGAACTCTGCGGGAGGAAGCTCCCGGGGCCTCTCGACCCATCGTCACGAGTGCGGCTGCACGGCTTGATTTGAATCAGGAGAAGGAATCCCACGGTTGGTTGTGAGGCACCAACAGAGCGGAAAGCGTACACTCGAAGCCTTCGGTCAACCGGCAGATTTGACAACATGCATTACGGTCACCCTCCAGAGACGCTCCTATTATTATTATTAGTTAAAGAAGCCGTGGCGCAGCGTGCGGACTGCAGCCACTCTCGGGCCACGGTGGGAGCCACCACGAGTCGAGAAGCCCCGCGAGCACCGCTCTCTATTTGCTCCGCCAAACGCTGCAAAAGGTGTGAATGCACGTGCGACCGACAAAGAAGATCGCCGGCGTAATAACTCACGGCCCCACGTAAATCCACGGCTGGATGAAGGGGCCTCCTCGTCTAAGATCGGCGAAACGGTTCCGGTGTCACTCGCCGCTCACGTTAACCGTGGCCGGGAGTCGAACTCGGGTCCGTGAGCACGGCGCGCAAACCACTGCAGCGCTGCGCACCCCCTCCCACCCCCCGCGCCCCCCTCAAACGTGAGCATCATATCAGCAGGTAATTTACATATCCATTGCATAATCACCGACTCTTAAATTCTCATGCGCAAACTCTGGCGTGTGTACCAGTCTGTGACTCGATGCACCGCGATGTGGTTATTATGAAACAGCGGGCTAGCCGAACCTCTTCAGTATGCCTACGGTGCAGGGTGAACCATCCCGATAATGGCAACACAATCGTCAATAACACCGTGACCTTGAAAAGTAAACAAACAAAAATATGGAATGTTTCAGGTAATGGCCCTTCCCCAGGGCACACAGAGCGGTGGAGTGGATACGATGTGGCACCTCATATACCAAGGCGGGACCTGATAAGAATTATATTATGAAGACAAAAAAAATCGTGGCAAACAGTTTTTACATAATCCCCTTAGTGATGCATTCCTGGGCGAAATTCTCATTTGAATCGGGGATTATAATCAGCATAATGCACTCAGTGATGTATTGCTGGGCTCTATTCAATCCCCCTGATTTATAAGGACCATATTCTCCTTCTCAACAGTAGGTGGAATAATTGTTAAAGCGATGGTCTCATAACTTTCATGGAGAATGTCAAACTATTGTTTAAGTGCATTGGGACTGGTGGGAGATATGCACAGGCATTGAAGTTTATCAAATGTTTTATCCGTGATTTTTCACGATTCGGATTTTGCTGCTGATTTCCGAATGAATCAGTGGGAAAAAAATCAAGCCTGAGTACATTAAATTCCCGATTATCCAAAAAAATATGTCTGGTGTTGTGTTCTTGCCAGACACTGGGAGCACGTCCATAATGGGCAGAAGAAAAAAGAACATGAGTGACATGAGCACGTGACACGAGTACGCAACGTGCAACGACCAGGACATCCAAAATCAAAACTCCGGAAAAAGATTATCCGTACGAATCCGAAATCCCAAACGTTTCAATCCAAAACTCCTCCCGACCATTTTCTCGGGAGGTGTCTGTACACGGCGGATGAGCCCGTGCGGTGAGACACGCCGACGGCGGAGGGCCCCCGTGTCTCGCCCGGAGCGCCGCTCACCGCGATGGCCTTGCCGCTGAACACGGAGCCCGTGGTGCCGCTCTCAAAGCGCCGCGTCTGGCCAAGGCTCAGGAGGCCCCTGCGGTGCTGCAAGGCGACGCGGGCCGTCACCCCCGACCCCGTGGGGCTCCGGTCCACCTGGGGCACAATTCGCAGTGGTCAACGCGACAGTGGCCGGGTGGCCCCTGAGACCAGAGCGTCTGGGTTCGAATGCAGGTAGTGGTCGCCTGTAATTGGACGGGTGGCTCAACAGGGGAGTGAGTAGAAGGAGTGAGCAAGGTTGGGAGTTCAAATCCGGCTTGGGCGTTAACTCGGCCCATCATCCCTCCAGGGTCCACAAATACTGAAGAATTAAAAATGTCAGCTTCTCACCGGACAAATAATATTTGCTCTGTGTGGATAAAGATGCTCAATTGAAGTGATCATCTTCCGAGGCTGTTCTCTCACACAGGGTGATGCCCTGCTAGCTGCAGTGCTCTGAATCGAAGTCTGTTAATCTAATCGCATGGTCATGATAGCACAATTGATATATCATTTGTAAATGATATGAAAATAACAACGAAGTACAGCCGTTTGTCAGTCTATCACTGGATAAAGGCCTCCTCACGATGCATTCGGTCATGGAGCTTTTTTGACCATACTTCACCACGCTGGTCACTGCCGGTTGGCAAATGGTAGAACAGATCACGACTGGTTTAGATATCACCCACCGCTGATGTAAGCCGTGGTCGGGAATAAAACTCGGGCTTGCAGGATCGTAGGGCGGGTTGCACTCACCGCTGCGCCACCACCCGGCGAATACAAATCGAAGGGTGCCGGCGCTACCTGGGCGTCTGCGAAGACGCAAACGTTGGCCGTGGGCTCCTCCGAGAATCCATCACTCCCGTCGGTGAGGATGGTGCCATAGAGGAACGCCAGCTCTTCGCCGTCCGGGTGGAAGAGCCGCACCTGCCAGGGCAGCGTAGTACGTGAACACGAGCCGAGCCAACTACAGCAACATGGACTAGACCAACACGATCCACGCCAACACGAACTGCACAAATACAAACCGCACCAACACAAACCGCACCAACATGAACCTCGCCAACACCAACCGCGCCAACGCAAGCCACTCGAACGGCAACCGTGCCAACGCTGGCCGGGCGAATGCTGGCCGCACACGCCGCTACCGAATCCCTTGACCGGCATTGCCATGAATCCAACATGGTGCCACCGCTCGTAACGTGCCGCTTGTGTGTACGTGCGCAGCTATGACCCGCTTGTTAATCCGCTGCTGGATGAGGGCCTCCCCATGGATTAGGTCCTCCCCATGCCAATCTTGCGGTGGGGTTATCTGACAGTACTTCACCATGTCGGGTTAGTGCACGTTCGTTAAAGAGGATGAGCGTAGATTGTTGGAGCACGGCGCAGTACGACAAACGATGTTGCCACGCTGCCCTCTGCTGCCTTCAACGCAGCCCCCGCAGCCATCCACGGCACCGGTCAGGCGCGGCGATCGCCCATCCACGCGCCATCCAGGATCAACCCTGCTTCACTGGCGAGATGCGATGGAGATCGCACGCATTCCGAGAGATTTCATCATAAATGTGCGTGTGTGTGTGTGGACACACGTGTGTTGAGGGCAGCACGTTGCAGTGATTTATCGCCGAATCGGAATGAAAACGCAATTTCTGGCATCTGTCCTCGCTCTCGCACAATATCTGTCGAGCCGTTCCAGCAAAGGCAACAACACAAAAAAATACTGACATTTTGGGCTACAATTCAGGGTGAAAACACCCCGCATATGAATCCCTTTCAGATACAAAAGTGTAAAGGTGAATATCGCTCCGCTACGGAAATCTGTCATCCCTCTATTCCTGTCCCTACCCAAAGAATGTCCCGGGCTCTTTGACCAATCCAATGACATTTCCTGCTATAGACCAGCAACACGTTGCATTGCTTCGGATAGTGGGTGGGGGGAGGGGGCACTTCACCGAAAAGGTCAAAGGACGTCACGACGTTCCCAGGAATGTCACGGACACAGGTTGCTGGAGGTTTATGTATTCTGTATATTATTAGAGACATCACCATGAAAGAAACCTTTGTGCCTGTGAAGCTTGCACGTTGCAGCAGCATTGTGCTAGCGAAAAAAGAATGCCGATAAAACCACAAGGCAAATGTTACTCATCATCATCATCATCGCCATCGTCACCGAAATGTTAACACCAATTCAGAAGACGGGCGACGTTAAAAAAAAACACCACGTTCGGCAATAACGCTGCGGCTTTGGCTAAAAAAATATAGACCAGGTGACGTTGCGGGCAAAGGCCCTTCCTCGTAGCGCACGTGTGTTTTTTGTTCATCGTGCCGGTGAACAACCGCGAACAACAGCAGCAGCAGCATCACCAAATAATCCACGGCACGCGATGTAAGATAATAGCATGCAGGGTGGGTAACATTGACAAGGGAGAACAGAATTAAAATGACGGCGGTTAAAATTTTACTTGAAATGTCCAAACCTGAGAAGGGGGGGTGGGGGGGGGCGGTGGGGGCCGAGACACCGTGGTGGTGTTAACGCTGCACGGGCGCTGGGTCGACCGCCGCCGCCGCCCACGACGGCAGCGCCGCGCCACGGAGAGACCCCCGGGCGTGAGGGCAGGACAAGAGCCTCGCGTGAGCCAGCAGCGGCGTAGTGGCGATGGCGGTGGTGGTGGAGATGAATATTTGCTCTCGCGAGACAAGGGAGGAAATTCCGAAGCCTCGGATTGCAGGGGTTTACCTGATGGACTTCATACGTCTGCAATCGTTTTCGGTAAATGCCTTAGCGCGGACAAATGCGTGTGTGGCCTTGGTAGTGTCGCGGTGAGTGCGCGGCGCTACAAACCCAGCGACCCGAGTTCGATTCCCAGTCACGGCCAACATCGGTGACGATTATCTGAACCGGTCCTGGGCATTCCCTAGTTCGACTCAGCCTTAAATAAGTACCTGGTGCGATGTGTAGACATCGCCACTAGGGAGACAAAGGTGGTCGGGCGTGGTGCTGGACATACAACCACGCCCTCGTGTGCCTTGCCGGCCTTCATCGGTGCCCGCTAACAACACTTGCCCAGGAGCCTGTTAGAGGCTATACGGGGGATCTTTGTAGCCTTTCACTGCCATGTGAGAGGAGCTGAAGCATGGAGGAGAAGCTTTTGGCAGCAGGGAGCCTTCGTGTGTGGAGTATGTCTCTACTCTCCCTGTTCTGCGTGAGTTTCCTCTGGGTTCTCCGATTTCTTCCCATAGTAAAAGTAAAAAAAATGTGTCACTGGTATTGGCCAAACATCCCAATGCTGACAAATGACCTGCAGATTACTCTGTTGTGATTATACAGAGCAGCAACATCGCTGCCTACTGCAATAAACTTGGCAGGACCCTCCTGTGTCTCGAGACTCAGTGAGCCTTTCCTGGATAAACAAGCAGAAAAATAATACTCAAAGTAATAAAAGCGAAAGAATTTGGTGCGTGGGAATCCCTCGCAATGAAAGCATAATAATCAGCAGACGATTGGCTTGGGATTAAACCTCAACTAGGGGTGTGCACCAGGGCCCTCTGGTCCAGCCTCTCTTTCTGGACCTCATGCGGGTCCAGCCACGGTTGTGGGAGGCTCAGGTGAGAGGGCGAAACGAGCATACGGCACCAACCGCGCAAGCGAGGAGCCTTACAAACCTATCCCCGCGTGTGTCTCCCCCGTCTCCCCTTGCTTGCCTGCTTCTTCACCGCCTCCGTCACTGCGGTGGCCCCTTCGACCAGCGCCTTGGTGGAGGACGAGCGGACGTCCAGGCCCAGCGACGAGGCGCTCAGGAAGGCGTAGAACGTGCCGCCGTAGGCGACGTCCACGGCCAGCTGCCCGTAGCCCGGCACCGCGACCAGCTCGTCTGCACGGCAGCAGCAGCGGCGGCGGCAGCGGCGGCGGCGGCGGTGAGATCGGTGTGCCCCAGGGGGCACGGAAAGTTGGCCAAGCGCGGCGCGGAGGATGAGGATGAGGAGGCGCCGCGGGCGAGAGCTGCTGCACCGCTAACGGATTGACTGATGAGACGAGGCTGGCACCGGGATGCGGGTCGATACGGCGCTCGCTATGGCACGCACGACTAATATGAAATGTAATTTAAAATAAAATTGAAGATCCATCGCCCGCGACGCCGCCATCAGGGGTCGTCGCACGCTTTGCGCTCCGAGCGTCGGGCCGCCGGGCCGAGCGCCGCGTGCGCACGGCCAATTTGCGGCGCCGCCGGGGCCACCCCCCCACCGCCCACTACCCCCCCACCGCCAGGAACCAGCGCTCACCCAGGCTGAAGGCGAAGGCGGGCACGCTGTGGAAGCGGACGTGGGGGTCGCTGGCTCCGTCGGCGCCGCGCCGCACGAACGCGGTGACGAGCCCGCACGGCACCTCGATGCGCACCTCCGTCTCCAGCTCGGCGCCGTCCGCCCCCTCGGCGGGGGACGGCGCGAGGCCGAAGTCGACGGCGAAGCGGCCGAGGGCCAGCACGGCGTGGCCGCACATCGTGCTGCAGCCCTCGTTGTGCACGAAGGCGGCCGCCAGGTGGGCCCCGGGCTCGGCCGGCTCGGCCAGCACGGCGCCGTACATGTCCCGGTGGCCGCGCGGCTCGTTCATCAGCAGGCGGCGCGCCGCGTCGTGCCGCGCGCCGGCCAGCAGGGCCCTCCGCGTGGCGGCCGCGCCGGGCCCCAGCGCCGCCTCGTCGGGCCAGCCGGCCAGCACGACCCGCAGCGGCTCGCCGCCCGTGTGCATGTCCAGCACGGACATGGGTGGCGTCGCGCCGCAGCCCGGGAGAGGCCGCGTGGTGTCGGCCGCGATGCTCGCCAGGGTGGCGCGAACGCCGGAGCCTGGGCCGCTCATGGCCACTGCTGAATGCGTGGGTGTGTGGCTGGGTGGGTGATTGGGTGGGTGTGTAAGTGGCTATGTGGGTGTGTGGCTGGGTGGGTGATTGGGTGGGTGTGTAAGTGGCTGTGTGGGTGTGTGGCTGGGTGGGTGATTGGGTGGGTGGGTGTGTAAGTGGCTGTGTGGGTGTGTGGCTGGGTGTGTGATTGGGTGGGTGTGTAAGTGGCTGTGTGGGTGTGTCGCTGGGTGGGTGATTGGGTGGGTGGGTGTGTAGGTGAGTGACTGACTGGGTCGGTGATTAGGTGGGTGGGTGTGGAAGTGGCTGTGTGGGTGTGTGGCTGGGTGGGTGATTGGGTGGGTGTGTAAGTGGCTGTGTGGGTGTGTGGCTGGGTGGGTGATTGGGTGGGTGTGTAAGTGGCTGTGTGGGTGACTGAGTGGGTGGGTGTGTAGGTGAGTGACTGACTGGGTGGGTGATTAGATGGGTGGGTGTGTGGGTGACTGAGTAGGTGGGTGTGTAGGTGAGTGACTGACTGGGTGGGAGATTAGATGGGTGGGTGTTTGGGTGACTGAGTGGGTGGGTGTGTGGGTGAGTGACTGGTGGGTGAGAGATTGGGTGGGCGGGTGTGTAAGTGGCTGTATGGGTGAGTGGCTGTGTGGATGACTGAGTGGGTGGATGGGTGAGTGGCTGTGTGGGTGGGTGATTGGGTGGGTGGATGAGTGGCTATGTGGATGAGTGACTGGGGTGGGTGGGTGGCTGAGTGGTTGTGTGGGTTAGTGGCAATGTGGGTAACTGAATGGATGAATGATTGTGTGGGTGAATGAATGACTTGGTGGGTGGGTGGATTAATGTGTGTGGTTTACAGTGGGTGGGTGATGGCAAGGTGGATGGTAGTGTGAGCGGGTGGTTCTCTGTGTGGATAGGTGGTGACTGTGAGTGGCTATGGTCCAGTGGCTAATCGTGGATGGGTGCCTGGAGGTGGATATGACTGGATGTGTGTGGCACGAGCGGTGAAAGTGCAACGCAAAAATGTATCTTAACACAAGACAAAAAGGCACGCACCTGGGGGGGGGGGGGGGTTGATAAATGTGACGTCACATCAAAATGCGCAACTTTAAGTAAATATAGACAACACGTTCTACTTAATAAAATATACGTTTTAATATATGTTTTCTCCTACAACGTCAGTGCAGCGCTACGCACTACAATGACAATAGTTTAAAGCGATTTGAAGCATGTTTTATTTTCAAAATGTAAATATGGTTTTGGGGGGAGAGCAGAGCTTTGTGACGTCAGATTTGAGGGGGGTCTGACTTTTGTGACGAGGGGGGGGTCAAAAATTGTCCAAAATCCCGTGACGTCATTTATGAACGGCCCCTTATTACCGCATTCTCCGCATCATAAGACACATTTTCCCTGTACTGTACATGTGACCAGCTTTACATCACTTTATTGAACAGCTGGGCTGCTCGGTTGTAGTTTTCGGGAGCTTTTCACAACTTAATGCAGCGACGTCAAGCACCGGTGCCAATTCCACATTGCCAGGGCAAGAACCGAACCTCTCAAAATGTACGACTGTCCAACAAAGCTGTACCGTACTGAGTGTAGCGACCGCGGCGAGATGATGGGCCTGGTAAAGCCGCAAAGCAGCCCCCGCTCACGCGAGGTGGCAGTGATAATCGCCGCTCGCGATATTCGAGTTGACGATTATCGCGATATCGGTTTCCCTTAACCTCCTAATTGTTGCATCACGGGACCCGGACAGAGGGCGACGGTTGGGGGATGGGGATGGGGTCCTTCATCCAGCAGTGGATTGGCCACGGCTGCCGATGCTGCTGAACAAATGCTTAAACCGTTGCATTGACAAGACGCCCCCAGAGGGTTGCAATGCATGCGGGATTTACAAACCGCGTAGCTGAGCGCGATGCGAGGGATGTCGCCGTCTCTGTGGGCTCAGCTTCGACTCCCTCCACCCCCCGTCTTTGTCTCTCCAACTCGCTGCGTCGACAGCAACACCCACGGAGTGGCCACGTCGCGGCAAGAACTTCCTGCCACTGCAACTCCCTTTCCTCTCTCCTCCTCCTCCCTTTCCTCTCTCTTCCTCCTCCCTTTCCTCTCTCCCCTCCCGTCCCCCCCCTCTCTCTAGACCCCTGGGCAAAGGGATCCCTTGTGGGTGGAGGGGGGAGAGAGAGGGGGAGGAACACATAAAGCAAAGCACTGAAAAAAACCGAATTGATGAACGAAGCAAAGTGCCGACTACACCGAGCATGTTCTTGTTTCCTCTGATCGTAAAAGAGAGAGAGGGGTGATGACACGGGTGGTAGTGGCTGGGGTGAGTGCCGGATGAAGATAGTGCAACGCCTGTAGCATGATGTTATAAAGGGGCCCTAAATAAAAATACATTAAAACACACATTTTTTACTTGCATAGTATAGTAAATGTATGTTTTTTCATTTGCTATACAGCCAGATAATACGGATTATTCCGGATTATCCTAGTAGCAAAATTAGCTACATATATGCAGACCAGTCAGTCTGCATCAGCAGTAGGCCATGTTTTCCCACCTGATGACGGACGCTTGTGTTGCGCCCGAAACGTCGTGATTTAATTTAGTTGTTTTCATTTATTTAATTTTTTACCTACGTGACTTTACCGAAAAAACCAAAGAGTATGAATCCTTGCAGTCACGAAAGCTTCAAATCTAGAATTAGTTACACATGCAACGAGCCCTGGCCCTGCGCCAAATGCTTTCAAGCTATCAAATCCGGTTCATTGATTCTGCACTTGCTCTATTACTATAGTACTATACCGCGTTCAACTTTTACGAACGACTGGGTGTTTAAGGTTAGCGATGTGTCGTATTATCTGGCTGTATAGCAAATGAAAAAATACAATTACTTTACTATGCAAGTAAAGAAAATTGTGTTTTCATTTTTTTTTTTATATTTAGGGCGCCTTTATAACATATGCTACAGGCGCCCGCATCAGCTTAATCCGGCACTAAGCAAACCACAATCACTCTCGCGTCCACGCTTCCTGCGCCTTCAACGCGCAGTTAACCGAGCGCGGGAAGTATGGTCCAAATCTATCGCCCACGAAGCGCAATCCAGCAGTGGATTGACAAAGCAGCGCATTTTTCGTGTAGAATAAGACGACAATCTTGAGGCCATTTACGAACAACATCGTCGCCAGCTTCACAATGAGTCTTTGAAGCAGATCTCCCGTCCATGTGCTGATAACGCGTTTAGCACCGCAATTGAAAGTCTAAAACGGCCTTTAAAATGTTCTCGAAAAATTCGTGTTCGTACCCTGTAGCTGATATCGTCAAATGATCCCTCTCCCAAGGGTTCGCCCATTCTGCGCCAGTCCCGTGCTGTAGCGGCGATCCCACGGCTCCAGACGGACTCGATGGGAGGGTGCCTCTTTGTTCTTGGCTGGCCGCAAGGTCTGAAACTCAATTACGCGAAATACAACAAAGTCATCATCGTGGGCGAGAAAGCAAATATAATCAGCACTCCGTCCCGTGTCTAACATATGAATAATATATATTGCTCTAGTCCATCGGCGTGTTGACCTTCCAGACCAATACAATCAAGTGGCATTTGTTTAAGAAGGAAAACTACAGGCCGGCTTCGGACGTACATTCTGCCGACTCCATCGGGGTCTTTAAGCCCCGTTTTTAAGGCCTCGACTTTTCTCCTCCGTCCGCGCGCGGATGTTCTTGTGAGTTGGGCCAGTAAATCCTCGTTTACAACTGCGGTTTATACTTTTGTCTGTGACCCCGACAGGGCCGTGTAAATCAATCAGTTTGTGTAAATCAACCCAAGACCTCCCCTGCAGAGTGGCCCGTGTCTCCAAACGACGTGGACCCATAAGCGAGGACGAAGTCCAGATTGCATCGCATTTCACACAATGTGAAGGTGTCACGGTGGATGCTGTGAGTATTGGGAGCGTTTTACAATTTTAAGGTTTTTCTATTGAATGATCATGGTGGCGGCGATGCCGCAGGTGGTTCGCGCGCACTGAGCTTTGGACCACCTGAGTTTGTTTCTGGGCCACGGCTAACATCAGTAGCGAGCCATATCTAAACAATATGGACAGCTCCTGGGTAACGCCTACAACCCCGCACTGATCAGGGTGGTGAAGTATGGTCAAACAACAGGCATTGTAAGGCCTTCATCCAGAAGTAGATTGACAAGCAGCTGTATTTATCAGCATCTTTTCAAACATGAATCTGGACCTGTTTCGATCTTTTGAGTCTCATCAGAGCGAATGTGGGCAAGAACACTCACTCCAAACGACAGGGACATGTTCAGTGGAAATGTCAATGTTGTATTAAAACAATCCCTTAGATCGCTGTTAAAACATGTATTTTTTTCATCATGACGCTTATTTATCCAGAAAAGCCTGAGTCTCAAGACTGCTTTTCAGCAGGGTCCTGGCAAGTACTTTGCACGTGTCAATCCATCATTATAACCGTCTATGCTTCGTTCTTCCCTTAAAACGTACATATGTCCCCTTACTTACCAAAACTCCCCTTCCCTTCAGCATCATTAACTCCATCCCTCTTCCCAACTTGCCTACCCATCCATCACACTCACTCATCATCATCAACCACTCACTGGCACTTTCATCCTCGTTTATTTTACGCACCGTCATATTCATCACGCATTGCCATCCTCATCAACTCATCTCATCCCATTACCTTATTCTACCGTTCAAATAGTTCAATATTTGTTCAGCCCCTTGGTCAAGACGCTATAAAAATTAAAATAAGATAAGACGCAAATTTAGTTTAGCCCTGGGATGTTTGGCCAAGGCTCAGAACCAAACACGTTGCTGGTTTTACCCTCGACACTGCAGATGTGCCCCCCCCCCCTTTCTCCACAACCAGGAATCAAATGGCTTGCATCTTCGGCAAGCCTATAATCGCTGCAGCGCTTCCAATGCTCAAGATCGGATACAGCGCGCAAAATTACCCGACACTTTTGCGTCAAAATAGCGTCGAGAAATTTAAAAAACAAATATTTCTCCTTTTCTTTCACGGAATGTCCGCATCTCCGGCGTGCCAACGAACACTTGGGAATAAAACAAATGTATCACGCAAAATTGGCGACGTCTTTGGCCATTTCAGTTAAAACTTCAAGGAGAGTAACCGCGCGTGTCGTTGTTATTGTTGTTTACGTCCGTTGTTGTTGTTGTTGGTGTCGTAAACCCGCTCGGCGTGTTCTGTCCAGAGGTCCCTGACCCAGGTGCTTGTTTACGAGGCCCTCCATCCGGTCGGGTTTCAAGGCGCCGCTCTGGCCACCACCTATACATATTTATATTGTCTCACAAATCACAGTAACGGGCTGTATATTCCTCTCAATGGTGGACCGTTTCGACTTGTCTACATCTTTTGCACGAACCTCGCCCGAATATTTACTCTGGGCCGAAATTGTAAACCCCGACTTTTTCCATTCCTTTATGACGTCGGGACGTTTTAAGCGTGCCACTGTGTACACAATGCGTTATTTGCACGGCACGACCGCCGCACATTTACGATTGTGAGAAAGCGTAACACGACGGCAGCGCATCATCTCGAGGGGTCATGATTCGGGTCACGATCCGAGCGAACGCACACGCGATACGGGCAGGCATCGCGAAGCGAGCGACCTCAAATCTCATTACCAACACGCACCTTGCATTCGAGAGGTCGCTGGACATATTCGCGCCCGGGGCAAGGCGCACTCTCCCCTCCTCCCTCCTCCTCCTGCTGCTGCGGCGCCGGCAACGCCCCACCCACAATTTGAACCACCACGGCCTCCAACTGCTTTGCTCTGTTTCGAACAATTCTTGCTCCGCTCTATGGAGCGGCGCCTCCCCCTGGATGGGTGTCCGTGGCGGCCTTTGCGCCCTTGCTCCCCCGACAAGGCCTGGCACTGCCTGGCACCACATGCTGCGGTGTTGATATTTACCGTATTCTGCTCCGGAAAGTAAGGCTCCACAAATTGCAATTTAGCCAAACCCTCACGTTGCTACGGGGAGGCGTGGTGGAGTGCGCGGTGTGGTGATGAATTGACTCACCACGAGGCCACCCGGTTCATTTGGCTCGGCAAATTGAAACGGCGGCTCCTGCTGCCCTCGGCTCATGATCAGGTCACGGGTCAGGTCAGAGGATCGCGACCCAGACCACAACCACTTTCTTTCATACCGAGTCCCCCCCCGCCCCCTCATCCACACACTTACCCGTCCTGCCCCCTCAATGTCGGAAAATAAACACGTGTGTGGCCTGAGTGCCAATGTAAAATCGTGACTTCATCAGCAGCAGCCATGCTCTATCACTGCTGAAGGCTCCACGATCTCAAAACCCATCTCACTCCTGCATATGAGCTTATCTCATAACTCTTATCTCCAATAATATCTTAGGTCATCATAGGTCATGGTCTATCTACTGCTGAATAACGGCCTCCACCCACGCAGTCTCCGTCATTCAAGGTGCCGGTGATGCTACGATCCATCTCGCTCGTGCATATGAACCGATCTCATCGCTCCATCTCTGCGGCGGTCGCCCTCCTGGGCGCGTTTTCTCCCGTGACGGCCATTCGGTGACCGCGCAAACTCATCCATCGGCCGTGACAAATTCTGGTGCCACTCTCTTACACAAACATCGCATTGCTCGCCGTGGGATGGCCTCAAAACAAATGGGGGATGTGTGTGGCAGGGCTTGGTGCTCAGCGGTTAAATTATTTTTGTGTTTTAACTTGCCCCAAATCTCATCTTCATTGCGCTATTGGAGGAATTCACATGACGAGGATCCAATCCGGATCACTCGAAGGGCCGTGCAAGTCTGCACGATAGAGAATGGCCGGTGGAAGCGGATTTCACAGAGATAGATTTAAGATCCCTTCAAGTGACCTGGCCCACATAGTAGAGGGCAGCACTTCGCCACCCGCTTGTCGCGTGACCGGAGAACCGATATTTAAAATGTTCAGAGTTGGAATTTAACCAAATCAAGTACAGAACCAAACGTATTGGCGGCTCGGCTCTGGCTCTGCTTCTTAACGCGGCTCGGGTTGGAGCTGCTCAGTTGCTTCCAAAGACGCATCAGCGGCTCAGCCGTGGCCTGGCTCAGGCTACGCTCATGGAAATCCTCAGCACGGCTGGGAACATGTTACAGCTGGTTCAAGTGAAGTGTAGCTGTGAGTCGGCTTATTGGAGCCAGAGCCAAGCCTGAGGCCGAACCGTGACTCAAGAATACACGGACCTTAATGTGATCTTTTTTCGTGCAGCCATTGATGACCGGGCTGAGGCCATCAACTCTACTGGACATCTGTGAAAATGAGTTAATAGCTCATCGGATTGTTCCAGCATAAATATACTTATTCTGAGCAGGCGGCTGAAAGACGTGGATTTAAGCCCACTACTCTCAGTGATTGCCGGCTCAGTGTCTCTCGGAGCCACCTGAATTTCACGACAGCCGCCTTCGTGGTGCGAGCCGCTTCCTCCTCCTCTGCCACCGCCGTCGCGTGTATTGACTCAACGCGCATCTCGCCAAATAGTCGCTCGCTCAGAGGTGCGGCGAGGTTATGGGAGCACAACGATGGGGGGGCGGTGGGGGGGGAGGCATGGAAAGGGGGGGGGGGGCTCGCTGGAAATTGGTTTTCACGTCAAAGCTTTACAAACACTCATTACTGCGGTGATTTATGTGGCCCCGTAGGCTAGCGGGGTGAGCGGTTGCGAGGTGAGGGTGAGCAGGGTTGCGTGCCGGTGTGCATGGAAACAAGCGAGGGGTGGAGGGGAGGGGGTTTGGGGGATGCGGTGAGGTAGTCGAGGGGGGGGGGGGCACGTGGTGAGCAAGAGAGGTGTGACGATGCATCGTTCTTCATTTGCCGCACGCGATTGAGACACGTGATCCCGGCAGCCACTAGAGGTCGCTACATGCACCAGATGGAAAAGGATTCGCGACTGTGTTGAGAGTGCAAATCCCACGTGCGTGGCACACGTGGCCACGTAATTCAGATGATTCAGTTTGACACGTAGAATTTCGCGACTAATATCATCAATAATGTAGTTTATTTGGAGGGTTAGATCGTGTAAATATATAAATGCGCTGTTAAACCCGCAAACACCCGACACGGCCAATTGATAAGGTTTGTTACGTAAACAAAACATGCCAATTCGTTACAATATTTTGTTTACGTGACAAGCCTTACTAATTTGCTGTGTCGGATGGTGGCGGGTTTAACGACATATTTATATTTACGCGATCAACCCCATAAAAAAACCCTCTAATTTGGATATTGGACGCGAAAGCCTATTGTGTGTTTAACAGTCTGCAGATAGACTATCGCGACCTACCAACGGCGTGTGATTACTATCTCGGAGGCCTTCACCACGCGGAAACAAGTTGAGGGGTTCACAGACGGGCGAAACCTTTTCAAGAGGAAGTTCAGCTCTCCCCGCTGTGTTTGCGTTGTGAACGCGAATGATTCCGTGACCTTAAAAAACTCCCCAGCGCGTAGAGCGAAACGTCAGACATCATCATCATCATCCCTAACAAACGCGCTCTGACGTCGCCAAATAAATAAAAACTCACCGGAGAGAAACCACGGATCACAGCCGCGACAAGACAGGCAACAGGGGGGACGTGAATGGCACTGCAACTCCCGCGTGTGGGAAGCTCATGCTGGACTTGCGGTGGGAATTGGGGTGGAGGGGGCAGTACTGGCGATAGGCAAGTGCGGAAAGGGCCACCCAGGCAGAAATGATGGCCGCATTATGTCACGGTTGTTGTGCCGTTAAGTCACAGTTGTTGTCACGTAATTAAGGCAATAGGCGAATTACCACAGACTAATTACGATTACGCGTGTAGCGAGTCACTTCGGAGACACTAATAGGAGGAGGCACATACGTTTATTCTACACTTAAACACTTCTGTTCACACACGGGATAACTACGGACGGGTCAGGACAGCTGGGACGCTGCCTGACTCATGACGCCGGAGACGAAGACGCAGCACCTTGGGTTCCATTCCAAACGACAGCTCCGATCCATCCTCGGGACCTCCCTTTTATGCCTCCAGCGTGGCCTGGCTCCGCCCTCGGGCACGCCCCCTTCTGGAACCTACCAGAAGGTTTTGGGCTATACCCCACGTGTCCCCTCTGTCACCTTTGCCCTACATTCCTTACCCCGGCCTATCACGTGCCCTGTTAGCCGACCAGGCTGCTACGTCCTCGAATGCCCTCTCTCTGCAAGCAACCAGCGCTACGCACCCTCGTGACCCATTCCATGGCACTGCATTCTCTGCTGGCAGATCGGCTGCTACACCCACAATTCCCCTCTCTGCCAGCAACCAGCACTACGTGCCGTAGTGACCCATTCTATGTCACTACACATGTGTAGTGACATCGCTGGATGTCACCATGCTGTGGGTGCGGTACCGACCCTAGAGGGGCACGGTGTGTGTGTGTCGACCTGAGGGGAAGGTCAGGTAAGGCCATGACAGTCTGGTTGACCCGGGATGACACGTGACCGGTTAGAATGATAGGGGGGGCCCCAAGAGGGGGCTGTGAGGGTCACGTGATAGGAACCGAGGTTCTTCGTGAAGGTTCTGGAAAGGGGGCGTGGCCAGGAGCGGAACCGGCCACGCCGGAGAGAAAATAAGCCGAGTTCCGAGAGGGATCGTGGCTGTCCGTCCCGGGGAAGAAACCCTTCGACTACAATCTCCGTTCTGCGAGTCTTCCAGCACGTGGACCCGGGCAGTATGCTGTTCAGGGGCGGTTTCTTCATTAGGGCGATTGGGCGACGCACCACCAATGTCATTCAACCACAGAGTCACGCTAGCCGTCACTGTGCCTCTGGATATAGTCCAATCAGCGTCATGTCACGTTCTGTGGAGTACCACCTCTTTTTGGGCGATTTCACTCCGGCTGAGAATCGCCCCGAGTGGCCCCATAGACTTACATTCAAAGATGTTTTTTTTCGACCGGGGGGCGCTGCAATGCATTCTCTATGGCTTCCGGGAGGGCTCGCCCTAACGTGCTTACGTCATCATACGTAAGCACGTTTCATCCAACAATATAATTTGTCGCCACCTAGTAGAATCTTTAATAAAAGAAACTTGAGTGGATTGTATTAATAGTGAATATAGAAACAAACAAGATGTATTGTAAGAGTCACTTTATTTTTCATTAATATTAAAGAAGTGAATTTGCCTTTACATGCTTAAGCTGTTAATTTATTCATTGCATGGGTGGACCTTATCCTTATCAATCATCCAGACATTTGCCCCTCCTGAGAGATTTTGCAGGAGCCGCCACTGATGCTGTTGGTCCCGGGTCCAGAGTTAATAGTTACTCAGTAACCAGTGTAGTTAGCCAGGCTGGTCACCACCCTAGGTCGTTGTCTTGTTAAAGGGTGAAGTCATCCCATTGTGTTGGAACTAAATAAATGCGCTGCCTCCAAGTGGCTATGTTAATGTGAGAGATTAGCATGTTAATGGGAGATCGCAGAGCAACAACGTCGAGCTCGGTGAGCGAGGTGGCATATTCTTAGGTTTTTTCGGTAAAGTCACGGAGGTAAAACATCAAAATTAATAAAAATTAAATAAAAGAAAGATCACGACGTTTCGGAGGCAACACAAGTCTCCGTCATCAGGTGGGAAGAGAAAAAACCTAAGAATATGAATCCTTGCAGTCACGAAAGCTTCAAATCTAGAGCGAGGTGGCCTTTTTTGTGGGGAAATTGAACCTGTTAATGTAAAATCAGAGCCCCGCCCACTTCGTTTATGACCCTTGGGCTACACCCATTTTAAACCTTTAAAACTGTCTGCCTCAGCAGCTGTCCCCCTCTTTTTTCTTCCTGATGACGAATGCTTGTGTTGCGATCGAAACGTCGTAGTTTGTTGTTATTTTTTGTTATTTTCTTGGAACCTATCTACCGAAAGACCCAAGGATATGAATTCCTGCAGTCACGAAAGCTTTAAGTCAAGATTTAACAAAAACTATGCAACAGTTTTTTTTTTATTTTACCAGGTAAGACCCGCTGAGCTGTTATAGCTCTTTTTCCGAAGTGACCTGGTCACAAATGACAGCTCAACATACGTGGCTTATCATGTGGAACTGAAAATAAAACTCCCAATATACAGGGCTCGGACCCACAACCTCCTGTAAACCAGGCGAGGTAGTTAACATCTCGCCACCGTGGCGCACCCCAAGAAGAGACGATGGGAAGGGAATTCCAAAGCAGCAGTGCGAGGGAAGAAGCAACGAGAGAATTGTTGACACGGCTGGAGGAAACGACGAGTGAAGTTCACGGGGACTGTAGCCATGGTGGTGGTAGTAGCAGGGACATAACAGTGACAAGGAGGCGAGCGAGTAAGTGGCCATCCATTTAGTCTGTACGCATGGAGGGGTGGAGGGGGGTTAAACCAAATGCGTACGCTTTGGTTCTTTCGGTAAAGTCACGTATAAAGATAAAATAATAAATTAAATAATAGCATACTACTTATTATTTTATCTTTATACGTGACTTTACCGACAGAACCAAAGAGTAATCCCTGCAGTCACGAAAGCTCCAAATTAAGATGAAATGCGTACGCTTGCGTATGGGGAGGTCTACTGACAATGTGTGTACGCATGGGAAACGGGAGGGGGAGGGGAAGCCACGATAATAATTTGTCTACATTGGCCTTCAAATGAGCCACAGTTCAGTTTCTTCAGCTGTCAGACAACAAGTCCTGCCGGGAGAAGTGGGACTGTTGGAGAGGTGTCACTTCGTGTGCCACCGTGCCCCTGGCTGCAGCTATCACGCAGCTCGGCAAAATAAGTGGCCAAGGTACGCAACTTAATTATTTAATGCATTTTTTCTGCGTGGATTAAATATCGGCCGTTCTATAGGATTCGGGGGGGGGGCGTCATGCGTACGTACGCAGGTGGGGGGTGGGTTTGGGGGGGTGTAAAAAGTCCGCGTGCGTACAGGGAGGGGAGTGAGGGGTCAAGTTTTGACAGCTTTTGCGTATCTACTAAATGAATGGCCCCTTGCTGCTTGGCGCCACCCCATTCGTGATTTCTGGCTGCTGTAGAGGCACGCAACCTCCCACTCCTCCCGCCCCAAACGCAGCGCAGAACCACAGGAACCTCCCCCCCACACCCCCTCCCGGCGTCTCGGCAAGCGCTAATCAATTAACCGCCCCGCGCAAACTTTTTTCCAGTTCCTACACCAGAAGCGGGTGTTTGCTCCTCGCCACGTCGGGTTGAGGGAGGTCCAAAGCGAGGGGGCGAGTTGTCTGCGTGTGGATCGGGTCAGACGAGGAGGCGAGCGCGTTCGGCGAGAGACACTCGGTTCGCTGGGACGCGCGTTTGGCTTGAGACGGGGAACTGCAAAGTGAAGGCGAGGCGCTCTTGACGCGCGGGGCGGATGTCGCGGCCATGGGCTGCAGAGGAAACAAGACTTGCTGCCGGCACTGGTGGGGCTGGGTGGTAGCCCTGGCTTACTTCGGCTACCTGCTGATAGGAGCCGCCGTGTTCCAGGCCCTGGAGAAGGCGACCGAAACGTCGAACCAGGAGAACCTGCAGCTGGAGAAACTGGAGTTTCTCCGCAACTACACTTGTCTGGACGCACAGGCGCTGAAGCAGTTTGCGCAGGTAAAACCACTGCACGTTCATGTGGCATATTCAACACCCTCCCGTGGTGCGCTCGCCTGTAACAACAAGAACACCACACCCCGAGTATGAGCTGTTATCATGCATATGACCTAATGTCTTACTCGATACTTTCCGGATCAGCTCTGGGTTAGCTCAGAGTAGGGAGTGTCTGCTTAACACAGTCGCAACGGCGTTGTTAATTTAGGATTTTTTTTAAATAATCATGGGATGGCATGATTCGTATAAATGGCCATCAGAGCCAGTCCTGTCGCTCGTTTAAGATGAGCGGTCCCGTGGCAGAGAACCCCGTGTGTGGTTCCGGACACCCCCAGAGATACCCCCGTGTGTGGATCCCGACTCTCCGAGCTCACAGACGTTTCCCCTGGCAGGTGGTGGTGGAGGCCATGTCGCAGGGTCTGCACCCCGAGGGGAACTTCTCCAGCATCACCAACTGGGATTTCAGCTCCTCCTTCTTCTTCGCCGGGACGGTGGTGACCACGATAGGTTGTTGAGCGGCGTGGGGCGGGGGGATCAACTTCTCAAATATATGAATGATAATTGATTGTGTAACCAAACTAATTTTGACCCTGGGTAGTAAGTGTTATTTCCTAATTGTTCATGCCTCAAAGTACAGAAGATGGCTATTATTCCCCACAAACTTTGTGGGGAATATAGGAAAGTGATATTTTGAAACTTACCTATTTTCATCTTCTATTTTCAATGAGAAAACGTATGCATTTGTGTCTTTCGTTCACATAAAGTCCTGGTCACAAAAGCAAAGTTTGTGAGGAATAATAGCCATTTGCTGTACTTTTTAGGCATAAGCAATTAAAAAATAACACTTAGTACCCAGGAACAAAAATTGTGTTACGTAGTGTAACCTAAAGGTAAAGGTGCAGCACTGCAATTGCTGTCAGAAGTGGCCTTCCGCTGCAGAACCCCTCGAGAGGTGTTTATGGACGACTCTTCCACGCTGGGCAGATATCTTAGGAGAGGTGGGAGTAACCCACGATTCATATCACCAAGAGCGATTTTGTCGATCGCCCAATTTTGGTGAACCCATTTATACGCTGCTGCGTGGACAGAGACTGGAGTATTTAAGGAACGTGCCCCGTTGTTTCAATTTCCGCGCCGGGAGATGGAACCGGCGACCTTTGGATTACAAGTCCGATAACCATGACCCCACTGCAGCATCAAACAGCATCATCATTAATATTTATGATGAAGATTATTATTTATCCAGGAAAGCCTCGATAAGTCTCAAGGCGTTTTTATTCAGGAGGGTCCCACTGCATTGGGTTTGTATTTTCAGATATTTTCAGCCAGTTCGTGAGTTGCGTTTATTATACAAGTGGGATGGAAACCAGAGCACCGGAGAAACTAAATGCACGCAAAGGGGGTAACAATCTATGCCTGTATAGATAGAAACAGATGCCGATTAGTCCACACGTTGCTGTACTGCCTTCTCCTGGCGAGTCAGGTTGTGGCACCTCGATGCCCACGGGAAGGGCGTTGCACAACATTTATCTGGTGACCCACCAACCCTCACTGCCTTCACAGCGCTGGATAGCAGGCAGCCACTTGCATAGCCGCCACCAGCCGGCTCAGAATAAAAATAAAAACCCTTCCTTGGTCGATGGCTTAAATGTATACACGATTTTGTATTCCATTTACACAATGGAGCAAACACCGTACTACCTGTTCAGTACATCATTAGGTATATGTAGCATTACGACTTCAGACGCTTGGGGGATTTTATAAATAGCAGGTGCTCAGTGCACGCCGATAGTACAAAGTGGGCAGTAAGACTGAGCCGTTGATTATAGTAACCTATGGCAGGTAAACAAAAGCAGGTGTGCGGGGTCATAGGGTTCCAGAGACAATCACGGCATTGGGGGGGGGGGGGGGGGAGAAGCAAAGGGAGAAAGAATGTGTGCCCTGCAATCGAGGAGCTGAAGACGGAGTGAGCCGTGGCGATGGCTATGGCATTTATGATGCGCTCAGCAGAAGGGACATTGCCCAAAACATCACCTATTATATGCTACCGTACTTCGTGTGAAGGCCGCAGGGTCAGTGACGAATGCGTTGAGATTTGTTTTTTTCTTTACTTCTGGGGAGGTGCGGCATTGGCATAGCAGCCACCCTGATACAGACTACTCTACCTGGCTGGCCCTGACTACGGCGCTGTGAAGAAGGGCCATCTGCCCCGAAACGTCGCCAAATATACGTTCCTTCCCAGGCCACCAGTGTTACTGACGAAAGGTGTTGAGTTTTTGTTATCGTGGTTGTCGTCTCGGTAGAGATCACGCCGCAACGTCGACTGGGCAAGCGGCTCTTGCACCGTGCCCCGCGCCGATTCGGCTCCAAGGGCTTCTCAGGGCTCTGCGCTCACCTGCGGTGGCGTTTTGCCTTCCCAGCCCATCCCGATCCCCAGCTGCAGGCACACCGCCTCTTGTTTGAACGATTTCGTCAAAATTTTTTTTAAAAGATCAAGCCCAACAACAATGTTTAATGTGAGCTTCATTGCTCTACCACCATCTATTTTATATATCCAGTATATATGCATCTAAGGGCACTCACTTGTACAGTCGTGTGTCATATGAATGCCAAATATGAAAATTGAACAGAGAATGAGAAAGGGGCGCTGGGGTAAGGTCAGGGTCCGTGGGAGGGGTAGTGCTCGTGGCTGGTTAACGAGTTGGTTAGTCTAAGGGCTAGTGTTAGTAGCTGATGGACTAACTGTTTAAGCTCGAGGGGTCGGGCTAGTTACATTAGAATCATTATTTACGATGGAGGAATTCGATAAGCGATTAAGTTCTTTTTCACAAATCTCCAGCGGGGAGTCAGCGAGTTACATCAACAAACGATACAAAGAACGATATTAAGAGCAAGAAAGAGATAAGGTGAGCAAGTCTCTCTAAATAAATAAAGTTTACAAGTAGGTGTTGCATAAGCACACATTTCTGCCGAATTGTCAACACCAAATGCAAGCTTGGGCGAGGCAGCAAACTGCAACACCATAATAACACACAATAGTCCCTCGATTGCATTGTGCAGTGACATCGAACTATAAATATCTTATAAGATTTACGGTGTTAAGGGAGGAAACAAGGTTGTTCCAAAACCTTTGGTGCTGCAACGGCAAAGGCGTTTGTCACCTATTTCAATTCTTGTTTTTAGAGTAAGGGGTCGTCCATAAATGACGTTACGCACCTAGAGGTGCGGGGGGGGGGTCAGACATGTGTGACGAGGGGGGGGGGGGGTTGAGAAATGTGACGTCACATCAAAATGCGCAACTTAAAAAAAAATCTAGACAACACGTTCTACTTAATTAAATATACTTTTTAATACATTTTTCTCCTACAACATCAGAGTGCAGCGCCACATTAAATAGGCACTTCAATGACAATAGTATAGAGCGATTTGAAGAATGTTTATTTTCAAAATAGAAATATGGTTTTGGGAAGGGGGGCAGAGCTTTCTGACTTTTTGTGACGCCGTGTGACGAGGAGGGGGGGGGTCAAAAATCGTCCAAAATCGCGTGACGTCGTTTATGGACGGCCCCTAATGACGCCGACACGTTGGAACTATGATGTGCCTTTATTCGGACACAGCACTCTCTCGGCCCAGACTTCGTCTTGGACCCCGGTCTTCACTCGAACCTCTCCTCCCCTCGTGCTCTCTCCTTTTATCTCCCCGAGCCCTCTTTCTCAAACCTTCTCTCTCACCCCACTCTCCTCATCCAATCCTCTTCCTTCTTCCCCCAACGGTTGACAACAGTCGTCTTTACAGTCTAACTTCGCTTTGCACCTTTTCCATTCAAACCGCCCTCCGGTCCCATTGAATATTGCCTCCCAATCAATCTCTGGAGGCCTCTCTGTGCCAATCGGAGGCCTTGGCCTACTTCCTGGTAGTCTGTTTACTTCGGGTCAGTGATCTGGATTTTCGGTCATTACATTAGGATAGGCAATTCGATGGATGTCTTAGGTTTCTTGGGTTTGACAATGGGGATAACGAATTAGCTAAGTATATTCCAGCTTTGCAAATAAGGATTTTATGGATGAACAGGGCCTAGTGTACATTTCGTCTTGCATCAAGTGATGGGAGACTGGATTTTAAGTAGAAGTCACAATGGTGGGTCCTGTATGGTCCATCCAGTGCAAATCGAAGAGCAGAATGATGAAGCGGGTATTAGTCTGTTTAGTGATTCATTAGAAGCTGATTGGTAAGCAGCGATGCAGTAGTCAAAATTATAGAATGATAGCCTAAATAATTTGCAGGCGCAGCCGAATTGGAAAACTGCGTTTCTGTATAAATCCCATAATATTTTGTAAGATTTGAGATGTGATCAATATGGAGTTGGAATATAAGTTTTGAATCAATCAGTTAACTGAAGTATTTGAAGCGCTACATTTGCTGTATGTATGTTGAACGTGTTTCGCACTGTGCATAGCCAACCGTGCTCATCAGTTGTTGTCTGTTGTTTCCCCGTGCCTCAGAATCACAAACACATCCTGAGCACATTACAAACGTGCAACTTGAATGCTGCTCAACTGTCTCGGCAGGCTACGGACACCTGGCGCCCAATACGGTGGGCGGGCAGGTGTTCTGCGCCTTCTACGCGCTCTTCGGAATCCCCTTCAACGTGATCGTGCTAAACATGGTCGGCAAGAGCATCACGCGGCACGCCAAGCGCCTGGAGATGCGGATCCGGAATAAGGGCTTCAACAAGGCAAGGAGGCAGCCCGGGCGAACGCGCTTGCTCGCTCTTGCACACACACGCAAGCGCAAGCACACGGTGCCAGTGTGCAGCCTGTGCGGACCGTTGGGGCGAGCGCCACTACCGAGTGGCACCTGTGAAGGCTGGCAGAGCACATGAAGGGGGTGTTGCGGCCAGGGCCACGCCCTGCCGCCTTTGCCTCTCCGGTGCTGCGCCAGGTATTCGATTACAGGGACTCCTCTACTTACGAATGAGTTAGGTTCCAGAGGTCTGTTCGTAAGACGATTTGTTCGTAAGTCCAACTTTACTCCGGTCGATTCCAAACATGTTGTACAGCATGTATATTAAACCACAGGGAATGAATTTAAAAGTTGTATAATATCCTGTAGATGCAGATGCCACTGGTACTTCATGTACTGCAGATGTAGATGCCACTGGTAATTCATGTTCTGCAAATGTAGATGCTAATTCCGTTTGGTGCTCGTGTTTCCTCTTTACTCTCTTGAAAAACTCATTCCGAACAGGCAACTGGACATACGGACAGGTTTTGTTCGTATCTCAGAACGTTCGTAAGTCGATTGTTCGTAAGTATAGGAACCCTCGTACAGCAGAGTTGTGCGAGGTCAGGTCAGGAACCAGTTCTGATATCACAGGCAACTAAAGTAGCCATGGTTGGGAATCAAACCCAGGTTGCCTGGTTCGAAGTGCAGGCTAGGCACTGTATCGCCACTCACACGCTGCACACGCTGTAGGCGCAGCTTTCATGTACGAAAAAAAAACTACGCCTTAACCTAAGTGGAGCAATGCGTCTGACGCGTGTTTGACGTGTCTCAAATCAAGAACTGTTTATTTATTTCTTAGTTGCACAAAACGATCGGTTTCCAAAGTTACATCTCGTTTCTACTTTATCACGTGATCACACGTGGTCAAAAGACTGTCCACTCGCTCCATATTAGGGTACTCCTGGCTTCTGTTTTGCTGCCAGACCGGAAGTGACGTCATGGGTTCAACCAACGGAGCATTTAACCAAGAGGCATTCTAAACAGTTGAATATTCCAAGTCAAATATTCCCAATGTTAAACAAATGTATGACAAATGTACATCAAATGTATACACATAAATGATACATTCACTTTCTGTATTATGGCTCTTACACTCGCACACACTTGCACCGGACAGGTGGCTCAGCTGGAGAGTGAGCAAATCACGATCGGAAGGTTGCGAGTTCAAATTCTGGTTGGGGGTTGACTCAGCCCATCTTCTCACCAGGGTCGATAAAATATAGTACCGCTTTGTGGGGAAGTCAAGAGTGGTTGACCTATGTAAGCACTCGCTCCTGCCATGAGAACGTATAATTTCCACTCCTGGCTCAGGACATGATTTAAAGGACCGCTTTACGCACAAGCGCCAACCACGTGCCAACGTTGGTGCAACGTTGCCTGCTAAACCTACCGCACGCGACGTTCCCACGCAGAGGAAGGTGAAGGTGGCCATCGCGCTGCTGTCGCTGCTGGGAGGGACGGTGCTCTTCCTGCTGCTGCCCCCGCTCGTGTTCGGCGTGCTGGAGGGCTGGACCTACACCGAGGGCTTCTACTACGCCTTCATCACGCTCAGCACCATCGGCTTCGGGGACTACGTGGTCGGTGAGTGGCACGGAGGGCGCGATCGCCCTGCGCCGTCGCCCTGAGTGAGGCTTTAATGATGACACACGCGATGAGTTCATTTGCACCCCGGTCTTGTTATTACCATTACGCTTGTTCACCCAGGAAAGCCTCGCTGAGTCTGATGAGAATTTTTAAGTGTCCTGTCAGGTTTTCGCACTTTGGGAGGGCCACGATTGCTGTGTGTTTCCCAATTAACTATCTGGCATATTATAGGATCATGATGCTGACAGACAATGCCCTAACTCTTCTTCAACTGTGACGTAAACGGTACGTTATGATTTTACAATGAATACACCTGCGGTGATAGCCAGGGCGACCCACTGCAGTGTGTACACATCACCACTGGGGAGACAAAGTAACTGGGGCATGGTGCCGGCCGCCCACACCCTTGCACGCCATGCCGAGCCTTCTTTAGGTGTTCATGAATGGCACTCTCCCCAACAGTGTCAGAGGCCACAAGGGGGACCTTTTGTCTTTTTGTACGTCCGTGCACCGCAGGAAACAACCCAAACCGCACGTACGCGCACAGCTACCGCGGACTGGTTGCCCTCTGGATCATATTCGGCATCGCCTGGCTCGCCGTCATCTTCAACCTGTTCATGGGCATCATAGAGGAGTCCAAGAGAGTGCTGAACAAGGTTCGTTTCAAGCCGCGACAGAACGGGAAGTTCTGTGTGCTGATGTGCGCCGATACTCCCATCCGGAAGTCGGGCAGCACCTCTGACGAGAGACTGGGCACCAACTACGGCTCCGCAGCGACGCCTGAGAAGGAGTGCGCGGAGCCCACGGGCGTCTCCCGGACGCCGTCCTCCACGGACAGCATCGACGGGGGCGAGGCCGAGATAGCCCTCAAAGTGTTGGGGGTCGCCAACGCTCACTGACGTCGTCGTTCCGCGTAGCTCTCCTTCCGACTGGGGAAGGGGGGGTCGTGTGGGCGGGGGGCGGGGGAACAAGCGAGGCGCTCCATTCGCCTCCTGAAAAAGCTGCCAGCATGTGGAGTGAAACAGTCGGCGTCATCGTCGTGAAACACACCGGGAATTGCTCCGCAAAGTAAAACGCTTGACAAAACGATCAGGAAAAAAGCCACGCACGTGCACGAATTCCGCAACGCTTTTCAACGTGCGTCTGTCCTCGGAAGCATTTCGCGAGCGATCACGATGTCACATTTTAAGCCGCACAATGACACGACATCACACGCAGTGCCGCCATCGGGAGGCGAGGCACGAATGCTGATGCGTGACGTCATTACATTGGCCAGCAAGGAAAACACTTTTAGCGCTGGTTTTTATTGCTTAATTATGGGAACCTCTTTGGTAAATTTGGCAGATGGTGTCTTGGGTCAGTCCCTAATAATAACGCTACTTTAAACTGAAATTATGTTAACAATGGATCATATTCCACCCCCTCCCCCTATTGTATCTATCACGACCATGTAGGATAGTAAGGTCAGCGTGGTCGCTTTGCTTAGACATTTTTTTGGATAAATAAGGGTACTGTAGTACGTTTGGTAGAGAATATAAAATATTTACGGACATGAACAATACATATTATGTTTATAAAAACGGTATTGACACTAAGATTACAGCCCATGTTGGTGAATACTGGTAGCACAACCTTTCCCCAAGTGGAACTGGCCAACCACCTTGGACCATGGGCAGTCTGTGTTCCACACAGAGGAGGCTGTTGTGGGGTCGCTTATCTCTGACAGGGAGAACATTTAACTTGAAAAGGTGTAACGGTTATGAGGGCAGTCCATTTGTGTGCTGGGCCAGACATCGTTCACCCTGACCAGCGTTATCATAACTTGCTTGCAAAGGAATCGACGAGCACACCTGTGCCGCACGTGTGCACGACCCAATGATGTACCAAATTCGCTTCCATTGTCGTGGTACACGAGCCAGGAGTCTTGTCTGAAAGACGCGTCCGTTTGAAGACACCGAGGTTTCTTGTGCATTCTCACAGAGCGCACGAACGGTTAAACGCAGTGCCCCACGTTTTTTTTATCGCCCGTGCCAGTTGACTGATAGCGAGACGGCACTTGCAACACAACTTCTTATCTCCTGGAAAAGTGTACTCCATACCTAATAGACATATAGTTTACAACTTTGGACTTGATATGTAAACAGCTGGGTTGGGTTTTTTTTCTCCTTCCAAGGGTTCAATGATACGTTATTGGAAACTCACTACAAGGCCGTAATTATAATATATATTGGGGGGGGACACATCCCCCCCGATATTCAAATATGCTCAAAATGTCCCCCCCCCAATATATTGCTATAAAAATAATTGCTATGCTATGTAGATAAAAACAACAATTTGCTAAACCTTGGCCACAATATCTGGACTTGTCTTCTTATAAATTGTGGTTATGGTTGTACTTTATTAATCCGTAATCTCTGCCATTACATACAATGAAACAAGAAATGGTAAAAACAAGTCAAAACAGAGCAATGTAATACAATACACTATTCGACATTATTGTAAATAAATAAATAAAAAGCACATGCCATGTGTTAGTGAATTTTTAAATATTTTAGACAGGAAATTAGTTTTCAAGTTTAGATATTTTTCTGGGTTGGGACCCCCAGACACCCTGGAAGATTTGGTCCCCCCCCCAATGTTGACTCCATGTCTACGGCCTTGACTCACGATATAGTTTTTTATTTAATCGTTGAACATCTTTTGCTTTACATTTCCATCTTTCAAGGCCACGTAAAATATATCTATAATCTAGCGGGCAAAGGGAACAAAGAGAGATTTCGACGCGGGCGTTCTCAGTCGCACGCCGTCGCCTGTCGCTCCGCTCGGGCACGGCACGGCAACTGGGGCCTTGGGCTGTGTCGGTGGGGGGTTGTGCCGAAGGCGTGCGATCAAACCGAAGGACGATGATCTTTGAACCACCTGCGTTCCTCGCACTCCCGACGCCGCTTGGGAGCCGCAGCCATATAAAGTTTTAGCGCTCTGCCGCGCGTTTATCAAGGGCACAGCCCAACAATCGTCAAATCCTTGCTGCATGTGTAGAAGCCATAATCGCGTGCACATCTCTGAAAATAAACTGACATACATTCTTTATTTACAAATGTATAAACTCTTGCGGTTTTTGTTGTTGAGGCGGTCGTGCATAACTTATGCCAACGTTATCTGCAAATGTTTTCAGAACTGATGTTACTGATGCTAATCAGCGGCATAATTATATTATCCGAGTGCCGAATAGTGTTTCTCGAATATGCTCATTGGACGGACACTGCAACATTGAGGCAACGTGGATGCAAAAATGATATAAGCCGCATTTCTCTTGCAACACGCATGCCGTCTAACCGTGAATAAGCTGCAAATTCGAGACAACACATTTTCCTGCCGTGGAAATGGACACTGGAGGAGGCTCCTGCCCAGGTCGTGGTGCCGTGGGCACTGCGATAGGCTCACCGCATCCTCGATTGGATTTCCTCATTTTGTCAAAGCCTTGAGCGATGGGTGGGAGGGGGGGGGCAAAGCTCGCTCACGGGGCTTAGAGCTCACACCTGCGGGGCTTAGAGCTCACACCTGCGTCTGTACACAGCCTGCCACCTCCGGTGCCTTCCCCGCATTGTTCCCATTCGCACGTCAAACATGGGGTTGCCAACGGAGCGACTGAACGCAAACTCAAAGGGGGGGGGGAGTCCTGTATTTGCGCAACACACACGCCGCTGAGGGAAAGGCAGGTAGCTTGCCAAGCTGCATTAACGATCGCGCGCGGCTCCTTTATTAATCCACTGCTGGATGAGGGCCTCGAGTCACCGTGCAGGTAGCGGGCTATTTGTTTTACCATACTTCACCACGCCGGTCAGTGTGGGTTGGTGACGGTGGGAGCACAGAGGTACAGCACAATAGTTTTGCAGCACTGCGCTCTGCTGTCTACCGCACTGCTTAAGAAACTGTAAGCTCTGGCAGCGGTGATAAATCCAGCTGTGCCATAAACAGGAGCTCGGAGAGAACTTACAAAACCGTGCTACATGTACAAAACAACTCAACACATTCATCAATAATACTGCCTTAAAATATGTATATAACAGGCCTTCATTGGCGAATGTGTTCATTTGTTATTTGTGCTTGTGCGTCGCTTAGCACTATGTCGCGTGGGAGGTTGTAATATTTAATCATCTTATTAGTCTCATTGTCTAGGGGAATGTTATTCTTTCACATCAAATATAGGACCTTTTCACATGCCAAAGGTCACAAGGTCTCGCCCGCAGGATGCAAAGCCAGAATTGAGCAACATACTGCGTTGATGAATAAAACCACACGAGACCGAAGCCGCTTCTCAGTATTTTCATAAAATCTAAATATCAAGCGGCACCAGCGGGGAGGCGTGCGCCATCGAGTTCCAGCGTCCGCCACGCACCATCGCGAGACGCGCATCCCTCGCCAGCGTGGTGCAGCCGTGCATCCACAGTGGTGCAAGTGTCACGAGCACTTAAGAGATAAGAAGTCTGGTAAAAAATAAAAACATTAAGGAATATTTTTTGTTCAATTTCCAGAGTAGAACAAACCGATCACTGTTGCCTGCCAGCGTGACATCTCAAGCCGGTTGCATCTGATTTAAATGAAATGTGGTGTGAAGCTGGGGGAGGGGGGGGGGTAGTGGTTTCCAGGCACACTGGGTTAGTGGACTGGAAGTGACACCGCGTTTCCTTACCCACGTGTCGGCCCTACGTGACGATGGGAGCCCCCCCGGAGCGCACAAGAGCGCATTCATATCCAGCGCGACTAACCACAAGCGAAGCTTTGAGCACGAGTGTCATCAGGCGACATTTAAAGTGCAGTCACAGCACGCACGTGCTGGGGAAAAATCAGGCCACCCACAAATACAAACAAGACACATGTTTGGGGACGAAAAAATAAATAATGTAGTCGTTGTTATGTAAGAATTGTTATTTTTTTTTTAAAGCTTGGTTGATCGTCGTTTCAACTATATGGGTTTAACGATGTTCATATCCGTCTAGCCCTTATCAGACCAATTCAGACGTTATTGGTCACCGCGTGCCGTTATAAATCTCAACGTTTATCCTACGATGTCCCATTACAAGGGAGAAAAATAGACACACAAAAACATATGCCCGTATTGAAACGGCTGTACGCCGTATGGACCTAAAACGCAATTGCCCCGTACAATAATACGGCAAACCGTACGGGTTGACAGCTATTGAGTTTTACTTTGCGGGCAGTCGGCGTCTGCAACTTATATCGGCGTTTGACAACCATTTCACGTGAGACGACGCACGTCGATAATTGGCGACGAATATCGCGAAGTATTGCGTACGGGAGCGTCATCACAAGCGGCACCTTTTCCAGAATGACCGGCTGGAGAAACGCGAGCGCTTCATCGCTGTGCGGCTGTTCTCAGTGGGGGTGGCGGGGGGTGGCGGCGGGTGGGAGGAGGCGTTGCGCCGTCACGGCAATCGTGCCACGGTGGGGCGCAGCATCGAGCGGCTCCCTCGGGTGACGGCAGCGCCGGTCGGAGAACCCCCGGGGCCTGCCCGGGACAGCGGGCGCACGCGCCGAGCGAGAAAACGTCCCAAACTTTTGCCCCCTACGACCCCCTCCACCAATGCCAACTGTTTCCACCCCGTAGAGTTTGGTGACCCACTAAATTGTGGAGAAGGTGGAGAGTGGTCGGAGAGGGGGGGGTTGTGGGTGATACGGTGGTGGGGAGGCAAAGCCACCAGGGCTGGAGATGTTTCATTTACCACCGGTTGAAAATCTGGCATTACTGTCACAATGATTAGATAAGAGCTCTGGGTGGCTCAGAGGGCTAAGACTACGACGTCAAAGCCATGAGCTGGTTGTGCTGAGATCCTGGATTTGAATCGCGGAAAGCCACTGATGATGAATCACGGCTCTCAAGTGTAGAGAGTTAATGGTCTCAGCTATGTCCCCAAAGGCTGCGCAACAAAAACAACATTCAGTTTGGATTTTCACTTTGGCATATTCCGCCTCTGAGAATTAAACATTGATTTGACGTGCGACAAAGGCGTATAACAGCTCCATACCCTTTCGTATGCAGGACAGGCATATCGGAAGTGCGCTCGAGGTGACTCGTCTACTGGGGTTTTTCTCCAACACAAGGTGGTGCACTGCTGACTGCAGAAGTTCTGAAGTCTGATTCGTCTCGCGATGTAAACGTATTCGCCGCGTGGGAATGCGTTGGCTCAAAATAAAATACACCAAAGAAATTCATAATAGAGGTTCTTTCTTTTGGGTTAGATCGCGTAAATATATAAATGTGTAGTTAAAACCCGCCATCACCCGACACAGCCAACTAGTAAGGGTTGTCACGTAAACAGATCATGCCAATTCGTCACTAGTGCAGCAACACCGGTGTGTTGGAGAGCCAAGCCACAACATTCACAATCTGAGCACGACGTTTCGCCAGTAATCACAACTAGCTTCATCATGTCGAGGCGTAGATAATATATAAGGAACGAAACAGGTGGAGTTCACAAATATGGCTGTCGCCTGATGAAGCTAGTTGTAATTCCTGGCGAAACGTCGTACTCATTGTGTAAACGTTGTGGCTTGGCTCTCCAACACACCGGTGTGCTGTACTAGTGACTAGTTGGCACCCACCGGGCCTTACCCGCCGCATGTAGCCGCCCCTCTCTCTCTCCTCCCACGAGCCGGGGCTGCAGGCTTGCCAACTCCAAGCAATAAGTCACCGGATAAAGCTCAAAATGTCGCGAGATTGTTTTGACGTTCGAAGGTCGTCGAAATAAAGTCGACAGAATACTTACGAAATATTCCAGATAGTGAAATTCAATAAATTGCTGGATGTCACGATTCTCAGTACTTCAAACGAAGGTGAGTGGCGTTGAAGTGGCATCTTTGATGACTTTGTAACAAGTGCAGTGAGCCCATAGAGTGATGGACGGTGGTGAGGTGGTGCTGGAATCGGGCAGGATTGAAGGCAGTGCCTTGGATGGGCATTGATGAAACGCGGAGTAGTTGCGTGTGAGCACGTGGTTTATAATGCGATAAGGGGGGGGGGGGGGGGGAGCGTAGTTACGAGGTGGGGACGAGCCCTCGGTGCGTGTCGCCACATCGCCTTCGAACGCAGGAGGGCTTCCATTTAAATCTCAATATCGGAGATCCCTGGCACAGCAGCGCCCGGCGGTGGCCCTCGCAATGAAAAGCCATCATGTTGGCGTCTTCGATGTCACTTCGCCGCTGTCCGCATTAGAAAGGTCCCCGAGAATTGTCGCTTTTCCTTCTTCCTCGCAAGAAAAACGCAAAAGTCGACAGATCTGGCGATAAATTCGTTAAGTGGGCGACAATGCCGGGGTTGAGCCAGTGACGTGGGCTCTGGCTGATGGGAGGCATGAGAGCAGGATACGGGTTTCCGAGTAGTTCTGGCAAATGTGTTCATTGTTTAAAAGTAACATGACTGCCTAAGCCATTTTGTTACCCGAGTGACCGCCGATCATCGCAAAAACAGGAAGCATTTTTGGGAAGCATCAACGACTATGGAAAATCTGGTGTGAGTCTTGTACCGTGTCGACTGGTCGCAACGTTCTAGCACGTGTGAAGGGGCATGCGGTGGCAATGGTGACAGCGTGTGTCTCTCTGCATGTGTCTGCCTGTGCTGTTCCCGTGTCTATGTTTTATCATTCATTCTTACCTGATGATGGTTGCTTGCGTTGCAACCGAAACGTTGTATGCCATTATTATTAGTTTGTACTTTCTACGTGACTTTACCGAAAGAACAAAAGAGTTTTACAAAGTAGTTTTTTTTATCTGCCAGCGCAATCTGAACCAACCGCCACCACTCCCATTTAACAAACGTATGTTTGGCAGCGGCAGGTTTTGCGAATGACTCATGTTGAGAACAAACGAGTGTCACCCACAGCTTCACCGGTGACCCCACTGCTTTGCATTTCAGTTACAATTATTTACACAAGAACATTTTACGGAGCGACTTTTCATTTAACAAAAAAATGCTACGTAAAAGTTCACAGGGGCCGTCCACAAATGACGTCAAGCACCTGGGGGGGGGGGGGTGTCAGACATTTGTAACGATGTGTGACGAGGGGGGGGGGGGGTTTGAGAAATGTGACGTCACATAAATATGCGCAACTTTCAATAAATATAGAATTGTTATAACACCAATTGTTATAACAACACTCCTACAACATCAGAGTGCAGCGCCACATTAAATACGCACTACAATGACAATAGTTGAAAGCGATTTGAAGCATGTTTTATTTTCAAAATTGAATTATGGTGGGGGGGTTGGTAGAGTTTTGTGACGTCATATTTGAGAGGGGGGAGGTCTGACTTTTTGTGACGCCGTGTGACGAAGGGGGGGGGGGGGTCAAAAATCGTCCAAAATTGCGTGACGTCATTTATGGACGGCCCCACACACCAATTGCAACTTGCATCCCCATTGTTGTTTCAACCCCCACGCCAAGATATCGAACCGATTCAGTGCGCTAACCATTATCCTGTACCCACGGTAGCATGTGCCGGGCATTAGAGATACAGCGGCACTTGCAAGGAGCGGCTCCTGTGGAAACCGCTGGGCTGCTGGGCTACTCCTTGTGGTATTCTTGTTGACGTCTTGCGTTGATGTGGTTGTTGATGGGTTGTTCTTGTGTTGTTTGTGGTTGTGTTGTAGCATACGCGCCGGCTGCATCACGGGATGCAAAAACCCATCCAGCTCCTTCACACGAGCCTCCCATCACTCCGTCTCAAATATCAACGAAACCATCATTGTGGGCCAAGGTCTATCCACTGCTGGATGAAGACATCCCCTTACCAGTCGCCATCGTTCATGTGCTCATGATGTCACTGTGACCCATGATGATGTTTTATTTTTTTAGTTGGAGTCATAAGTTTTGCAGGTCAGCTTCACAGGCCTAAATGGGTTAATTTAACCTACAGTAAAACCCTGGATAGCTGGTTGGGTTATTTGAGGTATTACTGTAAAATAAAGGATGCAGACTCCACACTCCTCCTCCATGAAGCCACTTGATTGTGGAATTCTCCAAACATCCCAACGTCGCAGGACCCTCCTGAAGCAAATAATAAAGTCTCAGCGAGGCTTTCCTGGGTCAATAATTCACATCACAGGTATGCCTTGCTTTACGAAGGTTTGGTTCTTCTTCTTGGTTCTTTCGGTAAAGTCACGTAGAAGGGAATAAAATAATAAAAATAAAACATAATAAAATAATTCTCACGACGTTTCGGCCACAACGCAAGCAACCGTCCTCAGGTGAAGACCAGGTCTGTCGGGGAGACAGCGTCTGAATGAAACACCACCACGCTTGGAGCGTATATTTAAGCTGGGTTGGAAGGGGGGAAGGGCGCCTTGACAAAAGAATTTGCATATCAAGAGGAATTTAGCATATTTATGGGAAATGCAGGTATGTGATTAGTACTACTTGTGAAATGCGTAGTTGGGCGGGGGGGTTTCAAAGTCAAATTATGCCCGTGCATTATGCAGGATTAGCAGCATCAAAGGGAGGGGATAGGGGTAGCATTAATAAAGGGAAGGAATGTTAATAGTATGTAGCTGCAGTAACATTTCACGTGATTGCAATTGACAATTTCCACGTAGACGGCTGTGATGGTGGGAGGTGTAATCTCCCGACAGCAGTTGAAACAGAAAAAAATAAAAGACTATCGGCTTGTCCAAGGATATGCTATGATGCTCTGGAAAGTAAGACGCATCTCCATATTTAGTTTTGAAATAGTGTAAAAAGCATTATTTTAATGTGGAGAATACAGTCTGTGTAGTGGTGTTTGCCAACTGCTCACGAGTGCTGATGTAACCCAGACATATAACACGTGGATTCAGTTAGGTATTGGGAAAGCGTTTAATTGCAAAGTCATAATAAATGCCACAAAACATCTTCCAAGTATATTAAGTGTAAGCACTTGCAAATAACAATATTTCCAATACAACACAATTTCACGGTATAATTTTTTTGTAACGCAATTTCCAGTTTGATATTTATTACAATAAGCCAATGTGGCACAATACCCGAATCAACTGTGTTTTTTGTATACAGTATTTAAGTGTCAAATAATACAAATCAAAGGCCGTGAAGACCCCCCCCCACCCAAGCCGTCACCATTCCGCACGACCACCACAATCGTTGAGAACACTGCGTGCGATCCGATCTCATTGCTCCGTCTCTTTTGTGGATCTCCTCTCGAGTGCGTTTCCCCTCCTTCGGCAGCTACTCCGCGATCATCCGTGATCACCTGCCATCGTCACCTCTGGCAACGTGCCCTGCTCAAGTCAAGACGATGTCTCCAACTGGGCGTATGTTCTGTCTGTCAATGTAATTCCAAGCATGTGCCCCCTGATGCTGCTTTGCACTCTTAAGATTTTTTTCTTCCATGTTCTTTGCCAACGTCCACGATTCTGATCCAAGTCATAGCAGGCAATTTGCGCTGATTGACAACTTTCTTCTCAAGCCACATTGCTATGCTGCCTTTCAACCTGCTCATGTCCAACTTATGTCCTCACTTTAATCCTGGTCCCCCTTAAATAACTCGCCTTGGTATTCACACTCTCGTTGTTCTAAAGTTGCGCCCCTTCGAAATCAGTTTGCTTAGTTTTAGATAGTTTTTTTCCAGTTCGTAAAAAAATCAATGTGACTCACACGAAGCAATTTCAAACACAGATTCAAATCGTGCGAACGCTCCATGTGCTTAACACAATACTGTTGCATAAAAACCGGCATTTCGAAATCAGAGTTGTTTCTTAAGACGACCAACATTTGAACATGCCAGCTTTTAAAAAATGTTTGATTATTATGGTCAGGACATAGTATAATACATATAAAAAAAACCTTCATAGATATTCAGTATTCAGCCATGAGTTTACATGTTTATAATGTTGTGCACGATGTTCTTGGCTTCCCCGCATGTCCAGGCTGTTACTTTTATAGCAAAATATACACATCAATCTCCAGTTAACAAACGTATACCTAGGGATTGCGTAATCCAAGTAACATAACATACCATAAAGATACGTCATCTTTAGTCGCGAGTGGTTTTTACAAAAGGGTAACTTACGAGGTGCACACTTGCCATGTTTAATTCTTCCATTTAAATTGCTGAAAAGAGAAAAGTCAATATTTAGTATTACACCTGATGAGCAATGTTTACATTTCTGGCATATGTATGTATGTAGAACTTCTTTCACACTGCATGTAGCCAACCGTGCTAATCAGAGGTGCGGGGAAAGGACAACACAATAAAAGCAAAAGGCAGTTCTAAAGAAATAAGTTGTCAATCTAGATTTAAAACCAGAATTCCAAGTCTTGCTCAATGTGATACACTCCAAACCCAAGCTGCAATATAAAGTACATAACCAGTCCCATTGTACGTAATATAATTAAACATCATAACAGATTATCATTATCCATGGTCATTCCACTGCTGGATGAAATGCTCCCCAAGCCACTACCGCCCCTCACAATCCTTTGATGTAACACGCCACCACGTAGCACCTGCACACCAACTGATTTCATCGCTCTATCAGTCGGTGGACTATACCTCACAATTATTACAGACAGTTAACAGCACTTTGCCATGTACAACATTCCGATTGTCATGGTTATGATGTTGATTGAGGTGGGAGTGGCACCATAGGGGTTTGCGCGCTGTGCTATGAGCCCATAAACCAGAGTCGGATTTTCAACCACGACTCGCGTTATTTTATGTTATGCCTATGAATGACACCTGGCTATGACGGCGTCATTAACACAAAAGAGTAAATAGGGCAGAGCGAAAAATAAACATCTCACTGGGTTATGCAGGACTTCAACAATCCTTTGTTCCACCTGGGAGCCAGCCTCCACTTCCTTCTTGTACTGAAGCAGTTGCTGACGATCCCTCATTTGGCAGAGCATCTGCGGTGCCCAGCAAGAGAGCGGCAGAATGACGACATCATCCGCACCGCTCCGTCAAGCCCCTCTCTCACGGCCGCACAACGTTCACAATGGCGTGACCGTGCATCAATTAAAAGGATTAAATGGAAATAGCACAAATTTCAGCAAAACACGGCGTGTTCCAAACACCCACGGTGCCACCATCTGTGTTCACTCCTGGTACCCCACGATGCATGCAGATGAATTGGGGGTTGAGATACAAGATGGAAAAAAAACTTCACCACCACCACCGTCAAACACTGCTTATTGACGAGCTATTACCCTTCTGCACTGCTGCCAATGCAGCCTTTGGAAAATGAGTGATGCCGTGCTGGGTGTAGAGGCAAAACGTGTATTAATCTGCATCACCCATGGTTAATCCACTGCTGGATCAAAGCCTCCCCCAATCCACCACTACCTCTATATTTTGTATAATTATGGCCAAATCCCGCTAACATTTATTACTTTGTTTTAAATATAAAGGTATTACTGTGTGCACATAACTTCCATATATTATTTTTGATACCCATGGTATTATTACGTTCTGTTAAGATGAAAAATGTAAAAACTTTCCGCAATTGAACTTTCAATGCATTTTTTAAAAAAGCCTTGTTAAGCACGTCAGGGGCTCACAACACCCAAGAATGTTAATGCGTTGTTGGAGATTGTGCCTTGGAACAACCCATGTTGTAAATTGCGCATTATAAATGAACGCGATGACAAACATTGTCTTACATCCACAACGATGGAATGACACTTGTGCTTGATTGCAAGATTCAGCTTCAGCTCTTCATCCGTCACCAGCATAATGTATTCATGCAGAACCTGAGACCCAACACAGTCATCATTCATGATACATCCTTGCTGCATTCATACAGAACTTGTATGCATATTGAACTTTTCGCACCATACGTAGCCAACCGTGCTAACCGGAGGTGCGGATTTTATGATTCAAGCACAGTTAACATGATGTATTCATACAGAATCAATGAAACAAGCGCCGTGAGTATTTGTGAGAAATGTGTACGTCAACAAGCATAAAGCTATAACCACTGAAGACACATTCACAATAATGGCATTGCTTCAGTTTGCAATGTGCATGTAATAATTAAAGATGTTATTTAAGCATTTCAATATCTTGGGTTGGCAGTTACGTAGATTATAATTAGTCGTTATTTATTAAAATGCTTGACTTGAAAAATCCCTTGAGATGGAAAATCTCGTTTGCAACAGTGTACCGCCATTCACCACTAATTGGCGTTGACATCACCATGGCACATGTGCGAGGCCACGTAAAGTGTCGAACGCCTGCTGGCAGGTCACGGGACAAACCCAGGTGCTCTGGATTGACTGAGATGACTGGCTGATGCACCACTTGTGCCCCCTATTGTGCTAATTTGCTTTGTCTTAGCCACCCGGCACTCCGCTCATTGTTGTGAGCATCGCTCCTCTACCCTCTGTTGTTACTGGAGGGCGATTGCCTCCAACTGCCCAGTAGTGTCCTTCACGAGCCTCCTCCATAGGCCGATCTTGACACCGCTGGTACCAGTCTTTGGCAAGTCCACTCAGCTCTACATCCTCTTGCACCACATCACTCCATCCCTTCGCTAGCCCGTGCAAACATGCATATACGAACAATTGAAATGCATAAAGAAGCTACGCCTTCCAGATGGGTCTCCTCAACACAGTTTAGATTTTTTACTTTTTAAATATCTGCTTGTGTGATATGTCCCAAACAATTATTTTTGAGGATACATCACTTTTAAGTACAACCACCTTTTCGCAAGATCTTTGTCCACATTTGTTTAACTCAAAAGGTGGGGACTAACGATAACGGGCGTGGAGAACGTCAACTCACGGTTGGCGGTGCGTTGTTTTTGCTGACAATGTCCACCACCCTGTGAAACCCTATTGGGGCCGTCTTCTTGAGCGTTCCAAACCATCGCTGTGAAAGAGTAATCCAGCAGACTTAGTCTTCACAACAGTATGATGCAGACATCGTACATCACCGCTGCTTTACAAAGCTCACATTTAGCCATGGTCAGAATCCTGCTGCTGCCATATCTGGAGTGGAGCACCCAGGTCTTACCTCACCATACTTGACAGAATTCAACATAAAGAAGTAAAGTTTATTGATGATCCAGCACTCACTGGTTCACTCCATTAACTCAGTTACCGGTAGTCAGTCGTTTGCTTTTCACTCTTCTATTGTTACCAGTAGTATTTTAGATTTGAAGTTTTCGTGACTGCAGGGATCCATACTCTTTGGTTCTTTCGGTAAAGTCACGTAGGTAGAAAATAAAATATAACGCCGTGGGCTCTCATGATATTGTTTTTTTCCGAGACCAAGGTACTCTGCAAACCTTCGGGCTACTATCAAAGGTTTGTTCATGAAGCCATCCAGATATATAAACATAGACATAACTTCAACTGAGAAGATGGATACAAATTGAGCAATCATTGGAAGGATGTTATTAACCAGGTAAAACCTTAACTGCTTCATAGTGTTGCCTTCATATCCACATCTCCAGTTTCTTCAGCCTCCCACTCCCAGCCCCGCCCACTTCCCCCCCCCGCCCCCCCCGGCATTTTGCCGTGCTCGCCCTTTTCCTAATCCCTCTATCAGCGCTCCACTCCCCCGACCCCACACCCTCCTCTCTATCTCTCCTCCCTGGCTCCTTCCTCCCCCTCTCTTACCTATATAGCCTCTTGTTACAGCAGCCCTTTTGCCCACTTCAGCAATTGTTTCTTGCTGTGGTCGTCCCACCTGATGACGTACGCTCGTGTTGTGCCCGAAACGTCGTGATTTAATTTAATTTTATACCTACGTGACTTTACCGAAAGAACCAAAAAGTACCAGATGTATTGTTTCCGGAAACTCCAGTCATTGATTACCCCACCCATGTTTGGGACTTAGTCTACCAGACTGTTTCATCTCACCCATGTGTAGTGACATCGCGGATGCCACTGTGTGGTGCCGGCCCGAGAGGGGCACAGCGTGCGATGTACTCACATAACGGACATCACGTATGTTACGACATCGTGAACGTCACTGTGTCATGCCGACTCTAGCAAGGCACGGCGTGCGATGCATTGTCATCGCGGACACCCTGTAGGTGGGTGTAGTACCAGCCCTAGTGAGGGCTTGGTAAGGGCTGGGTCAAAGCGCTCAGTGGCACCACACGTAGTGTGCAGTGCCGACCCCTACAGGATGGGATGTGAGAGTGTCAGCCATGGGATGAGGTTACCCTGGGCCATGGCACTCTGGTTGACCCTGGAAGGCACGTGACCAGAAAGATCTACACGGGCCCCAGGTGGGGGCTAGGGGGTGGTCACGTGTCAGGGTGAGATCCTTCGGAAAGGGTCGAGAAACGACGAGAGGTTTCTCGCAGGTGGTCGTGGCCAAGAACGGGGCCAGCCACGACCCAGCCGCATATAAACCGGGACCCCACAGGGACCGGGGCTCTTGGCATTGCTGTTGTCATCTGAAGGTCCAAGAAGAAGTCACCAACACGTGGACGAGGACCCAAGCCAGGGTCTCGTCCGTTGTAGCTACTCCCAGCCTCCAAGGAGTACGTCTGCGACTCAGTTAAATCCACAACACATGCAACCGCGAGGTCTTTCCACTGTCCCAAATATATATAGATTGGAATGGTGAGATAAGAGATGGGAGTACCTTGGTGGTCAGAAGACTGTCCACATCTGTCCAGGCCTTAAGCTTGGACCTTGCTGCCAGCGCCGTCCACAAAAACTGCTTGTCCGTGATCTGCGTCACACGTCAGATGAGAACGTAATTTAGCTTTGTAGCACTGGCAGCATTTACATACACTGCTTGAGTAGTGAAACGATGATAGCACTGAAAGAGATCATTACTTACGCTGAAATTCTTTCGCAAATTGACAGGGCAACTCAGTGACCCCTACGAGAAAGAAGAAGAAACACAACACATTAAACACAATGAAAATCGCCTACTAAATACATATGTTTGTGTCAAGATGGAGAATGCAAGGCTATTTGTATGTACGTGTGTGTTGAACTTATTTCGCACCGCACGTAGCAATCCGTGCTAATTGTAGGTGCGGGGGAAAGACAACAAACATAAAAATCAGTTCTAAACAAATTAGTTTTCAATCAATATTTAAAAGTGTATAGCTCCAGTGGCTTGCTAACATCAGAAGAGCGTTCCATATGGCCTCAAAAGCGCATCTGAAAGTGCGGGATAGAGTGATCGTCTTTGTTCGATGGCTAGGCAAAAGCCACTGCAAGGATGACTGGAAAACTAATCGAGCGATGCCAAGAGGGGCTAAAGTAGACTTGGCGAAGCTGGACAAGGCCGACTTGAGATGGTGACTCGAGAAGGGCTTGTGAGTGATGGCAGTGACTGGCCTCCTGCTCTGCGTAGTGGTAGAAGCAGCAGTAGTAGAACGTGGTCACGAGAGGCATGAACAGGATGGACGCCTTTCGTGGGTACTTCTTGAAGATCTCCAGTGTCCCTGCCGCCTCCACCTTCTTGTCGTTGGCCTGCGAGGCCACAGCAGTGCAGTTTTGTCATGTTGTGATGGTTATGGTCATATTAATGTGCAACATACCTCATCCGTTTTTACACGTGAAACAGTTAACTAAAGGTAATATTGACATACAAAAAATTGCCCAAATATGCAACGTTGGAAACCTTTACAAATGTACTCCAACGTCAACACGATGGTGTACAATGGTGGTGCGCTGCACTGTGAACCCAGCAAGTTCAATTCCCGACCAGGGCGAGCGAGATCTGAACCAGTACTGGGCCCCCTTTTGGCAACCTGCACTGACAAGTGTGGTGAAGTATGATCACCTTATTTCTATGACTGACACAGCATGCATGGGTAGGCTTTCATCCAGCAATGAATTGATAAAGAGATGTGAATTACCATTAATAACACATTGCACATGCAGTTGCATTAAGCTGCTGTCAATATGCTGCTTGATCTTGACCCATGGTATATATGTATGTTGAACTTCTTTCGCACCGTACGTAGACAACCGTGATAAACAGAGGTGCGGGGGAAAGAAAACTAACTAAACACAAAAAGCAGTTTCAATAAAGGAGTTTTCAATCTAAATTTCTAGGTGCATAGCTCCAGTGACTTCCTAATATTGGAAGAGCGTTCTAGATGGCCACAGAAGTACATCTAAAAGCGCGCAATGCAGTAACCATCTTTGTTTGATGGGTAGCCAGAGGCCGCTGCTGCGAGGATGACTGAAGTTTGCATGATGGTTTATGCTCTTGACGAGATCAGCAATGTATTATGGTTCATTTGTGGCAAGCACTTTGTGTAATGAGTGCGACCTTCTAATGTATCAGTTCAGTAACCGGAAGCCAATGCAGCTTGGAGAGCACTGAACGGACAGAGTCGGATCTTGCAGTACCCGTCATGACATCTGCCAAAGAATTTTGTACACGCTGCAGATTGGTAATGTTTTTGCCAGATGTCCCGTAGAGTAGTGAGTTGCCAAAATCTAGCCTCGTCAATACTTTGCTACAGTATATTATAGTGACACTACCTCAATGATGATCTGTCGTTCCAGGAGGGTGTATTGATCACGAATGTGCCCCGAGTCCTCCATGCTGAACGGCAGGCTGTCGCGCAACAGGCCAAGTCCATAACCAACCCCAGACAATAAACAGATGCAAGAGACATTTACAACAGCCATTACATATTTGCATGCAAAACATTTACTTTAATTAAGACTCAATTAACATTATGTATAGTATGGAAATAACCACCATAAAGACATTCAACTAAGTAAAAGTAAAAACATTAAAAACACAAATATGAATAACATACACAACAAACCAACCGATTAATTTTTAATTACCTGAAACATCTCTTTAAGAAAGCCACTCTTTTTTCAGGGTCCCGCATTGTTTGATGAGTCTTGTATTCCATGAGCTTCAACAACAGGAAACACACATCAGCATAAACAGTACAGATATGCGTCATGGTACTTAAACACTAGCTGGATATTGTAACGACTGAAAAATGCTATATTTTTAAAAGACGCACTTACTGCAGCTTCGTCTGCCTTTCCCATTGACCTGGAATGAAAAATGCAAATATAATTCATGATTTTCATCAACACTATATTCACATTACAATCCTCTGTATTACCATAACTTTCCCCCCAAAATAATGCACATGCCGTATTCTCCGTTGAAGACAAACTTCTTTTCCCTGTATTCTAAAGCAAAAGTTAGGGGTGTGTTTATTCATCCTGTATGTGTGCGACCAGATTGTCTAACTTGATTGACATCCGGCAGTTAACTCTGCATTCGATAACTTTATACTTTGCACCCTTATTTTCTGCATTCCCTGAATGTCAATTTTTTTTTGGGTGCATGTTGCTTTGCCAGAGGATCTTATAAGCTATAGGATAACACATGGGTATTCATAGTTTCGCACCTTATTCTCAAGATTATAAAGTTAAAACCAATTGAATATAGCAGCTTCTGTGGCCATTAGATTAGGTACGTGAAGTGATGCTGTGCGCACCCACCCCAAGGGTGAAGCGGCGCGCAAGGGGATGGGGGAGGGGATGTGTGGCCTCACGTGAGCAGCTCCACAAGCATCTTCCAGTCCCTGCTCCGCTTGAGCAGGTGCACCAGGTGATTAGCGGCCACCGTCCGAGTGATGAGCTCGCCAAACAGCACCTCTGTGGGAAAGACGCACAGCCCGCGCGTCACTGCGAGCTCGCTGGACATTCGGATACATCGCAAGGCCAAGCAGCCGTCGTCTTCCAATCAACTGCCATTTGCTTCGTGTGGTAACATGCTTTATGAATCAACATCGTTCGTGAAGATCGTTCGTAACAGAATAACAACAAATTTATAGGTCCATCAACCCACAAGAGCAAGTTTATTTCATAAAACATTTTCTAACATTGACCGGACACGTAATATGAGTCTATATCGGACAGATATCATATACATATAACAATAGGTTTAACCCTTTCTGGCAATAATGTGCTGTTCACCTTTTGACATTCTCTGGTCTAACACTTTGAGACGAGGTATAAAAGAAAGCTGTTTCTGGTGTGGACCAATCCGTTTGCATGTTTACTACAAAATTACAATAAATGAAAAAACAACTAAATTAAATCACAACGTTTCGGGCGCAACACAAGCGTCCTTTTATATTTTTTACCTACGTGACTTTACCAAAAAAACCAAAGCGTATGAATCCTTGCAGTCACAAAAACTTCAAATCTAGAAAAAATGTTCACTACGAGTACGTGTAGTTAATGCAGACCGGATTCCTTGAAAAAGGTTTCAGCTTGGTGTTTTTAACATCTTAACACCTGTTTTATTGACAGAAATGGTAAAACCTATTGTTATATTTTGATACTGGCAAAAAGGGTGCCATATTATTAGAAATCATACACATTTTTTCCTGGTTTTTGCAGACCATGAATAGGCGTTTAATTCAATGGAAACTAATGCAGTCATCCAAACGCTTACAAACAGAGGGTAAAAAATAACAGGTAAATAAGTAGTCATGCATTGCAAAATCAAGTGCATGTTGTGTTTGTTGTGATAATCATTTCATGGCCGTATCATATTTACCTTTTCTCAGAGTAGTCTTTAGAAAAATCAGTATCTGCAAAAAAATAACTTGGTTACTGATATGCTTCTTCAAAAGATATTTTGTGATATTATAACATGTCTGACTGCATAACAATACAAATGATTTTGCACCTTCGAAGTTTTGGCCTGACAAAGAGGAAAAAACCATGTATATGCATGGATTCTGTAACTCTTTCCAACATGTGTTTGTCTCCGGAAATATTCTCAGTAATAATGTCATGCGCCGTGTGATGATATAACATGTCGTCGGGAGTGGGAGGCGATTCTCACTAAGTGTGACACCGCGAGATAACAGCACCTGTATTGACGACATCTGGAAATGTCATGCGTAATTAAATCGCGTTGGCCGAAAAGGCAAATACTTTTAGCGCTCATGTTTTCCACCAAGTTTTCGGTGACCTTTTGATAAATCTTCATGGTTTTCTACATTGCAAGCCCCTAAAAGCAACAAAAAATATACGCGAAATTTTAATTTACATTTGATCTTCAAGAGAATTAACGTGAATCCACATTACAGACACGCGGAGAGACGGACCGAGATAAAACATTCAAACTTTTCACTTTAGTTAGACAGTGTAAAAGTCACACTCACAGCTGTGATGACGTTGCCATCATGAAACTGAACCGCACGGTCCAGAAGTTCCAGCTTTTCCTTCAATGACCTGTATTGTTCCAGACTGTAGGGCTACACAAGAGGGACAACGTTTTATATTTCTGGAAAAAATATGTTAATTGCAGTGTCCTGTTCATGTCCATGTCATGGTCATATGTATACAAATTGCGAGCATGCCATAATAAAGCACTGTGACCACCTCTTTGCTCTGGATTATTTAAGATTTTTTTTAACAGTGTACATGAGTACACATACAGCACTTTTTCACCCACGACATGGGGAGGGGCCATGTCGTGCAGGTCATGAGGATTTGACTACACTTCACCATGCTGGCTGGTCAGTGCAGATTTGTGAAAGTGAATGCATAAACATGGGAGCATAGAAGTACAGTACACCAATGGATCCTTCTGCACTGCCCTCTGCTGCCCGTTACGTAGCCCAGAAGGCTATAACACCTGTTACGAATGGTGGTGGACCACACTCAGGCACTATCCAGGCTCTGCTGTTCAACATTAGTGAGGTGTAATCATTTTAGTAAGGTGTGATTATATTACTAAGATTAGAACGTAAAATGTAGGTTACCCACATTGCCCTTTAACATCTTCCAGATTGTCTCCTCTGGCGACAAATGTTCAGTTTTCCCAGTCTGCAGAACCATGAAAAAGCATACAGCGCACAAGTGAATTCAAAAGTGTACGTGGCAGAGCTACACAAAACCACAATGTGAGCCTGGTCTGTATTTCAAAGGAGTTTGAATAATTAAGCTTTGGGCTTTTAGCGAGATGTGCAAAATGCGATAGCCTGCAACTATACTTGGAACCAACGAAGCCAAACCAATACCAAATGGCTTTGCAAAAATTATTCTGCTTTCCAATCTAATATAGTTTGGCTTAAGCAGCTTGTGGCACCTACCTGCAGGCTAAACCACAATGCTTAGACTGAGATATTTGCAAGCAAGATGTGTGAGCTTTACACACACATCTTGCTTGCAATATTTACACTCTTGGGGGGGGGTGCAGATGACTGGTACTCTGCGATGGGGGATGGATGCCTGGAGGCAAAAAGGGAGCTGCTTCTTCTTTGTACTTCTGTCCCCCGCCACCTCCACCTATTATGAAGTGCCAACCTCATTGACAACGATCCCCTTCTGAGTGGGCACCAGCTGTGCTATCCATTGTGCCGACACCCACTGGGTCACTTTTGAAAACCAGGTCACTCTTGAAAATTAGACTATTCGGGTCTGTTGAGCTCTCAACCATTTTAAACAAGTAAATTAGACTTGACAAGCAAAGCTCCACATGTGTTGAGGTTTTTAATATACATCGACATCTCTATTTTTTTTGGGTCAATCCACTGCCGGATGAAGTCCTCCCCGAGGTCATGCAGCTCATGGGGGTTCTTAGATCATACTTCATCAGGCTAGTTCGTGTGGGTTAAAAAAGGGGGTGGGGGGAGAAGCACAGAAGTACAGAAGAATGACTTTTTCTGCATTGCCCTCTGCCAAGTGTTGGCACTAGCCATGGTGCGCCAGTACCTGCTGCAGACGGCGGAGTCGCTGATTATCGCTGGAGGGTCGAGGCAACGCACTCTCCACAACTATGTGCACAACAAACACAAGACACTAATGCTAAAACAACGGCAACAGGCAACCCAAATGATAATTAATGGTATTGATGCGTTTCAGAGAACATACACCACACATTTGTTTTTTCTAATAATATAATTATCCTGTACAACTACTGTGGTAGAAAGTTAAACTGAATCAAATCCTAAAAATAAAACACTCGCCTTCAGAAATCGACAGGGAGCTACCAAAGCGACCTCCTGGAGAAGTGTCTTGTCCAAAGCTTGGCACTGCAAAATAACGCTGCGTCACAAATTTTACTTGAGAACAAATACATTTTTGAATACAGCTCACTCTGGATTGACTATGCTTCAGTCACACACACGAGCCAAGCCCCAGCAGGTGTTGGTGATGAGCGACGAGGCACCTTTAGCCGGCATGCCCAGCGAGGACAGCGAGTGACCGGAAGACAAGCTGCGCATGGAGGAAGACAAAGCCGGCCGGGAGGGGAGGCTGTCCCTCATGCCACCTAGGAAGCGCTGCGCCGACCCCAAGGCACCTCGGCCGCTTGGAGCCCCAGCGGAGCCCTCCAGGGTTAACGGTGGACGAACTGGTCTTAACTCTACACGTCAGGCAGCCAGGAGGTAATGTAACAACAGCTGAGTGATGTTTGAAAATATAATACGTTACGATTTTAATTTACGTAATGTCTAAATGCAACTGCATCTAAAGACGCAATAAGGAAACAATGGGAATATTTAACTCAACATGTTACGTTTTAGATACATGTACATAACTGAATTGTTCTTTAAATTACCGGTTAGCCAAAACAATAATCTTTGGCGTGTTGTTAAAAAGTGTGGACACAGCGTGACAACTTTAATTGTTTGGCTGTGCCGGGTGGTGGAGAATCCTGCGACAGATATTTGGTCAGATCATGATGTTATGGCCTCACCCAAATATTCTGAATCGGTGTGTATATTTTATATGGAGAATGAGACAAACAGGGGGAAAATGGTCTTGTACATGAATATTTAAATAGAGGCAGGGAGTCCACAGCATGTATGAATATGTAATGGTTGTTCTAGACAATGCGGGCAGCAGAGTAGAGCAAGCAACCTCACTCCTAAAATATTAGTGCCAGAGAACATTTAATTTGTAATTGATGCAACTAATTTAAAATCAATTATAATGGAGTACACGTGTTTGAGATTCTTTTCAATCGCAAGAAAATAACTCCAACCTTTAACGGTGGCTTCACTCCAGCTGATGCCTTCAAAAGAATCGTCCTCATCATTGTCGTCGTTGTCCAAGGCGCTGAAGCTTTTCATATTGCGCACCGTTTTCTTCGACTCCGAGAGCTGCACACAGCGAGCGGTGGTCACAAGCCGATTGCTCATTGCGGCACACACAGCGCAGGGACACACACAAAACGTATTGCACGCCGACACGCGGTTAACTCTGTGCTAGCTGTACACCACCACGTATGCTTACCTGACCCATGTCATCGTCAAAGTCGAAACCCTTACACTTGGACCCATTCCAGTATTCGTTGTCATCTTCCAAACTCTGCTTGGTCGACTGCAAACAAATCGCAAAATTAGTACTTACACTTAACACAACATTCATATACTCACCCGTTAGTATTTACACAACATTCGTACACTCACACATTAATACTTACACTCGCATGTTAGTACTTTTACTCACACATTAGTACTTACACAAACACAATTCCTCCATTATTGATTCTCGAATAAGTGCTGTCAAACGTTTCATTACCATCATCATCATTAGCCATCGCCAATCCACCTGCCATCCATCACAAAGTTGCAAATGTAAACAACGCAGCACATAAACCGATTTCGTCGCTCCATCTCCCCCCGTCCACCGTGTTCTGGGATGCTTTCCATTCGTCGTCAACTGGAAGGAGGACTGAATAGTTTCGCCACAAGGGGGCAATTACATTCTCCAAGCCGGAAGCGATCAAGCAGATGAATGAAAACCCAGAGTGTGCCATGCAGGGCACAAAACAGCTCAATGCGAGACAAATGGACATCTCGATGTGGTGGCGAATGCATGGTAACAGCAAACTACTTGGAGGTGGGGTTGATGGATGACGCAAAGATTGCGTCTGCCATGCCACACCAAAGTGCAGTACAACAAGAAGATATTCAACCCATCTGTGTGGAGTGTTATCTGCTTCGTATCCGTGGTTTCTCCACTTCACCGTTCACTTAACTTGTAATCGGTCAGATGCTGTTAACACTTAAATTATAACATAGTTTACTTCCGCATATTGGCCCTCTGCATATACAAACACTGCACGTTACGTGAGGTCAATTTTACGTACGTTCATGTAGTCTTGCAAATAATGTTATAATGTCCAGTATATTTTGCAGGGCTAGTTGTAGGGTGTAGTGCAGAAACATCAATTGTACTGTACTTCTACAACACGTCTATGCTCCCCGTATTTATTACCAGAGTTCGATTCCCGACCACGGCTATCACCAGTGACGAGTTATAGCTGAACCAGACCTGGGCCTCCCCCTTCATCAGCATGATGAAGTATGGTTACACAACCCCGATGACTCGTATAGAACCCTTAATCCAGCAGTTAAATGACAAACGACTGCAACATCCCAAGTGGAATTGACCATCAGACTGCGTGGCCCTCCCGAGCCTTGACATTCAGCGAAGTTTAGCTTGACAGATTAGTGACAATATGTACCATCATCATTGTCATGAACAGTATCATATTTCCAAACAGATATCGCCTTACCAATGACATCGCATTCACGTCACAGTGCAACGCGCCGCCGCCGCTGTGGTCGAGGGACCGCTCGGCTGTGCCTCCACTACCGCCTTCCCCTCGTCGTCCCCGGTAGGCTAACTAGGCGAGGAGCGGTCGTGCGGGGCCCTTTAGGTTGCCGCACCGCCACGGAGAACGCCGTCGCCGCTCGATCGACGCAGACACCGGCCCGAGCACCCCACCACCACCACCCAGGCGGCAAGTGCGGCCTCCTCTCAAGCGAAGCCGCAGTCAAGGAACGAAACGGGGGACATCGCCAGCAAAGGATGAGCGAGTCGGGAACTCCTTCGCGGGATCACGTGAGAGATCGGCCCGTGTGATCGCGGTCACGTGAGCGATCGGCCCGTGTGATCGCGGTCACGTGAGCGATCAGCCGTGCATATTAAAAGGTGACGTTTCGAGCAATGTGGCGTTCTAAGATACATTTGTTTGCCGTGAAAAAAACGCCGTTGACCGAAACGTCGACTGTTCGCGGCGTCATTGACGAATGTGCTGAGTTTCCAGCAATGTCTACAGGAACACCTGTGGAACTACTGGGACACCTGCGAAAATATTGGGACATCTGTGAAATTACTGGGACACCTATGAAATTACTGGGACACCTGTGAAATTAATGGGACACCTGTGAAAATATTGGGACATCTGTGAAATTACTGGGACACCTGCGAAAATTACTGGGACACCTGTGAAATTACTGGGACACCTGTGAAATTACTGGGACACCTGTGAAATTACTGGGACACCTGCGAAAATATTGGGACATCTATGAAACTACTGGGACACCTGTGAAAATATTGGGACATCTGTGAAATTACTGGGACACCTATGAAACTACTGGGACACCTGCGAAAATATTGGGACATCTGTGAAATTACTGGGACACCTGTGAAACTACTGACCCACCTGCGAAAATATTGGGACATCTGTGAAATTACTGGGACACCTATGGAACTACTGGGACACCTGTGAAATTACTGGGACACCTGTGAAACTACTGGGACACCTGTGAAAATATTGGGACATCTGTGAAATTACTGGGACACCTATGAAACTACTGGGACACCTGCGAAAATATTGGGACACCTGTGAAATTACTGGGACACCCATGGAACTACTTGGACACCTGCGAAACTGCTGGGACACCTGTGAAATTACCGGGACACCTGTGCAACTACTGGGACACCTGTGGAATTACTGGGACACCTATGGAACTACTGGGACACCTGCGAAAATATTGGGACACCTGCGAAACTACTGGGACACCTGTGAAAAAATCTGGACATCTGTGAGGGGGAGGGGCGGGAAAGAGCTTTATAGCTCATCGGATTCCTCCAGTGTCAATACATTTTGTGTCAATACATTTCAATACACGTGATTGTCACGTGACACGGAGCCAGTGACCCGGATTGCCGGCGGCCATCTTGGGTAAGGGAACCGAGAAAGATTCCGAGGAGCGGGGGGGGGGGAGACGTCCGCTGTAGAAGTGGACGGAGCTCTCCCCACCCCTCTTGCCTTACCCAATGTGGCCGCCGTGTGGCCAGTCGCGGTTAAACTCAACGGACGACGAGGCAGCGACCCGGAGGTTCCCCGCCGCGTTAAAGAGACCGCCACTCATCAGCGACAACTTCCCACTCAGCCCGGGGCCTCCTCTTCCACTACAGTCGTTGTCGTCGCCATCGCCCAGCCATGTCCTGCGAAAACTTCGAGACTCTTCAAGAGGAGTACCTGAGCATTTACCAGAGTCTCAAGGCGAAGCTGGACAGCACGTTGCCAAGATGCCACGGCGGTGAGGCGGGCATCGGCCCACTAGCTTGGAGTTGAGCCTGTGCTCCACCACTCCGTAATGTTTATTTCATTTACTTAGAATAATGTGGTGTGCACAACAAAAAGGGACAATAATACGTTGAGATTAAACTGGCGATGTGTGTGTGTGTGTGATAGACTCCCTTGCGAGGTGTTCGACGTAATTAAAATAAACTCCCCGTTGCGCTGTAACCAAGTTGGGACCGTTTTTAATTCCTTAAAATCCTGGTTGGGGGTTCACTCGACCCATCATCCTTCTGGGGTCGATACAGTGAGGTTCCCCATTTCGCCACCGCCATAGGAATGAGGAATTTCCACCACGGACTTCGGGCTGTAAACAGGATATGACCATCTTCTTGGTTCTTTCGGTAAAGTCACGTAGAATGGAAATAATAAAATAATAAAAATAAAACATAATAAAATAATTCTCACGACGTTTCGGCCACAACGCAAGCAGCCGTCCTCAGGTGGAGAACAGGTCTGTCGAGGAGACTGAGTCTGAATGACAAGCCCCAGGCTTGGAGCGACTATTTAAGCTGGGATGGAGTGGCGAAGAGCGCCTTGACAAAATAATTTGCATATCAAGAGGAATTTAGTATAATTATGGGAAATGCAGATATGCGTTTAGTACTACTTGTGAAATGCGTAGGAGGTTTGGCGAGGGGTTTAAAGTCATTACAGTATTTCCATTCTACGTGACTTTACCGAAAGAACCAAGAAGATGAATCCCTGCAGTCACGAAAGCTTTAAATCGAAAGGATATGACCACTGCCTCAATGCTCGTTTTGGCAGGAAATCTATTCTGCCTTTACTATATTATTTAGCAATTGTACATAATAGTTGCAGATAGGTTGTGCCTCTTCTTGTTAACATTCATTCGAGAAACTCGTTTAAATTGGACCACGAATGAACGCGCTGCATTGGCCCAATGTTTAGTCTCTCACCGACAACAGCGCAGTTCTTACATTGGGTTACAATTTGCACAGGACAGCCGTAGTAGTACTTGAAGCGATGTTGGTCACGGGTGACATTTGAGTGATTTCGATTTAAAGCTTTCGTGACTGCAGGGATTCATCTTCTTGGTTCTTTCGGTAAAGTCACGTAAAATGGAAACAATAAAAATAATAAAATAAAACATAATACAAAATAATTCTCAACGACGTTTCGGCCACAACGCAAGCAGCCGTCATCAGGCGAAGACCAGGTCTGTCGGGGAGACAGTGTCTGAATGAATGTCTCCCCGACAGACCTGGTCTTCACCTGATGACGGCTGCTTGCGTTGTGGCCGAAACGTCGTGAGAATTGTGTTTTATTATATGATTTTTATTGTTTCCATTCTCCGTGACTTTACCGAAAGAACCAAGAAGATTTGATTGATTGTCCGTTATTGGGCCAGAGCGGCCTATTCGCCGAAACGGAATGGCAGCAAGTGAATGAATTCACTAACGGCTCGTTATTTTCTCCGCAGAGGAGAAGAAGCGGGTGACCAGGGAAATTGAAAGGAGTTCGGAAGAGGCTTACCTGCTGGTACCTCTTTCACCTCAACTCCAGCCTCTGCGAACTTCTGGCGTCACATCACTGGGGTGCCACGGTGGCTAGGAGATGTTAACTACCTCGCCTGGTGTACAGGAGGTCGTGGAGTTCGATCCCGACCCTGACGCCTGCTGCTGTATATTTAGAGTTTGCGTATCTCCCCGTGGTCGCGTGGATTTTTATCCGGTTCCTCCTGTTTTCCCCTCCACATTTAGAAACATGCATGTGGAGTATTTGGCTGCTATAAATGTCCACATGATAAGCCACTTTGTTAAGCTATCATTTGTGGCCAGGTGGCTTCTGAAAAAGGGCTATATAGGTCAATGAGCCTTATACGTGGTGAAATAAAGAGAGTAAAGATAGTCTTCTCCAACATTATGCAACGTACAACATTATGCAATGTACATATTCAGCCATTTTGTTAATCCACTGCTGGATGAGAGCCTTCCCATGCCTTCCGGGTCGTCGGAGTTTTTACTATGCTTGGCTACGTTGGTTAGTGCAGTTGGTTAAGGTGGGGATCACACGTGGGAGCATAGTAAATCACAGCAATGGGCTTTACTGCACAACCCTCATTGCAGCCCCATAGCCTATAACACCAGTTTTATAACGTGATGGTCACCCATCTAAGCACTATTCATTCTCAAACATGATTACTGAGATTTGAAGAGACTGGTTGCATTGATTTGATCATAAGACGCCCTGGCAAATCTGCACATGGAATGCAGGCACTGTCTGCTGCAAATAGCTGGCCTTTTGAACTCCTTAGCATCAAGGAAATGCCACAGCTACAGCTACTGATTGCATCAGTGAGCCCAGAGGTATGTGAAAGAATAGTGTTATACCTCCGATGCGCACTGTTACCTATGTACTGTGCGAATGAAGTTATAAACATATAAATAAATAATAACTGGTCATGAATGAAGAGGCATATTGCCGAGAAGACTATAACAAATGGCTCCTCATTTAAAGTATTGCAGCGTGTTGGCCAATATCTTTCAACTACAGATCTTGCGACCTGCACCCCACAGTGCACCTTTTTGTGATACCTATCTTTACATTTTCATATAACTGAAGCCACCGCACACTGCACACACCTCATAGTTCGTCATCAACGAAAAACTACCACGGTGCGTGGGTCGCGAAGACGGAAGTTGAGAGACAACTGCAGTACAAGAAATGAGAACTGTTTTTTTCAACATGACTATCCGTAAGTCGGTCTTGCGCGCCGCACGTTGATGTCTGTGGCTTCTCTCGCTGCCCACAGCTGCAAGAGATGGAGGAGGAGCTGAAGGGGGCCCCGGCGCCGTTTCGCATGCAGATGGTGTCGCGCATGCGTGACTACCGACGGGACCTGGAGCGCATCACGCGAGAGACCCGGCGTGCCACGGACCCAGCTCTCTCTGCCCGCTCCGACCTGCTGAGCGGAGGCTTGTTTGCAGCTCAGAACAAGGAAAGCGTAAGTCGCCAACTCCATTGCCAAGGAACATCTAACCATTTTTTTTTTTCAGAACAGTTTTCAAAGAGGAATGAAAAGCATTACACATGCTTTTCATCTGAGTTTGAAAGTGTTAAAGCATTAGTTCTTGTCCGTCTGCGTGTAACCGTGGGATTACGATGACTCGTAACAATCCTACGAATATAAAAAAACTCGGCACATTTGTTCCAAACACTGCGGTCTTCAAAGGAAATATATTTTATCGGTGACATTTCTCGCAATGACTCTTCTTCATAGCAAATCTATAAAGATGAAAATGTATAGTGTCAAGTTGTGCTCCTATTCGGGACTTGCAGAATATTGGCCACCTTGATCAAAAGGCTGCCAGCACCCTCCTTGGCAGAGCTGCTTTCCAAGGCTGATCTCACCATGGTCTATGGATGTACTCCTCCCTCTGCGCCTGCTGTGATTGATCCTGTTACTTGTAAATTAAACTTGCCCAAGGATCAAAGCATACTGAAAGCATTACAAAATTCATTCACATGCATGATTTTTACTGGTAGGAACCACCTGGTTCTACCAGCGCACAGGGGATTATTGTGTCTGTCCGTCGTGCATCCAAAAATGGGAGGGCTGGGTGGGGAGGGGCTGGGTGGGGAGGGGCTGGGTGGGGAGGGGCTGGGTGGGGAGGGTCTGGGTGGGGAGAGTGGGGCTGGGTGGGGAGGGTCTGGGTGGGGAGAGTGGGGCTGGGTAGGGGGTGGGAGGGGTGGGGCTGGGTGGGGAGGGGCTGGTCACCCCGTGGTGCCCTTATAAAACTCAACGTTTGTGTTCTTTATGGTGTATATTTTTTTGGGCTGGCTATGACAGCGTTTTCAGGTAATATGCAGAGGAGTCCGCTAGTTACACTGAGAAATGTTTTCCACCTGCTCTTTGCGTGTGTGTGTGTGTGCATTCATGCGGGTCTCCCTGATGCGAGGTAGGCCCAGGTGGCCTCGGACCGCGCACGACTGCTACAGGGCACCGAAAGCCTGGGCCGCGCTTCGGCCAGCGTTGAGCGTTCGCATCGCGTTGCTGTTGAGACGGAGCAGATTGGGAACGAGATCATCGACGAGTTGGGAACACAGCGCGAACAGCTGGACAGGACGCGTGACCGGGTATGCATTCAGTGGAGACACCGTCTCCACAAGACAGGATTTCCCAAATACAAATTGAACCCAATAACGCCCATAAAACAAGACCACATCACCTTAGATGCTCCGTCAATTCACACTGTATTTGAGATGTGTTTTCAGTTGCATTAAGTAATTGAATGATGACATTGTTAAATGTTGAATTTTCTTTTCTTTCAGCTTACAAATACAGGACAAAACCTATCAAAAAGCAGGAAAATACTGACTACAATGTCACGCAAGTAGGTCCTACAATTCGCCACGATTTCTCCTGGCATTTAAAACTCGCTTTGTATCATGGAGAAGTTTATGATCTTGGTGACACATTGATACCTTGCAGTGTGGGAAGAGAATTAACGAGCTATTTCTGTTGGTGGTTTTTCAGGATTGTGACCAACAAACTCCTCCTTGGCTTCATCATCATCCTCGAACTTGGCATTCTGGGTGCTGCTGTATACTTGAAATTTTTCAAGAAATGAGCATGTTATATTCCAGTGTTTAAAAATGTCAAACTTATGAAGCTTAAACACATGTATTGTAAATACCATACTATCTTTTGATATTGGCATGTATAGATTCAGTATGCTCTAACTTTGCATCGCAATGAAATAGTGATGTTGCTTTATAAGATGTGCCACATGAGGTGGAGCGGTGGCAAAGTGGTTAATGCCCTGCACTTTTAACTGTGTGAGTTTGATTCTGGTGCGTGGCTAACATCTGTGGTGAGTGATATCTGAATCAGACCTGGGACCTCCCTTCACCACCCACACTGACCAGTGTGGTGAAGCATGGTCAGACAACCCTCATGATTGACATGGCATCGTAAGTGGATTGACAAAGATATGTATATTACCATACCACAAATTTAAATGTGTGATTTAGAGCACAAGTAACTTTGTTATTTGTATTATCACATGTTTGTCATGTAAAACTTGTAAATACAAATTGCTCTTTTGCCATGAATGCACTTGGAGGAGAAATGTTTAGAATATTATGAAAGATGTAAATGTTGAAAGTGGAAGCAAATATGCCCAAAAAAAAAACTGAATGCTGCTTGAATTTAGGTTGTATACTTTTGATCAAATAAAAATTACATCAAGGCGATTTTTGTTGTCTTATCTGTTATCTTTTGAGAATACACGTGAGAAGCTGTCATGGCAACTGGAAGTATAGTGGTCCGTGGAACGGGTATAATAGAACCCAAATGCGTTGTCTTAATTGTCACGAAAATACCTCAGGAATCTAAAACAGCAAAATGTTCATCCAGCCGTTTCCCATGGTGCTCTACTGTCCCTCTGTTCCTGCCATTGTTGCGAGGCCCTGTGGACATCAACCAATACAATCCACTGCTGGATGAAAACTTCACCAAACAGTTGCCATCTCAAGTCATACATCACAGTGCCCTAATAGCCCAAGCTGAACGTGAGCGGTGCCTGGGAGCCCTGTAGGGCACAATCACACAAAGCCCTCCATGGGCGTCCCACAATTAAACAACTCTGGAATGTGGAGTGGCCGACTACTCGTGCCCCTTTAAACATGGTAGCCGCCCTGACGCTCTGCCTTTCGAAGGCTCATAAGTAAAATATGACACGAAAAAAACACATTTCTGTGGAGGGAGCTGGTAGGAACGTTGGGTTGCTCGGTCAATGGCCAGGGTCAACGGCGGCGTGGTGTATTCCGCAAATATGCCCGACTATGAGGGCGGGCACAAGCCGGCGTGAGTAGGTTAAACGATGAATTTTATAAGGGCACCACGGGGTGACCAGCACCTCCCCACCCAGCCTCTACCCACCCTCCCCACCCAGCCACTCCCCACCCTCCCCTCCCTGCACGACGGACGGACATAATAATCCCCTGTGGGCTGGTGTAACCAGAGGTTCCGACCAGTAATAGTGTCACAAAAGCACGTGTCGGCTCTGCTACTCCCATGGGTAGTGCAGTGCTGATGCATGCTCTGTGGGTGGCGCTGCTGGTCTACACCGAAAGTCTGGATATTGCCTCCCATTTGTTGACAACTCCATTACAAACGTGGCCCCTGGTTAAAGATGTAAAGTGTGGGGTTTATTGCCACGCTTAAATGCGAACAAAGTATTTAATTTCTCAAAATGTTATCGCCATTTTATTTTGTCTTGTTACACGAGTTTAAAAATGTTTAAAAGTTTATAACCGAGAGACAGCCCCTTGTGAGAATACTTTTTTTAACAGGAGACCTGCACCGTAAATGGTGACCACACTTAAAACAAGGTGGTACAAGTACATCTGTATATGTTTATTAGTATGTTGGGCTCGTGGAAGTGGCACATGTCAAAGTAAATGCCTGGATATAAAATAAAACCTGCACCTCGCTGCACCACTAAAGAGCCCAGGAGTCGGCGCCACATTTCCCAGTCGTGAAGACAATTCCTCCAGGCTCGAGAGCCTGGTTGAAATCGCATACCTGTCAAGCCCTTGGTGCAAGGCAGTAATTATAATATATTCAAATATGCTCAAAATGTCCCCCCCAATATATTGCTATGAAAATAATTGCTATGCTATGTAAATAAAAAGAACAATTTGCTAAACCTTGGCCACAATATCTAGACTTGTCTTCATATAAATCAATGCATAGATTTATGTTTATATGATTGTGGTTATGGTTGTACTTTATTAATCCCTAATCTCTGCCATTACATCCAATGAAACAAGAAATGGTAAAAAAAAATAACAGAGCTATGTAATACAATACACTATTAGACATTGTAAATAAATAAATAAAGCCCATCCCATGTGTTAATTATTATTTTTTATATTTTAGGCAGGAAATTAGTTTTCAAATTTAGATATTTTTCTGGGTTGGGACCCCCAGACACCCTGGAAGATTTGGTCCCCCCCAATGTTGACTCCATGGCTATGGCCGTGCCTTGGTGCCTACCTTAATACATACCAATTCAGGTCTTATTGGTCACCCCGTGCCCTTAAAATATCAACATTAATCCTACAAAGCCTAATCACAAGAGAGAACACAAACAAATAGACATTTTATTGTCCGTATTGAAACGGCTGTACGCCGCGTGGACCTGTAAACTAAATTTCTCTATACAAAAATACTGGTAAACCGTATGGGTTGACACGGTATGAGACCGTGTGAGATGGCTTTGGAAGCCGGGATGTTTTGGTTAGTGGAGCCTAACTAAGGCCCCGTAGGATTGCCCGAGAAGTGAAATATCTGAGCTGCCTGAGGACCCATTCCAACTCCAATCCGGTAAAGTAAACGCCAACTCTGCAGAGCTTCCAAAAAGAGAGAAACCCGTACACAGTTGCAATCGGGAATACTCCAAAAAAAACCTCGTCCTACATCTGACCAAATAAACCGGAATATGCCCAAATCTTGGATTGTATGCGAGATTGAGCCTGTATAGTACTTAGGGTGGGCGACCGCCGCGCATAACGCAGACATCGTCAGGCTACTGTGGGGCTAAGATGTCAGCAGAGGGCACTGCAACAGAGTCAATTGCTGTGCTAGTAAATCTGGCTGTGACGGTCCCACCTGATGACGGAGACTTGTGTTGCCTCCGAAACGTCGTGAATTATTATTTTATTTCTATTATTATTTAAATTTTTTTTATTTTTTTACCTACGTGACTTTACCGAAAAAACCTAAGAGGATGAATAATTGCAGTCACGAAAGCTTCAAATCTAGAATTGCTGTGCTGCCGTGCGTCTCCGCTGCCGCCTTCGCCAACCCGTAACTGGCGATCTTGGCCAAGCCACATGGTGAACAACTCCGAAACGCGAGCCACGACTCGCAGCACCTGCCCGGGGACATTCGCATCAGGCAGTGGATTGACAAAGGCGGGCGGGGGGGGGCTTTACAAGTGCGCGTTGTTATTGCGGGAGATTTGTTGTTGTTGTCTATGCTAATTTAAAACGCACGTGGGACGAAGAACAATCGAAACGCCAAATCAGTCCCGACATGAGCGAGAGATCGGTTTGGCGGGTCGCAAAGCGGCGCGTCTCGCCGGGACACCTCCAGTGAGCTCGCCCATCCGCGCTCCTCAAAGCGGCTATTTTGGACTCAGGAATGCGCACAGCTGCTCCTTGTTAGCGGCCGTGTGCGTGCCATTAGGCAGTCAGCCGCCCGAACACACGGCGAACACACGGCAGAGTCTATCCCACTCTGCCGAAGCATACGCGTCGTTTGCAGGGTTTACGCGCGTTCCCTTTAGACCTCGGATGAGGCTGATGGGTACGAGCGGCAGGTGATTTGCGGTCCAACGGAGACTAATTGCTCGTATTCCAGCAGCTCCAAAATTGAACCTTATGTTGGACTTCTTTCGCACCGTACGTAGCCAACCGTGCTCGCGGAGGTGATTACGTGCATGTCACGGTAGGAAGTGTTCATTCCGGTCTCTCGCAGAAGAGGCCAACCCTTCGTGTTGGAGAACGACCCAAGCGGATATCACGCAGCTACTTCTGAGAAGCCTTCAAGTGACGTGATACACTCAGTAAGAGGGGGGGTTACTTTCCCCGACCCACTCTGCTATAAGAGAGTAATATCAACTGAAATGTAATGTGGTGTTCGATTTTAGCAAGTAAATCGTGACCGGACTGAGACGACACTGGATTTGAACCCCAGGATTTCAGCAGTGCCCGATCAGCGCTCTGACCTCTTAGCCACTCATCCACCTTTTTTCTTTCTTGTGTTTGAGAATTTGAGAGGCATTGATTGGTGAGAATAGTGGCCTAATGTAAGGGTGCCAATGTAGGAAGTCCTCATCTGGTTTCCACAGAGCTGTTCTTTATGAAGGCAGATGCTACTTAGCAATGCAAAAACTGGATTTGCTAATGAACTTGATAAAGTAAACCAATGTGACTCAAGGAGAATAATGCATTTCAATCATTGCATATGAACTGTAATGGCATGGATCAGATACATGCAGACAGATAACGAAATTGAAATAAAAGTAGAAACATGTGCAAAGAAACGTGGAGATGTGCGTGCTGACAATTACACCGAGAGACAGAGGAGTGAATGCATCTCAAAGCAAAGGCCAGTTGGAGACATCGCTACTATGATTCAGCACCGCTAATGTTCAGGTCGAGGTTGGCGAGTGAGCCAGTGGACGTCTTCACGAGTGCCCTGGTGAACATCTGAAGCGCTTCAGATGTTCACCAGGGCAAGAGTGCATCACAATGGCTGTGTGCTTTTTGAAACACATTTTGCTGTCTTGTTTGAAAGTTATGGTTTTGCTGCATGCACTATGGTTATGTTACAAAGGGCTTTTCCCGTCACTTTAATATTTTACAGATTTCAAATATACTCTGTATTTTAATGCATGGCCAAACCGATCTAGAGCTTTTCTCGTCTTGAACGAACGCTGCTGAAATTGTGTTCTCCCAAAGGCCGTTGTGAAATAAATACTTTTATTATTTGTATGTGCAGAGACGGATATGTGAAGGGGGCATATTGTCTGTTCATGTATTGTGCTAACGTGGCAAGGCTGGTAAGCCTAGCAGGGTTGGTAAGTCTTACCTAATGTCGCGCAAGGATAAGATGCGGTGCAGTGTGTGTGTGTGCGTGTTTACCGAGGCGATATTGAAATTCCCCATCTCACAGGAATTCACTTGACTAAATTGCATTCTTCAAGGGACGGCGTTTACGTGCGAACTTCTCTGTAGTCTCCTCCAAGCGTCTGCTCCACATTACCGAAACGCCTTGGCCCCCCCGGCTTTAGCGCGCAAAAAACTCGATGAGATCAGAGCGGCGCTGCTCTCATGCAGGGGAGGGGGGGAGCGCTGCAAACGCAAAGCGGCCACCAAGGAAAACAACAGCCGCCCTTTCATCCCGCCGCGGTGAGAGGCGCAGAGAGCGAGAGGGCGCGCGTCTTCCCACGACGTTCCAGGCGCAGACTCGGCACCCAGACCCGGGCCCGACACGGGCGCACGAGGAGATCCGTGGCGGCACGAAGGCCACGCCGTGGTGGCATCTGCTCGGCTCGCTCTCCCCCTTGCGACGTTTTTTTTTCGGTCATTGTCAAGAGCGACGTGAATGCTCAGTGTTTAGATACGTCCCGATAGCGAGCGAACGTTGGTTTCCGTTGTCTGCGACGGTTCAAAAGGACTCGGTGGAAGAGATGGATGGCCACGTCCAGCGGATGGGTGCGTGTTGGTTCCAGCGGAACACATTGGCTCAGATTGACATCATTCGTTTTGTAATATCTGCTTCGGCAGGCAGTTCTCTATCATGTGTGTGCTATGAAGAATAGCAATTATCCCGAAACGTCATATATTATATATTCAAATTTTAAAGACCAACGTGTTATGAAGGTCGTGTTCAGGTTTTTTTATCTCGGAAATGGGGTGTGGTGTTATAAAAGCGTTTGTCACCCCAATGCATGTCTCTTCACTAGGCTGAAGCTACGATTTTTTTGACATTGCATTTCATTTTTTTTCAACAGTTTTCTGGGGACATAGCCAAACATTAAGTATTACCCACAACTGCCATTGTAATACTGTCATTGACCCAGACGCCACCCTCACACGATCCTCTGCCGGGTTCCCACGCCATGTGATCGGCTGGACAAAAAAAAACCTCCGTCAAAATATCTAAACTCGGTCGAATTTGCTCAACCGCCGATGGGCAATTCTTGGTGGCAAACGTGTACACAAGTGGCACCGTGCCGATATACACAAGTACGTTCCATTGAGCACCTTGTGATTATGGACTGTGGTGAGAGCGCACTACCATGTGTGAACGATCCATTCGGATTGCTGCGACGGAGTGGAAACATTCTTAAAAATAATACGAGGCGCCCCATCCAGACGCACGAGGCGCTCCACCCACGGCCACGCGAGGCGCTGCCACCCACAGCTTCGCGTGGGAGTCAAGCCGAAAACTTTGCGAGAAACCAAAAAAACCCGGAGGGCACACGTTCAACAGTGCCAATTGCCCGGCTACCTCCCAGCCCGCGCCTGCTGTGGACAATGGAAAACGTTTGATTTGACAATCGTGGGCGAACATTTTGCAGTTCGGAGACGGCGATTGTGAGATATTGCGCTGGTGAAGTGTATTTAGCATTCACAAATGGCAGTGTTGGCCTTGATTATAACTTGTTCCTTTACTCAAATAAACACGGCAGAAACAGGATAGCGAAGGTAATTGCGTGCCCATTGTTCAGCTACCATTTCGATGGCATCCAAGAGTATGGTAGCAATTTTCACGGCATTCAAGCGGACGTTCCTGTAACGTTAATGACATTTCAAGGGAAGCGAAGTCGGAAGTCGCAGAGAACAAATTACTGGAGATTCCTGTGGAAATTAACGTTTCGTTTTATTTGTGCTGTTCGCAGCAATTTACAGTGCTCTACAGAAGCGACGCTTTTACAGGCCCCCCTGCCGAGCGCGCGGTCGTCACGCTCAAGTGTCACGCGCAAGTGTCACGCTCTCGGCCCGCGTCCACGCCGGTGTGTCACGCTCTCCACGCGGGCGGCCCACAGCTCGCACCAGCACGGACACCCAGGGGAGTGGCGGCAGCGGGGGGGGGGGGGGGGCTCCCTCCTCCTCATCGCGTGGAGCAAAAGCGGCGAAAAGGAGACCTCTCATCAGGCCTTGATCGTTGACACCATTCCTCGTTAGATTTTTTAAAATATAATTCGATTTTTTTTTCAGAACGGGACTTAAACGGTATGCTTTCAATGTAGGAGGGCAATAGATATTTAATTTATTTTTAATAGCTTCATGTTGCCCCCCACCCACTCCTCCTCTGACGCACACGCGATTTCCCCCTATCGACATCGGGTAATGAGACCAAGAATCCGTCAACTGTTGTTGAAGAGCAGTGAGACACCGCATGATAGAGCATGCCCCCGCACCCCCCGTGGAAGTGGATATCAGATAACTACAGAAATCCCTGTTTATTCATAGTAGGAGACAACACTTTTCCACCTGCCCTGCTACAGCAATGCTTGTCAGTGAAACCAATGTTTTGCATTGTCAGACTTGCAATTCAGTCAGATTAAGGTGGCCCATGCGTACAGGATCACTGCCAAAACCTACCACAGTTGCTCCCCAAATTCAGTGCAAACCCAGTCAATGTGATCGTTTTTTCGTGCAGTCATTGGTGACCGGGCTGAGGCCTTCAACTCGCCGCGACACCTGAGAAGCTGTCTCCATCACAGGTCGGCTGCCCAGATTCCGACTGGGAATCTCCGGCGGTGCCAGCTCAGAGCTACGACCTCTGACCCACCCGGCTGCCCCCACACGGACCCTTTTTATAAACACACACACACAGAATGGAGCGAATGACACGTGACCCAATGTTGACTCGCTGCCGTCAGGGAGCCCGCTGCTACACATCGCCCACAGCTCATCCTTTCGGAATAATCGACGCGGAAGGTTTCTTGAGCCGTAATGTTTTGGGCCCTGCTACCACAAGCCCCAGAGACAACATTCCACCCGATGTAACAACTGAGCGAGGATTGTAGTTTTAATTCCCTTAGAAAAGAAACACGGTGATACATCATCTTCTTTAAATGCATCGTGCCCTCTAAGTTTTAACTCATTTTCTTCGCTACCTTGAAGACGCTGGCCCGGAGATGACAATACATAATTTGATTATGGAATACATCTGTGCGGAGTGTTCACCGTTACCTCCTCCTATGTCCAGATTGGACTCTGCTCGGTTGATTACCTCCCACACGAAGCCAAAGTCTCATTCACGGCAATGGCCAAACATCTCAATGTAGCAGGACCTTCCTGAAAGAGAATCTTGATACTCGGCAAGTCCTTCCTGGGTAAACAAGGGGTATCACTATTATTGTTTCTTATTTAAGTTAATAAACCATCTCTATGGCCCACTGCACAGAAACCTATCACCTGACTGGCCGTGCTTGGTTGAAGACTCAGAAAATCATTGGCCGATATTGTCTAACTCGAACAGATTGGCGTAGCTACAAAAGCAGGGCTTCATTTCTCATGGAATGCTTTCTGGGGGGCCTCGAAACCCAAAAATTCCAGGAGCCTGAAATATTCTCTGGAGCTCTGCGCCGGACAGCTCCGGCTGAAACGAAACCGTTCGTAACAAGGAACAGCAGCAGCAGACTGTGGCTATGCTGGCTTTGGGGAATTCTGAACACAAGCAACACCAGAGTAAACCTCCCAGTTGTTTCCAACCCAATCGCCACGACCATGAGATTAATAAATTACTATTTCGATTGAATGTTTAATATATAAATTAGGGCTTATTCAGAGAGTTGAGGGACCTAACAGGCACTTGTAGAGCGAGCGAGCGAGCATCCGTCCACGCTGACGCTCGAGACAGCCTCCCCTGGCGGGCACCCTTTCGAGTTGCGTCGCTACCACCCGGAACGCGGGCAGTGGCGTGCCGCTCTGTCACGTGGACCGCGGGCAGTTGTGCTCCACTCTGCCGGTGGGACCGCGGGCAGTGGGGCGCTGCTCTGCCACTCGAAACGCGTGAACAAAAGTGCCAGCATATCGCTTCGTTTCTGTCTCGTTCATATTCAGCCCCAAGCAAGGTTTCTCCACGATCGCCTTGCGGAATTCAAAGCAAGATGTTCCAGCCAATAAAAAAAAAATATATAAAAACAAAATACACTTTCATTATCTGTATTCCGAGCGATCAAAGACAACTAAATAAGTCAGCAAACTAGCTCCAGTTATACTTAATTACATTAAAGTTTAGTTCTTTAGTACATTAGCTTTATAATTATTCTGTTATTAAAAAATATAGAAATAACATTGCCAAAGCATTAACAAACAGCGCGACACACGAGCCGACAAAAATACACCTGTACAGAAAGAGGGAGCATAAGCCACGTGGAATGACTGAACGGATACTTTGGGAGAGAGATAACTCAGAGAGACAGATACATTCATTCATGACAATTCTTTCTTTCCCCGTCTGACATTATCTCTTTTTGCATCTTGTACGTCGAGTGGTGATACTTTGATTGCGACTGATGACACCAGAGCCTATTCAATTTTAACACAGAGTAAGCTGTGTGTGTGTACGTGTTAGAATGTAAAAACTGGATTAATAAAATAAAACATTACTTTAAAATAAAATAATAAATTAAAGAGTTGGTCAATCTTCTGCCGACTGGCCTCATCAGGCCGTGTTGAGGCTCGTCAGCCGACACATTGACGAACTTGTGGCTTCGCCTCACTGTGTACTCATCAGCATGGGTTCTAATGAGCGACGTGGCAATAACTTATGGGAAGTCGACCGCCGTTTGAGTTAACGAGCAGATCTCAGCTACGGGCGGCACTTGGGAGTTCTGGAATGGCCCAACATCAAACCTGCGAGCAGTGCAAGTACCTTTCATGAAAAACAAAATAATAACTTGGATATAAACAACACCGTGTTTGCGACAATGCAGCAATAGTATTAGATCTCTGAATTGGCACGGCCCGCCCAAGAACACCACGTGTACTGACATCATGAGAACTCTGCTTGATCTCAACAAAAAACATAGTCAAAAAGACATTGCTATGAACGTCAGATATTTACATTATCACATCCTATATAGTGCTTTTATTTTTTTTATAAAATATGAAGAGTAAGCAAGACAAAACAAATCTATAAGCAAAATAGAAAAAGGTGCTTTTAAGGCTTTCTCGACGGCTGTAACGAATTTCGCACAAATCGATCTCCTTGTCCGTCTTCTCTGTGACGTCGCCACCCATCGTCCATGCTGCCCACTCTCCGACGGCCCAAGTTCCCAACGCTCCAGCTGCCCAACACAGCCATGAGCCGCCCAACACAGCCATCAGCTGAGCAACACAGGCATGAGCTGTCCCAACAGTCTCGCCTGAGGTCGCCCAAGCTGGCTGACAAAATCGGCATTCATTTTCCCGATGATGAGAACAAAACATTTTTTTTTATCTTCTTGAAAATGTGGACGAGAGTGACTGCGATGACGCAGTTCTAGGAAATAATACGGGGTTGACCGTTATATGAAAAAAAAAATCTAATTTTGTTTCCATTTCGATCGTTTTTATTTTTGTTTGAACCTTGCAGAATTATCTACAAAGCGCTATCGGGGGAAGAGGGGCTTCGAGGGCAGCAGAAAGTGCACATTGCAGAAGAGTCAAGCACTGGGAAGAGCAAGAGACGGCAGGGCACCCTCCGCCGGCCGGCAGGAGGCCTGGAGGGCGAAGTCCGTGGCTCCGGGGGGGGGGGGGGGGTCCGTGGGGTCACGGGGTCGCCGGGATGCGTGGGGGTGTCACACGCTGGCGCCGCTCGGGCTGATCATGCTGTAGTAGCCGCTGTAGCGAGGGTCCGGCTCTGCCAGGCGCTGGACCTTGGCTGCGTTGTTCAGCGGCGGCTTTACCACCGCTGCCCCCGTGGTGGCGGTGGCGGCCGTGTTCTTGTCCAGGTCGTTGTTCAGGTAGACCGTCTGCAGACACGGAGAAAGACGATAAACGAGTAAGAGAAGACTGTAACATGAATTGAGATATCAAACAGAAACGTGGATGTCAAGATGGAATTTGAACAAAAGCTTACAATAGGTATCTATATTTCGATTTAAAGCTTTCGTGACTGCAGGGATTCATCTTCTTGGTTCTTTCGGTAAAGTCATGTAGAAGGGAAGTAATAAAATAATAAAAATAAGACATAAAATAATTATTATGTTTTATTTTTATTATTTTATTAAAATAATAAAAAAAAATATTAAAATAATAAAAATAAAACATAATAAAATAATTATTGTGTTTAATTTGTATTATTTTAATACTTCCCTTCTACGTGACTTTACCGAAAGAACCAAGAAGATAGGTATCTATAGTTGGTGTTTGAACATCTTAACACCTGTATTACTCCGGCAGAGGCTAAAACCTATTCTTTTTTCAACGTCTTTACACCGGCAAAAAGAGTCTCATAGATAGAAGCTGATGAGTGCGCATGCAGAGAAGCATGCTTGGAATTAGACTCAGAGACAGGAGGGGGAAAGCATGGTTCCGAGAACACCCGGTTCGCATGTGTTTCCTTCCACGTGTTATGTGAACAGTCCAAGTGTCAAGTTAATTTTGTTTAACCCAGTGAGAACTCAAGCGACCAGGATAGAGTCACATTTGCATGAGTGACCCGCAGAATTAATTTGCCAGTCGGGGGAAACGATTGCCGCTGTCTGTATAATCCCTGTTGAGTTATTTGCAGGTAAATTTCGATTCTGGGCACGCGATGGTGGCCAACCCTTGCGAGTGACATCACAGGATCTTAAACGTCCAATGCGAAACAGACGGCGCGATGTGTTACCACGGCTTAATTCGAGCCGTGAACGTCCGCTCGGTGTGCTTCCGCTGTGCCACGGCTTCACCGCCATCGCGCGAGCTACGCGCACGTCCCGCGTACAAGAGGAGTGTCTCTCGCTCGCTGGCGGCGCCTGGCCAATGCTCCGCACACCACTGGGTGCTCCGCAAGGCCCTGGACAGCGATCCGCGATACCCGCCGCAGACGCGGCTATTTGGGGTGCGTTTTAAACTCGAGAAATTGTCGCTGGTGCGCGGCGGTCCACCAATTTTGTTTGGTCCAACAAGTTTTGGAACCACCTTTGGAACCTCATTTGCCAGTAAAAAAATATGATAATTGTTTTTTTACCCTTCTATCTGGCAACAAAAGGAGTCATATTTGCATAGACCACAATACCTGCAACCATAATGCAAACAAAAAACATAACTCTGATAATATATGCACTGTCCTTGAAGTTGATTGGTCCACACCCGAGACAGCATTCCTTAGAGCCTAGTCTCACATGGGTTGGACCAGATGACGCCTTTTTGTTTGCATTATGGCTGCAGGTATTGTGGTCTATGCAAACATGACTCCTTGTAAAAAAGGTGTCAGTTTTGTTGCCAGATAGAAGAGTAAAAAAACAATTATCAAGTTTTGGAACCATCGGACGCCGCGCGCGTCACGCGGACCACCGTGGCGCGTGCGAGGCTTGTCCCGTGTACGCCGTGTGCGCGTGGAGGGGCGCCGTGCCTTGACGGGCGGCTTGTAGAGCTGCAGGGGAATCCACTGGCGCCGCCGCGAGTGCAGGAGCAGCACGAGCACGACGAGCAGCCCCAGCGCCAGTGCGCCGATCACCACCCAGAGCGGCCACACGTCCGCACCGCCGGCAACGCCGGCAATGCCGCCGCGCCGGTCCACGCTTGCCCCGTCCACCGCACGCTGGCACCCCAACTCGTCTGGAGTGGCGTGTACACGTAAGCAGACGGACGGACGCACACACGGGGACACGTAGAGACACATGCATGGACACACGAAAATAAACAAGTCCCCAGTTCCCCTGCTGAGCTGCACCAGTACCGCGCCGCTAGCGAGCGCACGTCGTCACGGTGACGGAACGCGGCTGGGAACATGAACAGCCCCGCTGGATGAAGGCCTCCCAAAGACCATGTGGGGTTGTGGTTATTTGACCATGCTGGTCAGTGCAGTTTAGAGTTCAATGAAGGTGGGGAGCATAGGCACGGGAGCAAAGATGCATTTTGTACTGCCCTCTACTGCCCACAGACACACAGCCACACAGTCACACAGTCACACAGTCACACAGCCACACAGTCACACAGTCACACAGCCACACAGCCACACAGTCACTCAGTCACACAGTCACACAGCCACACAGTCACACAGCCACACAGTCACACAGTCACACAGCCACACAGTCACACAGCCACACAGTCACACAGCCACACAGCCACACAGTCACTCAGTCACACAGCCACACAGTCACACAGTCACTCAGACACACAGTCACACAGTCACTCAGTCACTCAGACACACAGTCACACAGTCACTCAGTCACTAAGTCACACAGTAACACAGTCACTCAGACACACAGTCACACAGTCACTCAGTCACACAGTCACTCAGTTACTCAGACACACAGTCACACAGTCACTCAGTCACTAAGTCACACAGTAACACAGTCACTCAGACACACAGTCACACAGTCACTCAGTCACACAGTAACACAGTCACTCAGTCACTCAGACACACAGTCACACAGTCACTCAGTCACTAAGTCACACAGTAACACAGTCACTCAGACACACAGTCACACAGTCACTCAGTCACACAGTCACTCAGTCACTCAGACACACAGTCACACAGTCACTCAGTCACTCAGTCACACAGTAACACAGTCACTCAGTAACACAGTCACACAGCCACACAGCCACACAGTCACACAGTCACACAGCCACACAGTCACTCAGTCACTCAGTCACACAGCCACACAGTCACACAGTCACACAGCCACACAATCACTCAGTCACACAGCCACACAGTCACACAGCCACACAGTCACACAGCCACTCAGTCACACAGCCACACAGTCACACAGCCACACAGCCACACAGCCACACAGTCACACAGTCACACAGCCACACAGCCACACAGTCACACAGTCACACAGTCACACAGCCACACAGTCACACAGTCACTCAGTCACATAGTCACTCAGTCACACAGACACACAGCCACACAGCCACACAGTCACTCAGTCACACAGTCACACAGTTACTCAGTCACACAGTCACACAGTTACTCAGCCACACAGCCACACAGTCACACACTCACAATCACTCAGTCACACAGCCACACAGTCACACAGTCACACACTCACAATCACTCAGTCACACAGCCACACAGTCACACAGCCACTCAGTCACACAGCCACACAGTCACACAGCCACACAGCCACACAGCCACACAGTCACACAGTCACACAGCCACACAGCCACACAGCCACACAGTCACACAGTCACACAGCCACACAGTCACACAGTCACTCAGTCACACAGTCACTCAGTCACATAGTCACTCAGTCACACAGTCACACAGTTACTCAGCCACACAGTCACTCAGTCACTCAGTCACACAGTCACACAGTCACACAGTTACTCAGCCACACAGCCACACAGTCACACACTCACACACTCACACAGTCACACAGTCACACAGCCACACAGCCACACAGTCACACAGCCACACAGTCACACAGCCACTCAGCCACACAGTCACACAGTCACACAGCCACACAGTCACTCAGTCACACAGTCACACAGTCACTCAGCTACACAGTCACACAGCCACTCAGCCACACAATCACACAGTCACACAGTCACACAGTCACACAGCCACACAGTCACACAGTCACACAGCCACACAGTCACACAACCACACAGCCATACAGTCACACAGCCACACAGCCACACAGCCACACAGTCACACAGTCACACAGCCATACAGTCACAAAGTCACTCACTCACACAGCCACACAGCCACACAGTCACACAGTCACACAGCCACACAGTCACACAGTCACACAGCCATACAGTCACACAGTCACTCACTCACACAGTCACACAACCACACAGTCACACAGTCACACAGCCACAGAGTCACACAAACACTCAGCCACACAGTCACACAGTCACTCAGCCACACAGTCACACAGTCACACAGTCACACAGCCACACAGTCACACAGTCACACAGCCATACAGTCACACAGTCACTCACTCACACAGCCACACAGTCACACAGTCACACAACCACACAGTCACACAGTCACACAGCCACAGAGTCACACAGACACTCAGCCACACAGACACACAGACATACAGCCACACAGTCACACAGCCACACAACATCTGTTAGGGTGGTCGCCCATCCAAGCACTTTCCAGATCAAACTCATTCCAGGCGATTTGAATTAAGAACATTCGCCCTGCGCCAAACAAGATGTGTGCCCTTACTCGAATCCTCCGACAGCGGCCCCATGACGCAAGCGACGGGAACCATCTCCGTGACGGCCTCGACTTCGTTGGACCTCTCAGCGGGCACGCTCGCGGGCTCCGAAGGCAGCTCGTCATCTGGAATGAGACGCCCCACGCCCCGCGTTAAGCTTTTCAGAGACACATTCTGCGAGCAGCGTGCATCCGTACGCCAACAATCGCCCCGTTCACCCGCCCACAAACAAGAGATGCAGGGCTGCTCGACTGTCAGCTTATGCAAACATGTCGTGCGCATTCGTGACACTATCGCCACCACCACCACTACCGCCACCACCTCCACCACTACCATCACCACCACTACCACCACCACCACTACCATCACCATCACTACAGTCACCACCACAACTACAGGAACTCCTGCCACCACTGACACTGTTGCCATCACCACCGTCACCACCCCCGCCACCACCGCCACCGCCACCGTGGGTGTGACACCGACGCAGCATACCTGGGCACGCGAGGCAGCAGGATCCGTCGAGGCGGACGGGGCGGCTGCAGGAGGGCCGCAGGCAGTCCTCCACGATGCACACGGCCTCGCCGTTGCGGCAGTGGCAGTGCGTGCACTGGTCGGGGCTCCAGCGCTCGCCCTCCCCGTAGATCTGCTCCTCGTAGTAGCAAACCTTGAGCGGCACGATCACCTCTGCAACGGCGAGAGGACACGCGGCCGTCGCGCGACGGTGAGCATCGGGCCTTGGACTTGCGACCCGGAGGTCGGCGGTTCAATTACAACTCCCGGGCGCGGTGGTTCCGAAACAACGGTGCGAGTTTCTTAAATCCGACCCGCTGCTATCCACCCCGGCGGCACGGGCGAGGACGCCGCAGTGAGTCTATCGGGGCAGGTCGCGTTTGTTGGGCTCAAGTGTCGGTAACTCTTCCAAGACATCTGTGGAAGGGTAGACCAAAAACTCTCTCTTGGAGGCCCTTCTGCTCGGGGTAGCATGAGCGAGCAATTACAGGGCTGCGCCTTTGCCTTCATTTCCCAATCGTATTGCATTTGAGATGATTGGGGTGGGGGGAGAGTGCAGATGGGGGGAGGGTGGTGGGTGGAGGGTGGTGGTGGGTGGTGGGTGGTGCGTGGAGGGTGGTGGTGGGTGGAGGGTGGTGGGGGGAGGGTGGTGGTGGGAGGAGGATGTTGCGTGGAGGGTGGTGGTGGGTGGAGGGTGGTGGTGGGAGGAGGATGTTGCGTGGAGGGTGGTGGTGGGTGGTGCGTGGAGGGTGGAGGGTGGTGATGGGTGGTGGTGGGTGGAGGGAGGGTGGAGGGTGGTGGGTGGAGGGTGGTGGTGAGAGGAGGATGTTGCGTGGAGGGTGGTGGTGGGTGGTGCGTGGAGGGTGGAGGGTGGTGATGGGTGGTGGTGGGTGGAGGGAGGGTGGAGGGTGGTGGGTGGAGGGTGGTGGTGAGAGGAGGATGTTGCGTGGAGGGTGGTGGTGGGTGGTGCGTGGAGGGTGGTGATGGGTGGTGGGTGTGTGGAGGGTGGTGGCGGGCGCTCACCCAGGCAGTAGGGGCAGCATTGGCCCTTGCGCAGGACGGGCCGGCGGCAGCTGAGGGGCGGGCAGCGCTCGGGGAAGCGCACGATGCGACCCTCGCGGCACACGCGGCTCTCGCACGCGTTCGCCTTCCACACCTCGCCCTCCAGGAAGATGTCTCCGTCCTCCGACACGCAGTACTGCGGCGCGACGCCGCCCACGCCGCCGCTACTCCCGTTGCCGTTCGGCGCCGGCGTCTCCGAGGCGCCCGCTGGTGTGAAAACGTAAAAAAAAAATGTAATTCAAAGAAGAAAAAAAATCACGCACGCGAGTTGGATCCCGCGGGCGGCGTGGGGAAGCGCTGCATCGCAATCGAGCCCGAGTGGCTGCCGCTCGACCCACATGCTCGACGTGCAGCTTCACATGCCCATAGCGACCTCTGCCGCACTCCCCCCTGCCCATCACCCCCCGCCCCCCCACACCACACACCCACATACTCAATACGGCTGTCCCGTACGGTACCGAGCAATTGAGCCCAGAGAGCGTGCACCCGACAGCACGCACGCTCTCTCCACACCTCCCACGTGACCCGTTTACGTGAGCGGCGTGGATATGGGGCGCTCGGTGTGGGCGCGTTGCGAGTGCACGGGCGGCAGACTTCATGGCGGGCTGTGCAACGAGCGCTGCCTGCAGGTGGAGCGCCAGCTGGCACAAGGCGTGGGGGAGCTCTGCGTGTGCACGCCCATCTGGGCACCACCACCCCCCGCCCTCCCCCCTGCCACCCCGTTCCACCCCCTTTCCGCGCTCGGCTGGAAGAGTCAACTTCACCGCGAGGGAAATCGACGCGCTGTTCCCGCCGTTACCGGCTGTCGGCGGCGCGCTCGCGATAAACAGTTCGGAATGGGGGGAGAATCGTTTTGTAAAATTCACGCGCTGAAGAAAAACAAAACCGACTGCATAAAATGCACCTGAAATTAAATACCCATCAAAAATGTGTCCATTATTTTTCTGCCAATTTGCACTAACGATAAATATCCGTGATACACCCCGGGGGGGGAGGGTTGGGGTGGGGGGGGCGACCGAGCAGCGGCTCGCACTGTGGGGCTGTCCCACGGCGAACAAACTCCGCACGGCCCGGAGGATCGGCACCGGACAGGGAGTCGCGGTGTGAGCGGGGGAGCGTGCCCACGAGCGAGCGGGTGTGCGGCCGGGCGAGTGTTGCGTGCGTGCGGACCTGGGCAGGAGAGGCAGCAGGATCCCTTGGCGCGCACGGGGTCGTGGCACAGCAGCGGCGGGCACACCTCGGTGTCGCAGAGCACGCGACCCGCGTGGCACGTGCACTGGGTGCACGAGTCGGCGCTCCAGCTCTGTCCCTCCACGTAGTACTCCCCGCCGAACGCCTGGCACACGGCGTGCGGCGCCTGCTCGGGCCGGTCAGCCAGCGAGTCGTCTGCGAAGGCCACGCAAAGAGCAGCGGCAGCTAAGCGAGAGAGACAACGCTCGTGCCAGGCTAGGTGCGCGTTGAGGCCACGCGCAGAGCGGTGGCGCACGAGTGCAATTGACAACGGCGCGACACGTTCATCGATAACACTTGAAATGAAATATATACGAACGGTGACGTTTTGGGGTCATGGCCGTTCTTTATGGCACAACAATAAATGTTGTTTTATGAAGGAGAGTCATTGCCTGAAACGTCGCCGACTGTATATTTTTCATTTTAAGGCAGTGTTATTGACGATTGTGTTTGAGTGTTTTTTGGTGATGTGTGGTAAGGCCGGCTTTCTGGCAGGAGAAAGTTACGGGAAAGACGCAAGTGCTTCAGCTTGACCGAGATGACTGGCAAATGCACCCCCTATGCTCCCCACTGTGCAGCAAGGGAAACTTGCGCACACAAAGATCCCCGTATAGCCTGTGACAGACTGTAGGGGCAAGTGCTGTTAGCAAGCACCTATGAAGGCCGGCACAGCACACAAGGAGGGTGGGCGGCCAACACCACGCCCGGCCGCCTTTGTCTCCCTCGTGGCGATGTTTACACACCGCACTAGGCACTCATTTGAGGTTGACTCGACCTAGGGGAGGCCCAGGACCCGTTCAGATAATCGTCACTGGTGTTCGCCGTGAGCGGGAAACGAACCTGGGTCGCCAGGTTCGTAGCGCAGCGCACTAACCACCACACTACCGCTCCCCATGCGTGCACACGCACACACGCACGATCAGACGCGCGCGCGCACGCACACGCGTGCGTGCATGCGTACTGTGACGCACGGAATTCCCTAACGTGCGTGCGTTGGAATAGGAGATCAATATTTGTGCACGCATTCCGTCGGCGATTTTCAAAATAACAAAATATTGGATGCGAAACGCTCCTGTTTGTTTTGTTTTCAAAGCGTTTTTAGAGCCGGGAGTAATGAATACTGCAGAAATAAACACCGCGGGGGGGGGGGGGGGGGGGGGTGAGGGAGGGGGGGGGGTGACGCGTGTTGGTGCGAGCGTCGCCCGTGGCTCGATCTGCCAGGCTGACGCGGCGGCCCGCGCTAGTTAAAACCAAACACAGGGCCATCGATTCAGGATTTTTTAGATTGCGCTCGTTTCCACAGGGCGCACCAACGCCCGGGACTTGCGTTGCTCCTTCTAGCGGTCGGACACATAAAGGGGGCCTGTGTCCCGCAGCCAAGGAAATGTCAGGGCCTTAGCAAAATGTTTTAAGAGGCGAGCCAGCATGCTGCGCACAAAGCGAGAAAAAAAAAACCCCAGCCCTAATGAATGGCTTCCCCTGTTATCCGCTCAAAGAGACGGCAGAAACGGCGCTGACCACAAAGGGACGGAATTCCCCGTACGATTTGTACTAAATTTAAACACTGTAGAAGTTTGGGAACAGAAAAATTTCAGCACGGCTGACTTTTAACCTCTTTTGTTTACCAGAACATTGCCGTGGAACATTTTGATGGGTTTTTTTTTTTTTGCCATCCGCGCACAAAATCACAGTCACGGTGCCTTTCTTCTGAATTGTAAACGTGGAGTCACATGAGCCCCGACTAAATTGATATCCGGAGTTTGAGATTTCCTCCATTATATCAGGCATATGCCACGATTTAACGCGACACAAAGCGCCCATTGTTACCTTCATACAAAATAATTCCCATTCAGCTGCGATGAATATTCAAAGGTTGAAAAAGAGACAGGGGTGTGTGTAGGCTCATGTAACAGGCCCATCCGAATCCATTCAAGTCACTCTGAAATCCACTTTGTGATGACCTCTCACGAGAGGCTTACGTGCGAGAGCTGTCATTGTGTGGTGGAGGTGGGGGGGGGTTGCGCAAAGGGGGGGCCGGGCAGGGAGGCCTGGGCATGTGACCGACCTTCCCAACGCAGCCGCTATAGCCAGCCACGTTTCAAACTGCGGCCCCCCCCAGAAAATAAACAAGCGCTCACCTTGCTTCAGGTTCCGAGGGCAGTCCCCGACCTTGACACTGAGAAGACTTTTTAAAACCCACGGTCAGGATACGTGAACCACACGGACTGACGCCGCTGTGGTCGTGGCATCGTAGCTGTCATTGTGTGGTGGAGGTGGGGGGGGGTTGCGCAAAGGGGGGGCCGGGCAGGGAGGCCTGGGCATGTGACCGACCTTCCCAACGCAGCCGCTATAGCCAGCCACGTTTCAAACTGCGGCCCCCCCCAGAAAATAAACAAGCGCTCACCTTGCTTCAGGTTCCGAGGGCAGTCCCCGACCTTGACACTGAGAAGACTTTTTAAAACCCACGGTCAGGATACGTGAACCACACGGACTGACGCCGCTGCTGGTCGTGGCATCGTACGCTTTTTGGCGTCATCTGGTCCAACACCAGTGGAGACTAGGCTCTAAGAAAAGCCGTCTCGGGTGTGGACCAATCAATTTCAAGGACAGTGCATATCATCATCAGAGTTGTCTCTTTTTGTTTGCATTTTGACTGCTTGTGTTGTGGTTACTGCAAAAATGATCCCTTGTATAAAGGTGTCAGTTTTGGTGCCAGATAAAAGGGTGAAAACCTATAACTATTGGTGGGCACTATGCCCCGCCTCCTTCTTGAGCTCCCTTCCCAGGCAATGCAATCTACCCTCCTCTCCTGCTTTTCAAGTCTTCCTCTACAATCCCCGTGCCTTCAGACCCCTTCATCGCTTCCGTTATCACCTCTTCTCTCGCTCCGTCCATCCCCCGTTCCCCCACCCCCTTCCCTCGTATTTCTGTGCCGAGAGACGTCCGTCACATCGTCGCAATAACGACGACGACGCGTCCCGCGGCGCCGCCCGCCACGGGGGGCGCACGACGAAAGCGAGCGTTGCCGGAATTCGGCGACCGTACCGGCGCACGCCGGGCAGCAGTGTCCTTGGCGCAGCTCCGGCGTGGGGCACCGTGGCACGGGACAGGCGATGAGCGCGCACATCTCGCGCCCGCCCTGGCAGTAGCAGTCGCGGCAGCCGTCGTGCCAGCTCTCCCCGTCGGCGTAGCGCCGCCCGTCCATCGACGTGCACGAGCCGGTGGCGACCGGCGGCGCCGGTGGCCCTGGAGCGACTGGAAAAAAAAGAATTCGGAGGTTACCGGGGATCGAGGCCGTAGACTCACTACATCTTGAGAGACCGGTTTGGTCACGGGCGGCTGCCCCAATTCGAACCCGGCATCGTGCTCTCGCCTTCGCCGACCCGCGCCGACCAGCGTGGCGAGGTACGGTCAAATAACCTCCACAACCCACGTCGCGCGGAGGTTCCAGTGGGTCGCTCTGCGGCGCAGACCCGGGGCGTCGACCGATGACGCGTCGCAACCTGGCGCCGCGGCTTCTCCCATCGGAGACGAGAGGGATTTCGTCACGGACGTCACACGGCACTGTAAAATCCGCCACGTCCCCTCGTGGTGAAATCCACGTCGTACCTTTGCATCTGCAGAGCAGGCAGCCCTTGCCGTTCTCCGCGTAGCCGTGGAGGCAGAACTTGTCACACACCAAGTCGGGGCACTTGACGCAGCGGCAGCTGTCGCAGCCGTGCTTGTTCTTGCTGCGGATCGCAAACGCACCACGCACCACGCCGCGGAGGTCAAGGGGCAGCCGCGTGGTTCGCTGGGCATCGATACGCAGTCAACAGCCACGCCAGCCGAGGCACCGCCAAGATCCGGGGTTTAAATCCGAGGTTTGGCCGTCCGTGATTAAATCGGGTTTTACGGTCGTGTGGCGAAGCCCATTGTCTCAGCCCAGTCATCAACAGATACCAAAGAATCTTTAACCTTGGTCTTTGTCACTTCACTTGGATTTTTACAGATACGAGAATGCAACGTTCTGCTTCATTCGAACAACGTGCGGCAGGTGCGGCGAGCTGCTTCGTGAAACGAAAGCGTCGTCCGATCGTGAGAAGTGGTGAAGTGCGATCTGTCGATCGCGTAACCGACTACGCGCTCACACCTCGCATGGGAGCGACGGCCGCTACGCATCGTGCGACTCCCGATGCCGTGGAATTCATTACCCGGTGATAACGTTTTGAAAAATTGCCTTTCGAATTCCCTATGAGAGGACTCCTAACAGATAGCACGTGGACCTGCACCAGCAGGCGCCCAGTCACCTCGACAGGCAAGACAGACACGGGCACCCGGCAAACGCGCAACGTTGACCCAACGTTTCCCCGACGTTCCCCGGAGGGACGGCACGCGGCAATTCGGCGCGCTCACATGTATCCGTTGGGGCAGCGCTTTGCGCAGGCGACGTGGCGACACTTCTTGGGTTGCGGGCGGCACTGGCACACCTCGCAGCCGTGCCGGTCGGTGGCCATGCCGTGGGGGCAGTCGAGTCGGCAGCCCGAGATGACGCTGCGGCAGTGCTCCGCTTCTGTGGGACGGGGGGGCGGGGGGAGAGGACAGGCGGGTGGGGGACATGGGGAGGGGGGTTGGACAGGCGAGGGGGACAGGCGGGAGGGGACAAGCGAGAAGCGAAAGGCAGAGGGGGGGGGGGACAGGCGGGTGTGTGAGTCGCGTCATTGGCACCGTGGACGCGCGGCGGCGTCTGAGCGGCCGTAGCCGGGTGTCGGGCGCGCGTGGCTCACTGGTCTTGCAGCGACAGGTTCGGCACCCGTCCGAGTCGAGCCAGAAGCCGTACGGGCAGCTGTCGTCCGTGAGCGAGCAACCGAGCAGGGGGGAGCAGAGCGGCGGGCGGATGGTGATGAACGTCGGCTCTGGAAAATGAAATAAAACCCGTCACGAGCGGCAATAACCCCAAAGTCTCGCGTCCGTTCCATTGCACAGAAAATACAAGTGAAGGCGCGTACATTTGTGTTGCTAATTACTTATTCCACATGCAAATCGCATCGTGGAATCACATGAATGTTGCCAGCCTAGCAGCACTAAACAGACACGTCATGAAAGTTATATTTACTAAGCGTGGATTTAATATTATTATATTAACATTACTATATTAAATCCACTCACATGGCCTGAAATTACTCTGCCCCAATGAGAAACCAAATTTTTTTTATGATTTAGGGTTGAGATTCTCTTAAGGAATCAATTACTTTGTTACCTGTGAGGTGGCAATGTAGCACCTCACACAGCTGCAAGGGGTCAGATGAACTAATTAAGTGCGATTTGCACGAAAAAAAATGGAAAATACAATCAACGAGCATTCGAATCGCATCTTGTTGGCGAGTCGACACATCATTGCGACGCCGAGCATGTACGCTCGGTGTGCACGCGAGTAAACCGAAGGAATTGTCCCAGAAGGTCGCCGCGTCATCATCAGGGGCTCTGAGAAGAACGACCCCCGGGCCGGCAGGCATGGACGCGCTGTGCACAGCCTCCCGCGTGGATGCGCTGTGTGTGCGTGTGTGTGCGCGTGTGTGTGCGTGTGTGTGCGTGTGTGTGTGCAGGCACGCGGCACAGCTTAGCCCTGCTGCTGCTGCGGGGCTGGGCCAAAGCCAAGCACAAGCACACAAACACGCACACACAAGCACACACACACACACGCACACACACACGCACGCGCGCTCAGCAGAAAACACACCCGCGCTTGTACGCTGCTCTCCAAATAAAGCGCGTCCAATTACTCTCTCCCCCCCCCCAACGCTAACGCTGGTATTTGGGCGCTGGTTGCAAATGCCAAAAAAAGGGGACCTGTTTGTGTTGTGCAGTTGCTGTTGGTTATGAGAATGTGGTTTCGAGACCGAGGCTCGGCCACTTAAAACTTCCTGCGCGGAAATAGGCGGAGGACTGCGGAGCACATTCGTTCTGCTCCCCCCCCCCCCCCCCACACCGCTGGACGCAAAGGACGGGAACCTTCGAGATCCGGAGCGTCTCGCACTCCGCGGTGAGCGGGCAGAGCCTCCGCCGCCCCCCCCGCCACTGCCCCCACCGCCAACAGGAGGCCAAACCGAGTTCACACCGGAGCGAATTAATAGTGCTAGTGACTGGCCACTTTATGAGTTAAGAGAGCCCCAAGAATGTAATATCGTCCACGGGATTACGTCCTGTGATGGGTAGGTTTTCAATAAGCTCTCGAGCCTTTTGGCATTTCATTAAAATCCGCAGTTGAAATTGGCCGAAAGAGTTACACACTTTCAAAAATACCTTCATATCCCTTTCAATCAATCCGAGCCCATGGCAGCGCCAAAATTAACAGCACTGAAATAGCGTACGCGCTATTCTATTCGGTAGGGAAAACCAAAAGCGCTGCCACCGCGACCACTACCGCCGCTGCAGCCACCGCACATCTCTCAACAAATTCCCCCGAGCGTGGCAACTCGGTACATCTTGTATTCCAGGAGCTGATGCGCGCGGTGCCAGCACAGAACGTCAACAGCGGCCCGGCCGCCCCGCAGCCCTCCCAGCAATGTCACCGGACAGTACGCATGGACAGATTTTTATTCAGTGGCATCACGGAGAACGACGGAGAGCGAACACAAGGAGCAAAAGGCCGCTCTCGTGCTGTGGCGTTTAGCATCGGAAACTTTGCTGGATCATCGAATAAGAAAAAGGCACAGCGATGGCTAAAAATATTCTGGCAGCGAGGGTACAAGCATCGTCCTGATGTTTCGTGCCTTCTGCTACGCTTGTTCCTCTCTCCTCTGACTCACAAGATACCACCGTACGTGCTCTCCGCCCAGCACTTCCGATGGGCGTGTGAGTGACTGTGTGAGTGAGCGTGTGCGCGAGTGAGCTTGTGTGTGTGTGTGTTTGTGAGTGTGTGTGTGCGCGCGCAATTTTTTTTCTCTCGCAAAAAATGTTTCCACTCGTGCTGCCAATAAAAACCTCCCCAGCTGTGAAATCTGGGTCAGAACTCGGCAAGATCCCGCTGGAAACATTTTCGGACTGACGGGCGGGTGTGGGGGCAGGGACCCGATGGCCTTTTTGAAAAATCCTGCCCCAGCGAGGGACTCTTGAGGGTCAGTGCCACCGGCGACGCGACGAGAGCGGCGACGCGGAGGGAGTCGCGCGTGCACGCGTGCTGTTTGGAAACTATTGCGAATGCTCCGGTGGATCCCAAGCCAGTGGCTTCATCCAGAATTAGCCATGCAATGCTTTGTGTCCAAAACAAAAGGGCTAATTTAGCTTCGATTTAATTTGGCCCCAGCCTGGCTATAAACAATGCAATCTATTTTATTCAGGAGCTTATCCATAAAAAACCTTGATGAACTACGTGCGAGCTCTGCGCTTGAGTTACTCTCATTCACTCATTCATTGATTCGTTCGCTTGCTCACTCACCCACTTGCTCATTCTCCCACTCGCTCATCCATTACCTCACTCATTAATCCAATCTATTGCTCATTCATTCACCGATACACTCACTTATTCATTCTCTCACTGTCACTCACCCTATCATCCATTAACTTATCCACTATCACTCATTCAGTCAATATAACTCAATCACTCACATTGTACCACCCAATTACTCACACATCCACCCTAATACTTCCATTCACACTGTCACTCATTCACCCTGTCATTGACTCACTCATTTAATGACTCACTCAGCTATCAAATCACTCACTCGTGAAATCATCAACTATATCACTCATTTGTACACACACCGCATCACTCGCCATTCACTCTCTGGCTTATTGACCTGTTTATGGTGGTGGTAGCAGTGGCAGTAGCTGTGGGGGTGGCAGTTGTGATAGTGGTAGTGGTGGTGGTAGCGGTGGCAGTGGTAGCGGTAGTGGTAGCGGTGGGGGTGGCAGTGGCAGTGTAAGCGGTGGTAGTTGTAGCGGTGGTAGTGGTCGCGGTGGTGGTAGCGGTGATGGTAGCGGTGGGGGTGGCAGTGATAGCAGTGATGGTAGTGGAGGTGGCAGTGGTAGCGGTGGTAAAGGGGGTTGCCAAGGTGGTAGCGGTAGCGGGGGTTGGTAGCAGTGGTGGTAGCAGTATGGGTGGCAGTGGCAGTGGTGGAGGTGGTCGTGGTAGTAGTGACGGTAGCGGTGGTGGCAGCGATAGCGGTGGTGGTAGCGGTGGCAGCGGCAGCCAGCGGCAGCGGTGACGGTGGTGGCGGCGGTGGGGGTGGCGATGGCGGTGCCGTACCCTCGCAGACGGGACAGCACTCCCCCGGCACGCGGATCGGGTTGAGGCAGCTCTGGCCGCACGCCGTCGCGGTGCAGTGGTGCTCGCCGTTCACGCACTGGCAGAACGTGCAGTCGTCCTCGCGCCACCGGTCCCCGTGCGCGCGGATCTGCCCCTTGGCAAAGCAGCCCGCGGGGTTGCTCACCGGGAAGACGGGATCTGTGCGGGAGGGGCCGAGGTGGAGAGAGGAGCGAGTTGGTGTCAAGAAGGAAAGATTAAAACGTGGGAGGTTAGGAGGATGTAGGAGGAGAGAGGAGGAGCGAGAGAGGCAGTGCAGGGACTCGGTCAGCCCCATGTGCTGACTGAGAGAATCACCAACGTAGTCAGCGAGGGGGCCGCACACGAGCAGGCCGACTCTCAAAGCGCACGACGCAGGCTCTGCCAACGGCGTCCCGTCTCCTGAACTTCGTAGCCACAGAAATCGGCCAGACCACGGCGCGTGGAAACCAACGGCTGATCCCGAACGATCGTTGATGGCCTCTCACCGGGGGTTCATTCCCCTCCCCCCCCCAAAGACACCAGATGAGCGGGGAGGGGGAGGGATGTTAGGGGAAGAATTTTCCGGATCTCGGCCTCACACAGCTCCGGCCGACTGAAATGCGACGAGGAGGCGGTGCCGGCAATCGCCCTCGCGCACGGGGCGGCACTCACCCTCGCACACGGGGCAGCACTCGCCCACGGGCACGTAGTAGCGCTGGCACGCGAGCGCGCCGCACTGCGCCGAGAAGCAGAAGGAGACGCCGTTGTGGCAGCGGCAGAAGCGGCACGCGTCCATGCGGTACATCTCCCCGTCCGCGTGCTCCATCCCGTTAAACGTGCACGACGACCTCGTGTCTGCGGGGGGCGGCGGGCGGCGGGGTTGGCGGGCGGGTGGGTGGGTTGTTTGGTGTGTGGGTGAGTTAGTGGTGGGGTTGGTGGGTGGGTGGGTGAGTCAGCGATGGGGTTTGGTGGGTCGGTTGGCGGATGGAGTTGGTGGGTGCGTAAGTTAGTGGTGGGGTTGATGATGGGTAAGTCAGCGATGGGGTTGGTGGGTGGGGTCGGTAGTGGGTGGGGTTGGCGGGACGGGGGTGGGATGGGGAAACAGGGGAACACGTGCTAAGCAAGAGATGTGGTCGATGCTGGCAGCCCGCCTGGGGTAAATGGGGCGGGGGGGGGGGTTAATGGCGCCAGTGTACAGCCAAGTGAACCGTGGGCCGCTCGTGCAGGCGACCGAGTTGTGTTATGAGAGCGAGCCGAGAGCGTAGCCACGGGGTACGAAGCGATCGGCAGGGCCCCGTCAAGTCCCAATGGGCAGTCCAGAGTAGAGCCGTGGGGACTCATGGCCGTGCCGCGTAACGGGTCGCGCCCAACCCCCCCCCCCCCCCACCCCGGAGTCACGGTCGCTCACTTCAGAAGCGCGCCCCTAAAGAGCACCGGTCACCCCTCTACCCGCAAAAGCCACGAAGACATTATCCACTCCGCACGTGTCACGAGGAGGAGGAGGAGACGCACGGGGAGAGTGGGGGTGGGGGGTGAAGTGGCGTCGACATCTCTCGGCGCGATCGAGGCCCTCGACCCCTTCGCGGGTTCGAGCGGCCGTGAGCCGACACGGAGTGAACACACGTCTGTGGTTTGCCACCCTGCTGCCACATTCCTCGGCGCCGCCTATTTCCGAGGCTCATCTGTGGACGAGGCTTATATTTGGCGTGGCCGATGCATTTTATTCCTTCGCGTCTGCCTGCGATGAGAAAGCGCACTCTTGTGCGTTCTCGGCACGCCACCCACTTCCCGTAGCCTTACCAAATCTCGACCGTCACACGCGAGCCCCCCCTCCTCCTCGGGAGGGACGGCCATGAACCGGCCCAGTGCTACGAGCACGTATGGACGCAAAGCCACCAATGTGAGACATATTTTAATGCACGGTACTTTCTTATTGAAAATTCACAACTGGCACTGTACTGCACAGGACGGGTGGAAATTTTGCATCGTCTATCTGCCATCGCATCTCAAAAGACCAACTGGAAGAGCTGTGCGGTGCAAAATAATTTGATCGAGATTTTATATCAATAAAGAGGCATCATGAGACCTCCTTTGCCAGTACCAAAATATGATAATAGGTTTTTTCCCCTTTTTTCTGGCAACAGGTGTTAACATTTGATTTGAAGCTTTCGTGACTGCAGGAATTACTCTTTGGTTCTTTTGAGCCTCGTACAGCTGTACGCCTTTTCGCGTCCTCTGGTTTGAGACGAGGCTCAAAAGAAAGCTGTCTGGTGTGGACCAATCAGTTTCAAGGACAATGCATATATTATCAGAGTATGCTTTTTGTTTGCATTCTGACCACAGGCATTGTGGTTAATGCAGACATGATTCCTTGTAAAAAGGTTTCAGTTTGGTGTTTTAACATCTTGACACATGTTTTGTTGCCAGAAAAAAGGGGGAAAAACCTATCATCAATAAAGAGAAAGTCTGTCACGGACAGAGGAAATGAAAAGTCTTAAGCCTTGAGTTAAACAGGAGCAAGGAGTCGATCGCATGGACGACTGGGGGAGGGAGGTGGAGGCTAAAAAGGCCGCAGAGACGAATGAGCGACCTCCCACCGAGCGAAGGCTGTAGAGCACGACCCCTTCGTAAATACGCCCCAATGGAAGTGCGCAAAAAATGGCATCAGGGTGGAGAATTCCATTTAAAAAACAGCTCTTCATCAATTGATCCATCACTCACGTCGAGGCCCTCTACCCAGAGCCAAGCCACCCACGAATTGCAACAAAAATGTCTCTGATGTTCAATTCCTGCCCAAGAGGCATGGGGCGTAAGCATCTCCGATCTACCGGAGCAGATGTGAATGATCGCCGAGATTTACACGAATCCACGAAACAGGGCCCAAAGTGAACGCTTCCCTTGGCAGGGGGCCACCCGCTAACGCTGAGCGGCTGATGACATCATTATTTTTATTGAAACATCTTTCCGCTATTTTTTTGTTCTGATTTTAAATGTGCCAACAAAACCCTATAAAAAAATTTGCAGGAAGGAAAGTGGAAGTGTGCCAATGCACAGAAAAAAAATTGTCCCTGGAGATTTAGGGTCCGTGAACTAAAGATAAATTATTAAATAATTCCTTGAGTAAACCTCCGATGTGTTACACGGCTGAGCTAATAACAGTTGCGTGCGCTTTTTGTTAAATGATTGAAACAAAAGATCTGTGCGGCTCGACATCACTGCCAATGTCCTGGACGCGCTCGGGGACGAAGCGTTGCATCAGAGAGGCAGAGCAGAGGCTCCGGCAGAGACCGGTGCCACCACCACCCAATGCACACCCAGCTTCCACACCCCCCCCCCCCCGCGTTGGCGCACGCCGGCGACCTGGCGCCTCGTCGGCGGGGACGGCGGTTCGCTCGACACCCCCTCCACCGGCTCGGCTACGAGGCGATTGGTCGATGGTGGCGCCAGCGAGCGTCTCGCTGTCTTGGCTGCGCAGATATACGAGCGCTATCCCCGTCGTGCGGGTGGTGGCTTTTCCCCGGGTTCTCCGGTCTCGCCGCACACAAAGCCAAACGAATCAAACCCCCCCCCCCCCTCCCGACGTAGCGGAACCCTGTCCCCGGAAGGGAACCTCACAACGCCGCCACCGTTATTGTTGTTGTTGTTGATGTACGGGGAGGAAACACATGCGCACGACTGGCAGCTGGACATGGAGCGCTCAAAAAATTAAACAAACACCCCCCAGCAGCTGCAAGTCACAGCTTGGGTCGAGCGTGTGGACGCCGAGCGGAGGGAGAGCGCGCCCCGGGGAGCGGCCCCGGGGCCCCCCCTGCACCCCCACCGGATTTTAGCAGCTTCCTGCACAAACACGTCCAAGCGGCACGGCCGCCTGCCGGAACCGTGCGGTCTGTTTTTTTTTGGTTGCGCGTTTCTCTTTAAATTTCGCGTTGGGCCTGGGCGCCGTGCCAAGCGGTGATCCCAACACGACTCCGTGCTCGGTCGCTCGCCCTTTACTCCCTGGCCCAGGCCAGTTCATCGCCGGCGGGGACGGCTCGTATCCGCGCGGGTTGGCGTCCTGGTTGTTTTTGCACGGGTTGCCAAACCGTGGCCGCTGGTCCACCAATGTGAAAAATCGTAATGATGCCGACGTTAACGGGCGGCGAGTGCCCAGCTGTGTAACGTTCCTCAAGCGAAGCGTCCCCGTGCGTCACGCCACGCGAGGGGAGATATCACCCCGGGACGTTTCATGCAACAGACCGAAGGTTCTCTAACGATGCCCCAACTGAGAAAAATGGACAGGCAACTAACCCAAGCCCGACCTCTGACCTTGGGACACAATCCAAAATCCTCACCTTCAATCTAGGCCTCAACAATAACTTTAGATTTAAAGCTTTCGTAACTGCAGGAATTCATATTCTTGGTTCTTTCGGTAAAGTCACGTAGAAGGGAAATAATAAAATAATAAAAATTTAACAATTAAATTCTCACGACATTTCGATTGCAACACAAGCAATCATCATCAGGTGTGAAAACCACAGCAAGAAAATTTGAAAAAAGTGGCGTTTTTTTTAGAGTGCGCTTAAGAGTATCTACATCAATACTCTTGTGAAATAATTAACAAACAATTATTATCCTTGCAGCAATTAGTCATGAAGAGTGTAAGGTATGGCACACTCATTTGCAGAATGATGTCAAAGTCACCCGGAATGTGCCCCCCCCCCCCCCCCATCTCATCAAATCTCAGAAGCCGAGTAGTGGTGAGCTTGGCTTGTGCTTGGGTGGGGGGTTACCATCGTGCATAACAGATGTTATAGGCTGCTGTGGAACTAAGTAGTCAGCAGAGGGTAGTGCGTAAAAATCCATCGTTGTACTGTGCTTTCCTCCAATGTCTATGCTCGCAACCTTCACGAACCCACACTGACCAGCCCGGTAAAAAAGTACGATTGCGTAATCCCCATGACCCACACAGCATGGCAAGGTGCTCATCCAGCAGTGGATTAGCACAGGGGCTGTGCATGTGTCCACTGCGTCACATCGCCCCTAAAGTCCCATCAGAACCGTTCTGTGAGAAATAAGCAGGACTTGCCCTATGGATAGATTGGTCCCCACCATCAGAACGTGGAATTTCCAGAGCTGGGTTTCAGGCCAGAAGATTTCACAAAGATCCGCACGCGTACAGTTTCCCGTCGCCGCGGAGAGCATGGCTCTGTTGCCGAGTGTTGCCGTACGTTGCCGTGCGTTGCCGGCCCTGCGGCGGCCCCTTACCGTTGGCGCACTCGTACTCGTCGCAGCAGCTCTCCACGCTGCCGTTGCCGTGGGCGACGAGTCGCAGCACCATCCCGGCGTCGCACGTCGGCTTCTCGCACAGCACGGGGCACTCACACCTAGAGGAGGCACGTCGGGGGCGGGGGGGGGGGGCAAGCGGGGGGAAGGGGGGGGCAAGCGGCACAGCAGGGTCAACACCGTACAACGACACGCGCGCCCGGGAACAGGGCCGCCGAGCCAACGGTGGCCTGGGTGGCTCACGAGTCGCGGAACTGAGCCACCCGGAGATTGGGTTCCAGGTTTCAGCCACCAAAAATGGGTCATCGAATACTTTATTTAACCAGGGGAGATGACGTCAAGCCACGTGAGAAACACGAAACACTACAGCCTCTTTTGCAACAGGTTACGTGAAAGACATCAGCCCATTTCTCCGATCACCGGTATGTAAAATCCACGTAATCCGAAAGCCTAGCGTAGGCCCGAGCTCGGGAGCCGAGAGACGGGCAGCGGCGCGGAACTCACCGCGCAGGAAGCAGGCAGCAGCCGTCGTGGCTCTCGGTGCCCAACGCCACGAAGCTGCCGGGGGGACATGTCACCTCGGGCACCGGGGGGCAATCCTCAGGGATGCACGTCCTCCCTCGCGCTGCAGAGACAAAGATCCCCCCATGAAGCCGACACGGACTGTTGGGGGCGAGGGCCCACGTGAGGCGGTGCTGTGGCCAACACCGCCACCCCCCAGGGCCGCCCATTTCTCTTCCAATGCCGATGTTTAAACACCGCGCCCCGGATGCTCTCTTTTTTTTGTTAAGGCCGAGTCAAGTTTATTTTTGTTTAAGCAGTTGAGAACTCAAGAGCCCAGAATAGTTTGTGTTTGCTAGCGTGACTGGGGGTCATTAAAATGACAAGAGAAATAACGTACAAAAAAAGTATGGCAATGAAGCGAAGAGAAATCAGAGCAAAAACAATTTGAGAGATCACTCGCCGTGGTTGGGAATTCAATTTTGATCGCTAGGTTCACAGCGCAGCGCGCTAATCACTGTGGCACTGCTCCACCTTCGTGCCATGCGCACGCCAAACACACACACAGCCGTGTGGGTAATTCCAAGTGTGACAGCCGCAAGATTCGACCTCTCGGCGTGGCAGTTGAAACAATGGGGCAAGTTTCTCAAATCCCCGTCAAGCAACGCAAAGGGGCTCACCGCACACACAGTCAATCGGCAGGTTCGCATCCAGTGGGGTAAAGTGTGGGTAAATGCCACGTCTTCCGAGACATCTGGCCGGCGCTGAATAGAGGGCCAAAATACCCCCTGGTGGGAAGGAGGTGGGGGGGGGGGTCTCTGTTGCTCCCTTTACTGGAGGCCCTTCTGCCAGCAGTGGCGGGAGCGAGACACTGCAGGGCTGCGCCTTTGCCATTTCACCTTTGACCCAGCGATGAGTAAACACAGTTGTGCGGGACGCCGCGCGTGGGCGTGTGTTTTATGCGCGAGCTTGCGTCCGCGCGAGCCGTTCTCTGAGAGCCATGTGGGGTCCTGACGGGTGCTGGTGTGGGGTGGGGGGTGGTGGTTATGAGGGTGGGGGCCGGCTAGGAGGGGTGGGGTGTAGGATGAAGTGCACCTCCTCAATCTATTAAAATCCATCCCCCCGATTAGCGGCGGCCATGAATGTGAAACGGGAATCAACATGCGCATGTCGAGAGCGCGCTGCTTGCTCTGTGGGAGAGGATGAAATTAGACAAGGAATCTTTGTGCGGTGTTTTTTTGGCTTTTCCTGCCACAGTCCGGCATTGGCAGTTTTGAAAGGGTGGCCTCTGTTTATCCCTGGCTGCCAAGAAACCCATCGTATACACATTGGCGCTTGATCTCATTTTCTACAACTGCCCAAAACATTTTAAGTACTGGATGTAAAAAAAAAGGACTGAGGAGGTCTCTGTGTTTCTTTCGTACACTCCGGGTTGCGCTCCTTCACATCGTTTAACCTCCTAAAATAACAATGCGACAGCTCCGTCACGTGATCGCAACAAAGCGTGGAGGACTTTCAATCAGCATAGGACAACCTCCCACTCAGAAACAAACTCAACGACGTGCGTCAATAACACTTGTGCGGGCTTAAAACAAAGACAGATATGTAGTAATTGGTGAAGTTTCAGACAACGTGCTGACCACGAAGGGGATTGAGTGGAGCCTCACCAGAGTGAAGGGGTCCAACGGGGGGGGGGGGGGATAAGTGATGAGTGCGTTGGGAGCAGGATTGACAATTGTCGCGCGAGTCCCCATGGGTCAGTGTCCCCGCGGTGCGTAAACGAATGTCCGTGACAGCCAATCACCTTTGGGCACTTGCCGTGACCACTGGGCTTCATTTGCGTACGTTTATCAAGGACTTGTCATTGCGTAGAGGTGGAGCGTGGAGATGGAGGGGGTCGCGAGCGGACAACACGCTACGTCGAACTACTCCCCAAGACTCCCCCCCCCCCCCCACACAGTCAGAGCGACCACCAAAAGCCAAAATGTGATACGATGGCCCGATCACCCGCAGAGGGATCGGCACCCATGGCCGGGTACAACATCCTGGCGGGAACCGTCACGCCGCGCCGCAGCCCCGCCGCTCCCGACTCACCGTCGGACCGAGGAGCGCAGACGTGGAGGTCGCAGCAGCGGCCGGGCGTGCGCTGGGCCTCGGCCATGAGCACTCGCACGCCGCCGCGGGGGCAGTCGGGCAGCGTGCAGCGGGCCGGGTCGCACTCGCAGCGCGAGGGCAGCGCGCAGCACTCGCCGAGCGGGACGTGGCCCAGGCGCAGCACCGAGTCGATGGGGCACACGGGCGGCGGCGGCTGGTCCTCGCACACCACGTCCAGGCAGTCGGGCGGAACCTCTGCGCGAACGCGGGGAGGGATGGAGAGAGAGGGGCGGACGCTCAGGCGGTGCCGCCGGGGTCGCCGTCGCCTCCCGGGAATCTCGGCAACATCGCGGACCAACTATACCGCCTTGATATCATCACCTTCGTTATCTGCTGAGCATTATCATGATCGTTGTTATTTACTATGAATCTGCTTAATATGACTCTCATCATCAACTCTTTACATCATCATCATCTTTATATCATTATCATCAGTTACTTTGCAAAATCATTATCATCACCTCCTTACATCATCTTAATATCATCATCAGTTACTAGTTACCAAGCATCAACTTACTATCAATATCATCATATTGTAAGTGTCTTTAACAGCCATGATTACTCCACTGCTGGATGAAGCCAACAGTAACCGCTTGCGCATCACAGGGAACACACCGAGCGGGTTTCACTCTGAAAGAGGCGAGGCCATCACGGGCACAGGAAGAAAAATATACCGCTGTGCTGCTGTCTGTGGGCGTCGGGAAACACGAGAGACCAGAATAAAGTGCGATCAGAATGGTGGTGGGATGGGTGGTTGGTGGTTGGTGGTGGTGGTGGTTTCATAGAGTAATCGCTGTGTTGACATTTGGAGCCCTTTTGGCTGCATCAGCTGAACGTGGCGTCCCGTGCCAGTGAAGGGCCCCCCACAATACGACACCACACGACTACTTCTGGAATCACTCGACCCAGAGGTTGTTATATTTTTTTTGCTCCCAAATTACAAAGTGACATCTGAACCGGACCCGCGCCGACCAGTGCGGTGAAGTACGGTCAAGCAAGCCCCATGACCGACACGGTGCGTGTCACAGGCAAAGTGCAATCGTGTCATAAATTATGGTATGACTTGTGAGATATTAACGCAAGTGAATTTGTAAGTAATATGCATGTCCCTAACGGGAAGATTCTCAAAACATGCCCCGCAGAAATCTCCTGCTACTGTCCATGTCATGTGATGAATGGCCTTCTGCAAACAAAGCGTGTCTGGATAAAACTCAAAGTAAAATCGATCAACAAACATGAGACGCAACACCCAGGGTAGACGTGGGTATTTTTGAAAAGTGGCATTTTTGGTTCAATTAATTAAGTCGCGGCCATCAGACGACGGAGCGATTGGCAAGCGAACGTGGCAGAGGGTGATGCAGCAGCGTTTACAATATGCCGCGAGGGCCGAAACGGGAGGCTCAGGTGCGGAGTCCAAAGGTGAGCCCCGTCCCAGGGGAGTGACCTCACGACCCGGGGAGTTCCGCGTGTCAGCATCAACAACAATAGCAACAACAATGGCAACGACAACAATGGCAACAACAGTAGCAACAATAACAAGAGAAACAACAGTTGCAAGCCCACCAAGTCAGCACACGCGGGACTTAATTTCTCACTGAGCTGTATTTGTGGGTCAGTGGTAGACTGGAGTAGGTGGTGCAGAGCTAGAGATATACTGGATGTGGTGGGCAGCAGACGAGAATTGGCGCTCTGGCGATTTCCCCTTCACCGAGTGAGCAAAAATCTCGTGACCAAATTGAAAGGAATTGAGCATAGGGTTGTCTTCATCCAGCAGTGGACAGAACGTGGCCCGTGATGATTATGGCATTGGTTGTTCTCAGCATAAGGCAGCTGAAATGATGCAATGTGTTTACTGAACGGAGCGTAGGAGGGGGGCTAAGCTCCACCAACTGGGACAACCGCGATCCCACATCAGACCACACTCACCTGGCCTAATCACTCACCTGGGGATGACTGCATTCACCTGGGAAACCACTCACCCCGGCGAACAACACCCAAACAAGCTAACCGCAACTTTAAGGGTGTGGCCAGAGTGAGACGTTGTGACAGCAAAACTAATCACGTTACAACAATAATAACTAATTTATAGAGCCTTGTCAAATCCACTTCTGGATGAAGGCCTCCTCAATGCCATTTCAGTCCCGGGTGTTGTTTGGCTGGTCAGTGCGGTGCTTAGGTGGGTGGGCCAGGCCCAAGTCAGATATCAACTCGGGTTACAAGGTTCATGGCGCAGTGCCACCCTAACCATGACCAACACGCGCACAACAAGCTTAACTCGCATGGAACACTCGAACAGAACCGACCATGCAGCTGCTGCGGCCTGGACAATTCCTGGCAAATTTTAGCGCGCGGGATTTCGTAAACCATTTTCAGAAAGCTACCTCCGTAAACGTACTGCTGTGAATCGGCACTTAGCGAGGTGTGGACTCGCGCCATTGCGACATCCCCTGGGCGTTCTCCCACCACCGACGCCTGCGAGCCACTCGCAGTCCGTGGACCGTGGCCGTGTCTCCCGGGGCTTTCAGGCGCAGCCACAGCCGGGCCCCCACATCTGCAATCGCACGGCGAATCGGAGCTCGTGACGAGGACGCCCGGCACGGAATGCACGCGATGGAGGGAAACAGCCGTGGCTAAGAAACGGAACTCAGCTATTTTTTTTTATTACTACAGAGTGTCCCACATTCGTCTCTACACAGGCACGTCCCGCTCATGGTGGCCTTTCTTGCGTGGCAATAAAACAATAAATCGATGCACGTTTACAAACCTACGCGAGGTGATGTCAGCAATTCCTTTCACCTCCGGCCTCTGGACTTGGCTTTGGGAGGGCCTTGCAAACATTTGGAAGACTGGCCGATTCCACGGACGAGATTTCAGCATCGTGTCGTGGTGAACCCTGGAGAAATCCCCATACGCGTATAAGGCTGGATCCTGTACCGTCATCGATTGGTCAACCAGCTGTCCATCGCAACTGACGCGTACCCTGACGGCACCGGCGGACGACTGCCGGGTGCAAGGAACACCGTTAGCGAGGAACCGGCCATGCTGAGCGACGAGGGGGCGATGGCGTGACGGCGCCAGCGCTCTCCGACGCACAGGACGCGGCCGGTTAGGACTTTAAACGGTCGCCAACCGCAGCCGCCAGGCTTTTAAAAGTACAAATTCAAAATAGATCGGGAAACACGACCTACGAATGTGTCCAGCTGGGCGCAGCGAAGGACACACCGTGGCGTGTCGATGCGCTCTCCGTAGCGGCTGTGTTTACGCGACGGGAGGTTCCATTGGCGTCACCGCCATGAGCGCTGCGCTCCCACGCTGCCAGGCAAGTCGCCGAGTGCCCTGCCATGACCCCGCGTCTCAACAGAAATGTCACGGTCGCGGGTTCGCGGCTTCCATCGAGAATCGGTTCAATTTTTGGCCTCCCGCGGTGCCGTACTGACGAGCTCGTGTTTTTTGCTGTCTCGTCCGCGAGCGGTTGGTGACGGAGGACGCCGATCACCGAGGACAATCGCCGGTGGGGCCTGAGCAGCTCGTCGGGATCGATGTTTGTCCAACGGAGGGGCGACATTCCACGGAGCAGAAGTAGCTCTTGCCAAGCCGCTGCGATTCTTGTCTCCGGCGCCGACATCAGCCAAATTAAGAAGCTCAAGAAATGTTGAAGGCGGGAAGGAGAGCCCAGGAAAAGCGCACGCAGACGTCCAACGCTGAGAAATCTCTGTCTACGCTCGGTTTCTTCCGAATCCTTCTGCTTGAACGTACCCGCGGGACGTCACACCGCGCTCAAGGTAACTCTTTGCTTGACCAAACGAAGGCAGTAAAGCCGGGGCACAACATTCACGAGGGGGCGGCCCGAAGCCTCCCGAGGCCACTGCGCTGCAACCAATTGGGAACTCGCCCGCTGCAGGGGCCGCTTTGCCCGCGGCGTCGAGAGGGGGAACTCGCCAGTAACGAGTGGCACACCCGACTCTGCCGATGGGATCCGCAAGGTCGAAACCAATCCAGAGGTTGGCATTGCATTTCAGCGTGGGCACCTACAAGTCTTGAAAGGCCAATGCACTTGATTGACACGTCTTACCGGGATAGTCCCTTGAAACGGGAGCAACCCGTTTGCAAGAGCGATTAGGGTAAGGCTGAAGGAAAAGAAAGCCGCTAACTTGCACGTGGAAGACACAGCAGAGAAGTCGGTTTTACTCACGACATTTGATTCCCCACAATGTTCCGTAGCAGCACACCACCGAACGAGTTGAAGACTCCCCGCATCCGAGAGGTTCCCCCAAAGCCCCCCCCCGCCGCCCCCCACATCGCCTCCCCCCCTCCCTTCCTCCTCAACTCCTCCAACTCCCCCAACCCCAGGCCACAAATTAGAAGCGAGCAAGTTCTAAATAGCCAGAGGGCAGGGTGGCGGGCGGTGCTGGGTGGGGGTGGGTGGGGAGCCGGGGGGGGGTGAGACGTGGGGGCGGTGGGGGCGGTGGGGGCTAAGGTGGAGGGGGTGAGTGTCGGGGTGAGTGCTGGGGCGAGACTCGGGGTGCGAGCAAGAACGGGGTCCAAACCCACGACCACAGGCATTTCTACCGTTGCCTCCGCCACTTAAAACAAACAGTTGGACGAGACATTTTTTTTCGTGTCGCTGGTATGTTAGACACAACAACGCCCTCCTCCCTCCACTCCCCCAGAAATGCAAACACGCACGCACACGCGCGCCCTGCCCGGCACCTCCCCATCCAAAGGTTCCTCCCCCAAGCCCCGTGTAGCCTCAACAGACTGTTGGGGCAAGTGCTGTGAGCGAGCAGCAGCACCTATGAAGGCCGAGGGGGTGGGTGGGTGGCCAGCATCACGCCCGACCGCCTTTGTCTCCCGAGTGGTGACGGTTACACCCCGCACCAGCCGCTTTACTGGACATCTGTGTAAAGGAACGTTATAGCTCGTCGGACTCCTCCGGTATGAGATTCTGATCCTGACTAATTTGAGGCTGAGTCGACCTAGGGGAGGCCCAGGACCGGTTCAGATAATCGTCACCGGAGTTGGCCCTGAGTGGGAGCCGAACCCGGGTGGCCGGGCTTCATAACGCAGCGAAATAGCCGCTGCGCCACCGTTCCGCGTATCTACACACGTACACACTACACACACGTACACACAGACACACGTACACACGCACCACCCTGCTGCCCACTCCCAACAACACCCCCCACCCGCCCCAC